TTTTCTGATAGATCTCAAAAAGAATAGCCAGTACCACCCAAATTTATCGCCAAAATCAAATTTTAATCGCCACTTTCATATTTTTATTGCAAATTGCGACTTTGGCCAGTGACGGTATGAGCCCTGACAATAACTCTCCTTCAAATTGCGGTAGAATGTTCAAACTTGGTGTCGGTGTTGATAAGGTGCATTCCTTTATGGAGTTTGAAGATGAGTATTTCCTGCTTAGGGTAAGCAGAGATAAACTATTTGATTAGTTGATGCTTTGGGACACAATAAGCTTAGTTCGAATTAAGTGAGAGTGATGAAACTTGGTGTATAGTTCCATGGCATCAATACCTTGATTGTGTGATTATGAGACCATTTTCGGCTCAGTCTAAGCAAAGTGATAAGCAATTTGTTTGGTTGAGACTTTGGAGCTCGACAACATTTATTCCAATTGTGTGATAGTGGTGAAACTTTGTGTATAGTTTCATTACATCAATACCTTAAGTTTGATGTTGAGCATTTTATGCTTAGGCAAAATAGAGACTTCAATCTGATTGGTAGAGACTATTTAGGTAGAATGTTCAGAATTGGTGTAGGTGTGAATGCCTTGACATAGTTTGTTCATGCACATTTTCCACTAAGGCTAAGCAGAGATGAGCAATTCGATTGGTTGTGACTTTGGAATATGATAATTTTGGTTCTAATTGGGTGAGAGCAATGAAAAGTTTGAGTATAGTTTCATTATTATATCAATACACTGACTAAATTCGATGAAGAGAATTTTCTGCTTAGGCTAAGTAGCGATAAGCAATTTGATTAGACAAGACTTTGGAACATAACAACTCTGCTTTTAATTGAGGTATAGATGTTAATTACACCAATGTCTTGACTGAGTTCAATGATTACTATTTCCCATTAAAGCTAAGCAGAGTTTAGCAATTTCTTTGGTCGGTGCTTTGGGACAAGATAACTTTGATGCTACCAGTTACTTCAAAACTTGAGTTTGATAGTGAACATTTTATGCTTAGACTAAGCATAGATAATCAGTTTGATTACTCGATAACTCAATACTTTTAAATGTGCAATTAATTAATATGTGTCATCTGTTTATTTTGGAATTTCGGCAGGGGATATCAGCCTCACTGTTGGCTTGTTTTTCATGTGTTGAACCTTACAGCAGACGAACAATAATTTCACCATCTTTTAATACATTTAATTAACTGTCCAAAGTTGGGCACATCTAACAGTCGTAGAGACTTTGAAATTTTCAGGGGATGTTAAGTGGGGCTAGTCATGATCTCACACCAAATTTCAGCCGAATCAATCAATATCTGTTTATTTTACCGACCTTTTAGCTTCTAACGAGATATGAGTTTATCTGTTCAGTGCCATTTTCTTTTTTGACTATTTAGACTCCAATAACAAGATACTAAGATGGATTCCGACACAGTGTGCTTCCTGCCTAACGCTACAGTTCGTAATAATAATAATAATTTTAATTTTTGAGCTAAGCCACCATTTTTTATAAACAACAGTTTGGGATCTGAAACTAAATCTGAAAACACTCATTTTTTGAACATGAATATATATTTATCACCCCATTCCATACAAAGAAAAAACTCCTTCTAAATTTGGGTTCAAACATGCATGCAAATTGCACAAGGGACAATTATTTTGTATAAAATTTTCGCATTGTGGACGGGAATATACTGAATAATAATAAAGATTGTCTATTTGTATTTCTACTTTTTATCGAAAAAAAAAAACAAAACAATAGAAACTCGACATTCTCTCCATGTTCCTGAAGCAACGACCGCTAGTTTTACAACATCTAGTCGTTGCTTCAATACTCAACAATTCCCTAATTTTTGCGCTCGTTGTGTTAACATGTGACTAATTAGCATTGTCCAATCAGAGGTCGTGGCACAGGACACACTTTAAACAAATATGGCGGCCTCCATAGAAAAAGAAATAGACAAGTTTACAGCCTTTGTTGATAACCATGATTTCCAGCAACCTTGACATTGAATGAACCTTGAACTTTGCAACTCGATTGTCACATGTAGACATTTTAGCTAGAAGCGTGAGACTTGATAATCGTAACCATATTTTTAATGAAGGAATCTGATAGGATCACAAGCTGGACTTGTACCCAATCAAAATTAGTGCTAAAATATGCGGGGTATTACGTGAAGGGCTTGATAAGATGTACGTAGTTAAGGCGAGATCAAGCCTTCTATTGAAGATGCATTCTCTCCTGATAGTAATACTGTAGATAATAGTGTAGAAACCAATTTGACCATAAGAAAATCTTCGGGGAAAACCTATCACAGTCCAAGCCAAGATTATGGCCTTTTAAAACAGTTACAGAGTGAAGGTCGTAAGTCAAGGTCAAATGTCCAAAAACTGCCTTTGAATAGTTCGAGTTTAGTTTTCCGTAACATGACCCTGACCCACCACTTTGACCCAGTTATCTTTTCTGAAGGGCGTCGTCTCTGCTTTTACCGCGAACATTGATTTTGATAATACAGCAAGATATAGGGCCAGTTCAAAGCCCCCGAGATCGGTGAGAAGTTTGAAGTCACGGTCAAAGTAGAGGTCACGGTTGGTTAGCGTTGATAACTGGAGGTAACCATGACCTTTCATATTACCCACGCCTATAGCCTTCCTTTTCGAACACGGGCCCTTGGCGTTTGACCGTTTTTTTACCAAGCAGTGTGTGTCAGGACCAAGGCAAACGTTGATGGTCCAAGCCAAGATGATGGCCTTTTAAAATGGTTACGGAGTGAAGGTCGTAAGTCAAGGTCAAATGTCCCAAAACTGCCTTTGAAAAGTTTGAGTTCACTTTTCTGTAACATGACCTTGACCCACTACTTCGACCCAATCATCTTTTATCAAGGGCATCTTCTCTGCTTTCACTCCAGACATTAACCTCGAATATACAGCAAGAAGCCAGGGCTCTATGTAGCCAGGATTTGGTGAGTGTTGTATAAATATATGGCGAGCGGAACGAGTCCCAAAAAATTTTGGGAGGGGGGCGTGGTCTTTTATGAAAATTAAACCCTTCTTGGTGTATTTTCAGAGCATCTGCTGCCTTTTGTATTTGGTTCAATGCAAATCAAATTTCCATTTATATATTCAAATTTTACCAAATTCACTTAATTTTCATCAATGATACAGGGATCTAAAAACTTTTTGACACCACCCAACCGAGCATAAAATTGTCCCGCCGCGCTCTGTTTCTCTGGATAGATAAGTTGAGGACCTTTCGGTATTTGTTGTTTTGTTGGGTTTTTTTCAAATATTACTTTATTACTTTGAGATTAAAAATTAAAACGATTCTTAAAACGGTGTTTGTGTTTTATTTGAGTACAACAATTTATGACAACAGGTAGATATTGATAATTAAAACACGTTGTATGATTTGACTTGTTTGTAAAGTTGTAGTACGTGTCTCACAAATATTATTATTATTACGGTGGAGTGAGAATCAGGTCAGGCAGAAACTGAGAAAGCTCTCATCGTCCTCCTAGTCCTACTCTCGGGCCGTAGCAAATCCACGGTCAACACAGGTAAGAAATAAAATAAGAAACATCGTGAAAATTTGTAGGCACGTGTTGGACAATCAAACCTTTAACCACAGAGTAAACTCTGTGCCTTTAACATTGGAGTGCTGTAAATTGGTCTGGGTGACCTATTTACGGCAAATAAACATATATAGAGCCCGTAGAATAATTGTAAAATGAATACCTAGGCCTACACATCTTCTAAGTATGTATAAACAAAATACCAATACATCTTTCTTTAAACTAATTTGGGATGATAGGGTCTACTACGGCACACAAAAATAAATTATGCCGTGACAGACATGGTTTGCGTACGTAGGCTTTTACCATGGCTTTGCCGTTTAATTGCCGTGGTAAATTTCGAGCGCCGAGTTTGTGTACAGAGAAGGACGAAGGGGTTTAAATACAACTGGGCGGCTTTCTTCGATTTTTTCTTTGTGCTGGGCGGCAAAAAATAGTGGCGGGCACAGACGCCGCCCGGTGTGGCTACATCTTTAAAAATGTGCCTGCAAAAAAGTTTTTTTAAAGCAAATGTGCCCGCGCACACCGTGCGGATATGCGCGGAAATATCGATGCCTGGGCATAGCACATATAAGCACAAAGGTTCAGAGCTCGATGGGAATTTTGAAGTCAGGATCAGCATCAAGGTCACAGCGATATTCACACGCAAAGGCCGACCCAACTAGTCAACGCCAAATAGTTGTTTATAAAAAATGGTGGCTTAGCTCAAAAATTAAAATATACGAAAATTATTATTATTATTACATGTATTACGAACTGCAACGTTAGGCAGGAAGCGCAGTGTGTCGGAATCCATCTTAGTGTCTTGTTATTCGGGTCTAAATAGTCAACAAAGAAAATGGCGTCGAATGGATAAACTCATATCTCGTTAGAAGCTAAAAGGTCGGTAAAAGTTATTGATCGATTCGGTGTGAGATCATGGCTAGTCCCCCTTAATATCCCCTGAAAATTCAAGTCTCTACAACCACAGGAACTGGTAGAGGTGCGATTGCTAGAGAGTCATTTTGTTGAGCCATTCCTTCAGAAATATATACTGCAGTCCAGACGTGTATTATATTGGGGAGACACTCTGGCTCAAAGTGAGTGATGCTGGCTCAAAAACCAGTTCTTGACTGTGGAAGTTTCTCAGGATTTTCTAGACCGATTTCTCTTATCAGTGGTTCCAGATGGCAGACTTGGCATGGAAAGGGTCTAGTTGTTCAATGGCATCAAAACCAAGGTTTTGTTTAGCACATTTACCAGCTCATTTAAGTTCCCTTTGTATTTTTTAAATCAAATTTATTATATAGCACAATTCATGGTGATTGTAGACAAATAAGATGTTAAGTTAAACCCTATTTCATTCATTGAGTTTGCAACACTTGTTAATGTTAATATAAGTAATAATGGAAAGAAAGGTGCTGAAGATGCAATTTTATTTTTTAGATGCCTCCAAAAGATGGGAACGGCAAGCCATCATCGGCTACACTAGAAGAATTATTAGAATCAACTGATGATGGAACAAATCAAATAAACCAAAGAGTACAAAACAAAGAAGACTCCAATGTGGCAGTAGGAAACAATGATAATTTCATAACCTCTTTATGAGAATGACAGCACACTTCTTGAGGACTGCATTATCATTTTATGAGAATTACTTCATACTTAATATGCACTACATCATTGTCGTATAAGCACTGAAAAGAAAGTATTACGTGATGAGTGTAGAGTTTATGTAAATGTTTACTCGCAATATATAGCCAAGATATATATATATACCTAAAGGTTTACGCAATATAAACAATAAACCAAATTATGTACTTCTAGTAGATCTGACCCCCTGTTTAATGTTTGTGAATCATGATTTAGTTCTATTGTCATTCAAATATATCATGTCCATGCTTGACTTAGAGTCTTGCTTTCATACATAACACTCCTATCTGTTAAACAGGGTCTTTAATCTGTATATATTTTCCATTAGATGTTCAACACATAACATGATTCTCAGTATATATCTTGTCTGATTTTATTGGAGTAGATTTCAAAGCAAAATACTAAACTACCAAACACTAGAGTTGTGGGCTTATTATATTAAATATATAAAAATAAAGTTTGAAAAGGGAAATCCTATGCTGTCAACCACTAGATTTACATGTAACAATATGCCATGGTGTTATAACAGTAGGTCAAGTGTCAATTCCCTCATTCAGATTTGTATATATATAAATGAAGTTAGCCATAATGGTTGTACTTTTAGATTAGCAATAGATGGGATACTTGTAGAGTTTATTGTTTTAAGTAGTAGATATATTTTTCCAGGTAATTCGGTTATAATCTCGAATCAATGGTTATATAGTTAGAATTCCAAATCTTTAAGGAACATCACTTTAAAGTTTGGGATTATATATTGTAATCAAATCTGTAATCAAATCTGTAATCAAATCTTTAAAATTTATGAAATTGAAAACCATTAACCAAGACGTAAGTAAGTGTTAAGCATGTGAACCATACTTAATTTAATAAAAGAGATTAATATATATGATGTTATTATTAATATTTTATTGATCTCATTGCAAGAAGGCAAATAGAATGACACGTAATTGTTCCTAATGGAAATCAATGCATAAATCATAGAACCATGTAGATATGTTATATGTAACTCATTTATTATAGATTTAATTTTCTGTTTATATGTGGAAGTATAATAATATTATTATATATGTATACTTTACAATACAATATTTTTAGTATATTATATTACACTTGATTTTATGTGATTTCATGAATAAGGCCTCTATTTTGTAGTAAAGTTTGTTTATACTACTATTACTGTGAAAAGTCTGTTTATATTACTATTACTGTGGAAAGTCCTTGTGTAATACATAATTCTCATAGTGAAAAGTTCTTGTGACTGTTACATGAATAGCTTTACAGCTCTTTTCTCACTTTTGATATTCATTCTGTTAATAAATTAATCACATCCTTGTACTGTGTTTCTATAGCAGCTATCAATTGTAAAAGATACTTTAATATTTACATCCAATAAATCCACCATGTATACAGTATACATAATGTTTATTATTACATATGTACCAATCTGCAATTTATGTACAGATTTCTTTAAATTCATATGTATGCTAAACCAAATATATATTTTATTGAGTATATACATAAGATAAGAATATAAACATTTTGTATATTTTATGGATTTCATACATAATATAAACATCATCTATAGTTTATGGATTTCATACAATACAACATAAACATCATATATAGTTTATGGAGTACATACATAAGATATAAACATCATGTATATTTTACATACATAAGAATATAAACATCATATATAGTTTATGAAGTACATATATTAGAATATAAACATCATATATAGTTTATGAAGTACATATATTAGAATATAAACATCATATATAGTTTATGGAGTAAATACATAAGAATATAAACATCAGGTATATATTGTGGAGTACATACATAAGAATATAAACATCATGCATATTTTATGGAGTACATACATTAACAAATAAACATTATGTATATTTTTCGAAGCACGTACATTAGAAATAAACAGTAGAGTATTTTACATAGTGCAAAATTATAAAATAAAGATGACAACCTTATTAAAATAACTAAAACTGTTACATTAAATTGATCGTTCACCTAAATAAATTTCAGAGAATGATTGGCATGAAATATTCCTGAATTCCACAGTTTGAAATGCTTTTTAATTAAATATTGAGTGCCTTTTTCTGTATATAGTAAAAACCTTACATCAAAATTTGTGTTGCTACGGTAATAATTGATGTTGATTTGTATATGTAATCTTTTCACACGGTTGTATAATTTGAAAATGCCACAGTTTTGAAGCTTCATCTTTTAAAGAGATTATTATATAATAGCTATACATTTTATTTTGAACTCTTTGATGCTGATTGTCTTCCATAAATCCTATTGATAAAAACAATTCTTAATGGGCAGCTTAGCTCTATGTTTGGAGTGAATTATTATGATGAGACAAAAGACAAAAGTTTCGTATTTGATGTGTATTGGACAAAGAGTTGATTGAATTATCAGCATTGAGATTTTTTATACGCCCACATTTTCATGTGGACGTATATTGTCATCGCCTCTGGACGTCCGTCCGTCCACAGTTGTTTGTGAACACTCTACAGGTCACAATTTTTATCCGATTTCAATGAAACTTGAAATATAGGTTTATCAGCCTAAGATCTCGGGGCCTTTCGATATTCGCGCATATCAGATCGTAACTTCCTCAAGATCTTGGTTCCTTTTGATAATCGCAGATACCCAAACTTAACTTCCTGGATTATAGCCCCTGATTGTTCGAAAAATCGCATTGTTAGCTTGCGGATTCTCTAGAGGTCACAATTGTTTTCTGATTTTAAAAACTGTTTAAATACATCACCATTCCACCATAATGAAGGTTGAATTCGAATTTCGGGAATGTCGAAATGAAACTGCCCGACAAAATGGCCACTATTTATTCGCAAATTGTGTAGAAGTGTCTAATACGAAGGTTGTGTACCCTCTACAGGTCACAATTTTTATCCGATTTTGATGAAACTTAAAACATATCTTTATATCCCAAAGATCTCAGTCCCTTTTGATATTTGCACATTTCAGGCCATAACTTTCCCCTGATTGTACAAAAAATTGCGTTTGTTTTTAGCTTGTTCTCTATCCATCTCTTGTAAAATGTGGGCGTATTCTGCCTGGCAGCCGCTGGTTTCAGAACTTGTAATATTTAAGCTTAAAACAATATAGCATTGTACATCATTCATAACTAACATTTAATCTGAAGAACAGTTTACTTGAAAGATCATATTATTGTCGAATCATAGACTTATCATTGAAATAGGTTTAATATATAGCAGCCTTTCTGTTGTTATTTACACCAATTTTACCTACGTAATAATGATTCTAGACAGAAGATCTACATAAAACATAGGGTCCTGCGGTGTCCTCCCACAGCTAATGACTCCTACATGAAAGCAAATTATTATGATAAAATTAAACCATTGGTTAGTCCCGAAATCATTTGAAAAGTTCACATATCTAACACACATTTTGTTGTACTGTTGTAAATTAAAAGGTATTTTATCTTTTATATATAAATAAGTACATTTATTTGAAAACCTTTTTATTATAGTTAGTAAAATTGTTACTTATTACAGTTAGTAAAATTGTTACTTATTGCATTGTCCCCTTAAAGGATCAATCCTACTTTTTCAACCAATTTAAAAATAAATATCCATAAAGTTGTATTTGATTCAAAATATCAGTTTACAATTAACATTTTTCCTCTCATTAAAAATTTGATGTTATTAATATCAAAAAGTGTTGAGAATACTTTTATTGTGAATTAAAAAATAATTTGAAAGCAAATTATTCTTCTGGAACCTGGATCCAAAGTATGTTAAGCCACCTTACAAGAACAAAAATTAAGGCTCTTTCTTAAAATATATTTTTTTAAAAAAAAACTTACTAAAGACCATGCATAATTATTTTAAAATTGCTGTGGCGCAGATTTGACACAAGTATTTAGGATGTGTGTTTGATGTTCGGAGATTTTATCTTATTTTTAAACTAAAACTTTGTGTAATGTAAATATAATGAACAGGTTTGTTAATTATTTAATGGATAGTATTTATGATAATTTTTAATTAAATGCTATAATTTCTGTGGTTTTTTTTTTTTTGATTTGTTAATATATTTTAGAATTAATTTCAATACTTGATTTTTATTTAGCCTTCATATGTTTTTGTGATATAATAGAAAAAGTGGAATTAATGATTTTTATTTTAATGTGGTTTTATATTTAGAAACCTACAAGCTAACAATGTACACAGGAGTCTCACTTCGGGCCTTATAGAATGTGAACCTCAAAATCATTTATCCTTCAACTAACTTGTTTTTTTAATCATTAATATTTACAATTTTTATACGTCCACATGAAAGTGGACGTATATTGTCGGCCCCTGTCCGTCCGTCCGTCCACAATTTGTTTGTGGACACTCTACAGGTCACAATTTTTATCCAATTAAAATATAGGTCTATCTCCCAAAGATCTCAGATCCTTTCGATATTGGCATATATCGGACCATAACTTCATGGATTATGGCACCTGATAGTAGGAAAAATCACGTTTTTAGCTTGTGGACACCCTAGAGGTCACAATTTTGATCCGATTTTGATGAAACTTGAAATGCATGTTTATAACCCAAATATCTTGTTCCCTTTCGATATTTGCGCATATTGGATCGTAACTTTCTGAATTATGGCCCCTGATTGTACGAAAAATCACATTTTTAGCTTGTGATCCCTCTAGAGGTCACTATTTTTACCCAATTTAAAAAAACGTTTTAGTATATCATCGTTACACCCTAATGATGGTTGAGTTCGAAAATCGGACCAAAACTGCCGAACAATATGGGCCGCCCCTTGTCCTTAAATAGTGTAAAATATGGTATATTAAGGTTGTGCACCCTCTAGAGGTAACAATTTTGATCCGATTTTGATGAACCTTGGAATGCATGTTTATATCCCAAAGATCTTGTTTCCTTTCGATATTTACACTTATCAGATCGTAACTTCCTGAATTATGGACCCTGATTGTATGAAAAATCTCATTTTCTAGAGGTCACAATTTTTACCCGATTTAAAAAATCGTTTTAGTATAATAATTATCATCGTTACACCCTAATGATGGTTGAGTCTGAATTTTGTGAAAACTGGACCAAAACTGCCAGACAATATGGCCGCCCGTTGTACGCAGATAGTGTAAAATATGGTATATCAAGGTTGTGGACCCTCAAGAGGTCACAATATTGATCTGATTTTGATGAAACTTGGAATGCATGTTAATATCCCAAAAATCTTGGTTCATTTCGATATTTGCACATATCGGATCATAACTTCCTGAATTATGGCCCCTGATTGAACGAAAAATCACGCTTTTAGTTTGTGGTCCCTCTAGAGGTCACAATTTTTATCTGATTTAAAAAAACATTTAGATATATCACAATTCCACCATAATGAAGGTTGAATTGGAATATTTGCGCATTTCAGACCATGACTTTCTGGATTATGGCCCCTGATAGTACAAAAAATCGTTTTTGTTTTTAGTTTGTTCTCTATCCATCTCTTGCAAAATTTGGGCGTATACTGCCTGGCAGCCACTGGTCACTGTGCAGGGAAAATAAAGCCAGTCTTTTAGAATGTAGTAACCAGTTGTATGATCTGTTGCTTATAGAATAAAGATCAGTTATAGACAATAGAATCCTTCGTTTCTGGACAATGTTTGTACATCAAAACCACAAAATGATAATCTACATTGTAATATATGAATTTGATTGTACATGTAATAATTGTTTAACTTTAGAATTCTAATGTTTCTATTAAATTTATATACGTTTACTCTGAAATATAAGTGTTGATTTTTTTTTTATGTGCCCACATTGATGAGATGAAGAAGCATAATGAATTTCAACTATTTCTGTTAATTACTTCTACAGTTATAGTCTTTGTTTTAACTTGTAGAATCTAGTCAGTGCTTCAACAACAGTTATCCTCTTTATTATATTCATTATTCATATTGGCATTTGAATTTTCATTAACTTTTTTCTGAAGTTTGTTTTTCTAGAGTTAAACTTAAACATACATTATGCGAGAGCCTATTGCAGGTCTTTCTTTAGACCTGAAATGTTATCAAAATTATTAATTAGACATTAATTAACTTATCCAGACCATAATCAACGCTCGATAGCTTGCGACATTTAGCAGATTGGAATACATTTTTTGAAAAATAATTAAACAAAGATAGGTTGCCAGGCAACGAAACATACGCCCACAGCAACTAAATCGTCCGGGAAGTCAACAAGGGTTGTCGCATATTTTTACTTTTTTCGGTAATGAAACATTTATAATACACTAAAATCTGATTAAGAGCAACAACTCACAAAGTAATTATCAGAAAACTATTAAAATTTGTTTGGTTTTTATAAAGTTCTGCCCCATGCTAACCTTTTGTATGCAAAGCTTTTAATATCATAGATTTAACTGTTCAAGTCATACAAATTCATTGAAAATCAATATACTTGTTCGTCTCAAGATCTTAAACTCTGTGTATCAATCTGAAGTCAATCGGATGATAAATTAAGGGCCATAACTTTGGCAGTAATTATCAATAGGAATCTTCGTCTCATGACCTCAAACACTGTGTATAAATTTAAACTCAATCGGATATTAACTTGAGCCTCAAGAGCATCCACAAGATTTTTTTAAGTGATCAAGGGCCATAACTCTGGCAGTAATTATCGGAAATCGCTGAAAATCAATAGGCTTCTTCGTCTCATGACCTTAAACACTGTATAAATTGAAAGTCAATCGGATATTAACTTTGGCCTCTAGAGCATCCACAAGATTTTTCAAAGTGATCAAGGGCCATAACTCTGGCGGTAATTATCGGAAATCGCTGAAAATCAATAGGCTTCTTTGTCTTTAGCCTTTAGAGTGTCCACAAGCAATTGTGGATGCCGGACCGCCGGACGGACGGACGGACCGCTGACAATATACGACCACATTTCAATGTGGGCATATAAAAATGGATAATCGAGACTGCTTTTTATTGCATCGACTTTAGTAATGATGATTGAGGCAAACTGAAAATTCAAAAGCCAATATCTTGGTTCAGAGTGGAGCAATTGGATATTCTGTTTACCTTTTTTTTATACGCACACATTGTCATGTGGACGAATTATGCCATCGCCCCTGTCCGTCCGTCTGGACATCTGTCCGTCTACAATTTGTTTATGGACACTCTACAGGTCACCATTTTTATCTGATTTTGATGAAACTTAAAATATAGGTCTATCTCCCAAAGATCTCGGATCTTTTCGATATTGGCATGTATCGGACCATAACTTCATGGATTATGGCACCTGATAGTAGGAAAAATCACGTTTTTAGAGGTCACAATTTTGATCCGATTTTGATGAAACTTGAAATGCATGTTTATAACCCAAATATCTTGTTCCCTTTTGATATTTGCGCATATTGGACCGTAACTTCCTGAATTATGGCCCCTGATAGTACGTTTTTAGCTTGTGGTCTCCTCTCGAGTTCACAATTATTCGAAAAATCACATTTTTAGCTTGCGGATTCTGTAGAGGTCACAATTTTTTTTCTGATTTTAAAAAACGTTTAAATATATCACCATTCCACCATGATGAAGGTTGAATTCGAATTTCAGGAAAATTGAAATGAAACTACCCAACAAAATGGCCACTCTTTGTACGCAACTTGTGTAAAAGTATGTAATACAAAGGTTGTGGACCCTCTAGAGGGCACAATTTTTATCCGATTTTGATGAAACTTAAAACATATCTTTATATCCCAAAGATCTTGGTCCCTTTTGATATTTGTGCCTTCAGACCATAACTTTCTGGATTATTGCCCCTGATTGTACAAAAAATCGCATTTGTTTTTATCTTGTTCTCTATCTCTTGCAAAATGTACGTGTATCCTGCCTGGCAGCCGCCGGTTTAACTATTATAGCGAGGTCTGTCAACTCTTTATCTAGTCTCCCATAATGCCTCTTTAAGAAGGACAACCTCTATGGACTGCTCGGAGGACTGAACTGTTGTTGGGGTTTAATGTTCTGCTTTCATTCACCAACTGGACTAATGAAGACAAATTCTTTATGGGCATATTTCAAAGGTTCTTTAACGTGCATGCCAACATGTACACAGGTGGACCTTTTTTGCTTCATCCTTGCTATTCCCTTCTCTCATGCACCAACACCAGGATCGTAAAGGAACTCCTGCTTAGTTAGCCAGTGCCAATTTCACTGAGCCATACTAAGAAAAGGGGACCAACGCTACCCCTACCGTCCATATTCCTGCTTTGATTGATATGGTACTTTTCAAAATGATGAGAATGAAATATTAAATGGCTGTAACGACTGTAATGTGATGAGGCAAAGAGAGAGAGAGAGAAATGGGGTTTAACATCCACACACAAACTAGGTCATTTTGGGACTAACATATGGTTCAATTTTATTTCAATAATTCGATTGAACGTAGGGGTCTTTAGCACTGGGAGGAAACAGGAGGACCCAGAGAAAACCCACGAGGTTGGACAGGCGCCCATACTCCTTGTCACGTACAACCTGGGAATCGAAACCACACTAGTCGACTCAATGACAGACCTTGTGATACAGCACGTACGTGCTAACCATTCAGTCATCCAACCCCCCATGAGGCAAAAAAGGCAAGTCGTTGGGTTTGTTTTTCCAAATTTACAGAATAAATATCAACAAAGATAGGTTGCCATGCAACGAAACATACGCCCACAGCAGCTAAATCGTCCAAGCAGTCGACAAGGTTTGTTGCATATTAAAATTTATTCCTTTGTAGGTAATTTGGGGGCCTTTACAAGACAGTTCCATACAGATCAGATTATAAATTTTGTCGTTTGAGGGTTTACAAGGTTCTACAAACTGAAACAAGGGTCTCAACTCTGGAAGTAATCTACAGAAATTGTTGAAATTTGACAGGCTTTTTCGTTTTACTAATTTAAATAATACATATAAATTTCATACAGATTACATGATCACTTTTGTCATTCACAAGGTTCACAATCGTCTTAACTCTAGAAATTATTGACAGAAATTGCTGAAATTTCATAGACCTCTCTCTTTTTCACAAATTTATCCATCGAGCATTTACACGGTTTAACAAAGTGAATCAAGGGCCATAACTCTAGAAGTAATTACTGTAAATTACTGAAATTCAATAGGCTTCGTGGTTTCACTAATTTAAATAATGCATATAAATTTCACAAAGATCTGATGATAACTTTAGGCGTTTGAGCGTTCACAAGGTTCAATAAAGTGAAACAAGGGCCATAACTCTAGACATAATAAACAGAAATTGCTGAAATTCAATAGTATTATTCTTTTTACTAACTTAAATGGCACATATAAATTTCATCCAGATCGGCAGTTAACTTTAGAGGTTGGAGCGTTCACAAAGTGAAACAAGGGCCATAACTCTAGAAGTAATAAACGGAAATTGCTGAAATTCAATAGGATTCTTCTCTTGACTAATTTAAATGACACATGTAAATTTCATACAGATCGACAGAGCGTTAGAGCCTTCCCATGGTGCAACAAAGGGCCATCACTTTCGTCATTCAAAGTTCACAATCGCCATAACTCTAGAAATTATTGACGGAAATTGCTGAATTTCAATAGACCTGTTTCACAAATTTAAATCATGCAAATATAAATTTCATATATATCCGATGATAACTTTCATCAATCGAGCATTAACACGGTTTAACAAAGTGAAACAAGGGCCATAACTCTAGAAGTAATTGAAGGAAATTGCTGAAATTCAATAGGCTTCTTCGTTTCACTAATTTAAATCATGCATATAAATTTCACAAAGATTGGGTGATAACTTTTGGCGTTAACAGCAGCTTTCACAAGGTTCAATAAAGTGAAACAAGGGCTATAACTCTAGACATAATAAACAGAAATTGTTGAAATTCAATAGGCTTCTTCGTTTCACTAACTTAAATATTGCATATAAATTTCACAAAGATCTATGTTAACTTTTGGCATTAGAGCGTTCACAAGGTTCAACAAAGTGAAACAAGGGTCATAACTCTAGACATAATTAACGAAAATTATTGAAATTATATAGGCTTCTTCATCTCACTAATGTAAACAACATATATCAATTTTAAAACAATTGGATGATAATTTTTGGCATTAGAGCATTCACAAGAAATTGTGGACGATGGACGGACTGACAGACAGATGGACCAACAGATGGACGGACCGACCGACAGATGGGCGGACGGGGGCGACGGCAATATACGTCCACATTTCAATGTGGACGTATAAAAACACAAAAATGGGTGTGTTTCTGCCCCCAATAGTCAGGACATGTACCAAACTCAACAGTTGGCGCCCTTAGGCTATAAGGAATACATATGCCAAGTTCCAAGATGGTCCATTCAGAATTGCAGCCTGTATACAATAAACACAAAAATGGGGTAGTTGCCGTCTTTAGGCTATAAGGAATACACATGCAAAGTTCAAAGACGACCCATTAAGAATTGTGGTTTGTAGGCAACACACAGACACACAAAGGAAAAATGGATGTGGCTCTGCCCCTGGGGGTTAGGCACTCACTAAAACAATAATGGCTAGCTTTTTATCTAAATCTTACGTAATGCTTATTTAATTACATATTACTTCTGTATATTCTAGACTCTAAACCTAACAAAAAAATTTTTTTTCTATTCAGGTTTTTTCAAACTCCCATGACATTTTGCAATGATGTACTGATAAACTCACTGAAGTCTCATGCAATAATGCAGTCGATGTCTGCCATCTGAACATTCCCAACTTAGATTACATGTTCGACCCGATTCAGTGTAGAAAATCAGAATAAAGACAAAATGAAAAAAAAAAACCCATACAATTTTAAATAAATTGCTCAAAATTGGGTGGAATCATTAAAACTGAATATAATATTCAATCATAATAAAGTAAGTGGTCTGGAAACTACTTAACATCATTGCTCCACAAAAATAAAAAAAAGTGATTAATCAATAATTTACATTAACCCCCAGGTCAAGTAATAAAAAAAAGTAACAAAACATTTTATTTGGAAATAATTTGATTAAAAATCAATAAATAAAAGAATTTGTCTAAAAGTGAAAAGAAACTAAAAGCAGAAAAACCATGTACTCTGTTGTGTAATAATTCTTTAAAACTGACAATAGAAAAAAAAAGTATTGATGTAATACAAGAATACAATAATTACAGCACACTGTGTAGAGCATTCTACCAGATAATAATTAAAATATAGTTTGTCAGTGAAAGTTAATAAGTAACAATACAACACACTATCGTAACTCTTGTTTCGATGTCAGCACCGATTAATCAAATTATTTGTATCACAATTCAGCAAACATTCTTAGAAGTATGTTCCAACTTATTTCAAAAGTGATGGAACTCTTAGATTCCGATCTAATCTTCAATCTCACATTGGTCAGAATTGCCTTCATTGGGTTAATAATGTAACAAATAGTTATCTTTTTCATGAGCTATGTTTCATGATTGTTGGATATTAAATATTACAAATATAGAAACAACTATATATTTCACTGAGCACTACAGATAAAAATAAAATCTCCTACTCGTCTTTTCTGATATCAAAAAAGACTGGTAGGAGAATCTCTATTTCTCCAAAATTAAAATACTACATAATACATATGGATTTAACATTCTTGGTTAGTAAATTAAATACATATATTAAATAGGTTTTTCAAAATATACATTTTTACTGGTAATTGCACTTTTATAAATATGATTTATGGAGGTTAAGAAAATTTACTTAAATTATAAAAATTCAATTCCAAGGTTATTGTATCTACTGTTCTAAGTAAGTTTTATTAACCACCTGTCTATTATATAGTTTTATTATCAACAAATATGAGAGTGTATAGTTTAATAGATCAACATCTACAGGTTTAATATATATATATATATATATATATATATATATATATATATATATCTGTGTGTGGGACTTAATTTAATGTATAACTTTCCTATATTAGGCCGTGTTGAATTGATTCCTTGTTTCTCCTCGCCCGTGCACTTACCATTTTAACACAAAAAAAATATTCAAAAAATTACATTAATAACATCTAAATAAAATTCTACCAAACATGAGAAGTCAATTCTCGTTGTTTATCCCTCGTTACGAACTAAAGATGTTGATAATACACATGTAGGGGCCCGCATACCCTGGAAAAAGTTACACTGTTATTTGATTCGATGAATTCTGCAAAATGACGCGTGTAGCGGTCATTTCGGCTAATGGGAAAGCATATTATAAACTGTAAGACAGTCGCTAATATTCAACCGTGAACCTGAATAATCAATATGTTCATTGGCTAAAATTATAACACATTATTATTCATGTATTGTCCACTCATATCTTGTGTACTAAATTACACACGCCTTACAAAATGGCTGGCAATGCAGGGACATAGGTAAATTCGTGTACCAGTAATTTATTAAATTTGTGTACCAGTAATTTATTAATCTTCAAGTAAATAATAGTGCTCCCATTCATTCGTTTGTTCGTTAAACTCCATAAACGAACGAACGGGACCACTATTATTTCCTTGAAGATCAATAAATTACCAGTAAGCGAATTTACCTATCTCGACTGCACTCTGTGGGTATTCCCAGCACTTTCACGTTCGATGATATTGTCGAAACTATGTATAACTCAGCAAGCGAATCAAATTTCGTCTAACTGAAATGTTTTCATTGTATTGTAACACAAGAATACAAAAAATTTCTATCAAAATATGGTTATTTCATATTTTAAAAAGTTAAACAAGAAGCCACTTGTTACAAAATTTTAGTTTGTTATTAAATTTATTCATTTAAATATTATCTGTGTTTTTATTCTTCTAACCAATAATATAAGTAGATTATTTATAATATTAAAAAAAGGTACACAACCCTCAGACTATAGATATTTTGCTAGACCATTTTGTGTTTTGAAACCCATTTTGTGTTGTGTTTAAAGCACTACCACACATGATTGCAATAGTGGTAGGAGAAACAAGGAATCAATTCAACACAGCCTTAAACAATAAATCTATCTTTATTAATGAATATGCATAAAATATTTAACAACCTTGTAAACCATGTATTATGGTATAATAGGTTTAACTTATGCTATGTCTTTTACACAATATATATAATTTCACATTCTTTCTTGTCCACAAGTTATCTAATAAAACAAATAGTGCTTTGACATTGCAGTCAGTGAATTTATTTTATTGTGCTGCAAATAAAATACTATTGGGTAAAATAAAATTGTGATATTTTGGAGGAAATTGTCAAAAAACTACATAAAATATAAAAATAAATCTACAAGTCAATGAATACAATATACAAAATATAAATTTTGATACAAAAATGAATTAAATGTTATACCTAGATTGTTAACAAAACACTGCTAAAATAAATTTCTAGTGAGAATTTAAAACTTCTGAGTAGGGTGTATAAAGAATATTTTGATACAAATATTAAAAACTTACATTAGCATAAGCAATACATTATAGCCATATATATTACTGCTACAACCATGAACATACTTTGTAAATAGTACAATTCTACAGTTACTCAGATCCAAAAGTACAAATCTAAGCACATATATATTTATCAATTTTTGATTAATCAAATGCTTTGTTTTCTCATTCTACAGGTATTTGTGTAATGTTGTATCTCACTTTACAGTTCTGTAGCCATCTTGCTACTCATGGCTTGTATTCTTTTGGCATTACAGTTTTTACATAAAATATGATCATCTAACGGATAACACCCTCTACCTTCTGCCTCTGATGATAATTGCATTCCACAATCCTGTTAAAAAGAAAATTGTTTGGAATTTTAAGACATATTTCAGAATATAATCTCCTCATGTCAGTGATGCAGGACTGGGGTCATGGTAAGGCACAATGTCTAGTTGTTCGTATGGGACAAACAATCAAGGCCCCGCATAAATGTTGGTGTGCAAATAAAAGAAGCCTCGTCAGGTGTCCAAGTCGAATTTCCTAATAGCACACTGCATGGAACATGCCAGTTTTCATTCTTTGGCGCAGAAAAGTAGGAAATAACCAACACACGCCCCCCCCCCCCAACACCTACATTTGATTTCAATTTTAGAAATTCAATGAGATTTGTTTATCAGCCTTGTCATTTAGAGGAATTTTCTGTTCATCTCCACTGCACTGAGTACTATAAAGTATTTTTTTCTTAACTATTATTCTGTTTTGTGTATGAGTTATATGACCCTAAATACCAGGAAAACCTAATTCTTATTTCACACACTATAATGCATGTATTATATAAAATAGTTACAGACTCATAGGATGATAAAAACAAATATAAATATATCTGTGTTTAACATTTGATCAACAATCAGATATTAGACTATAAAAAAAACATCCCAGTTTGGGTAGACATTGTCTGCGACATCACCTAGGTGGAAGCCGACGTAAAATCTCCTTTTGAAGACGAACACGCAGAGATAACAAATGATAATATAATAGAACTGTGTCTTATAAGGTTATAATCAAGTCATTGATGCTTTGGGTCAGTGCGTCAGCATTTTAGGGCAGAAGGCTGGGGTTAATTTTCAAGCAAATCTGTATAATTGGCTTTTTTGATAATCTTGACCTTAGTTTGCTGTAATCTGAGCTTGGAACCATGAAACATAACAATCTAAAGACTGGCTATTTATATAACTTATCAAACTTACTTCACATCTATAACATGAAACGTGAAAACTTTTATCCATGGCTACAATTCTAACAGTTTCATCTTGACCAGCCTCGGGCATAATAGGTTCATTACATGAACAACATCGTGGTGCAAATTTACTGAAAACAACAGATGACTAATATTAACTTTTATATATGAAATTGAGAAGAAACATGTCTAAAGGCCAGAATGTGATATTATTCTGAGTGAATATAACCAATAAATATAATTTCTAAATTTGATTATATAAATTCTGGATGATTTTCTGGACAGAGATCACAAGTACAAATTAATACATGCATATTTACTTACTTATGAAAATCTTTAATACAGTGTATTTGATTGGTAGCATCAACTGTAAATGGTATACCATCTAAACTTATACCACACACCACACAAGTAAAACAAGCTGGGTGATAAGGTCTACCAGTAGCTCGTAACAACTGGAAGAAAAAACATTTCAAAATGTTAAAGATACAAATATGTAAGATTTAGATAAAGAACTAGCCATTCTTGCTATAATAGTTCGAAAGTAGATGATGTAAAATGAATAATTTGAAAATTTCATACAAATTACTCTATTGCAAGCGAAGATATTAGCCTTTGAAGGTTTGAAAGACGTGTGCAATAATTTCAACCACCGTACTGGTTGATAAAAGCTAAGTCTCGGTCCTCCATATTTGATTAAATCAAAGTATCGCTGAACCATTCTAATCTATTTAATATCGGAGAAATCTGATCCCATCGAGGGTTGATTAAGGCCTGGATCAGTTAATTAATGTCTAATTAATACGTTAGAAAACATTTCAGGCCTAAAGAAAGACCTGCAAGAGGCATATTTAGCTCTTGCATAATGCATGTTTAATGTCAGCTACATATCTCAAGCAATAATGAATAAAGTGTTATTCCCGTTCGTTGTATATATTGTATCATATTAAAACTCATGTATTAAATATATATTTAAATTATATGTTTTCATGTATGTTCTATATGTAAGTGTCCGTTTGATAAGAGTCTAACAACAAATGTGTACATCACATAATTTAACCAAAGGTCGTCACATATGCTATTGAACATACATTATGCAAGAGCTAAATCTGCCTATTGCAGGTCTTTCTTTATAGGCCTCAAATGTTATCTAAATTATTAATTAGACTTTCATTCTTGATTTACTCGTGAAATGGATAATCGAGACAATGTTTTTTATTGTACCGACTTTAGTAATGATGATCGAGGCTAGGCCGAAAATTCAATCGCTAAAATCTGGGTTCAGAGCGGATCAATTTGACAGAAATTTTCAGCAAATTCCCTTTGCATTATCTAGTTTTAAACTATTATATAGTGAGAACTGCCAGCTCTTTATCTAATCTGCCATAATGTATCTTTAATCACTTGAGGGTTCTGTACAAAATCCATAGTTATTCTTTCTAAATATCAATTCAATGTTCAGTCATAATGCAATATTTACAACCGAAAAGCGGGACAAGTCAACACAGTAACTGTTGAGAAATCTTATAAATAATTCAAATTTAATACAAACCCTATCTGTAATAGCTTTAGAACAAACAGAACATTTCTCAAGAGTATTCTGAAAAAAAAAAGAAGAAAATACAGTAAAAATATTATTTTAAATGTATATTTGTTGGTGCCATTTATTGTTGAACTTATTCTATTTTATCTGTTAAGACAATTGGAGGGATTGATTAGGAATTGAATATGCAATACAATCTCTTCAAAAGTCTGCACATGCTATACTATAATCTCTAGAGGTATATTATAGGTGGTATAACAATGACACTGTTCTGAATACTTACCATATAGCATGATTCACAATATGGTTTATTTTCCATTTGGAAGAATGATTTTCCCTGTAAACCACAGCCTGAAGATAAAATATTACAAAAATATAGATTTACAGTACTGGGGCATTCCACGTCAAGTGTACACACTTTTATGACGGTGTGTCTCTACGATTTTGACCAAACTTGCAGGGATTGGTGTCCACCCTGAAAGAAAACACTATCCCATGTTTTGGGTCATTTGGCCTAATGGGACCCCTTGTATGGGTCACCAAAGATTTAGGCCATTCGACTGACTTTGCAGCTTCTATCAGCGATAACTCAACACACAGTTGTCCGATCTCGATGATATTGGTATCAAAATACTCAGCAGACTGAGCCCTTTCATTCGACTTAAGGCATGATGTTCTGCGATGATTTTTTTCGAAAAACATCTTTTTGTGTGACTTTTGACCTTGAACCTCTCTACCAGGATCACAAATCGATCAGGTCATTTTTTTTCCCCAAAATGACATATCCTATAATCGTCATACACACCCAAAATCAGAGTGGGATCTCCATGGGAACACGGTCAAATTGACCACTAAAGATGGGTACCCTTACATGCTATCCAGTTCAGCTGTCACATAGGTGCCAACTCGTCATATACTAATGCATTCGACAATAGGCCCACTGTAACGTCCCAGCTACGATAACTTTCTGGGCTCATCGATCCCACTCTGAGTTCGCATCATACAAGTCCCGTGAACTCCCAGTCTCGTACTACCAAGTGCTACAAAATATACAATTCCAGGCTACAGAAGTTCTCATTGCGCTTACGGTAGGCAGGCAGGACTATTGGCATTATCCACACCATCACAGCTTTCGACAGCTGATCCCCTCACGCAAATGAAGCGATGACGCCACCCATATGAAGTGCGGATGACACTAATCCTAAACCGAGACGTGCTCGATGTGAAAAATTTGATATCTGAAGTATTCATTTCTATCATACTTCCGTAACAACACTTCAAATTTTAATGAAATAAAGAAGGCAGAAATGATATTGAAGTGAGGAAGAAGCCATGCCAAATATGCAAATTAGGCTTCCACGAAGTGTTCACTTCATTAAGTGTTGTGCTCAATTCAACCCTGTGTTTATCGGGTGTTTTTCGTTCGCATTTGCACCATTCACCAAAACGTGAAGCTGATGATGATTGGATGTGTCTAGCCTGCAAACACAACTAATGGAGGCCTACGATGACCACGCTGTTGATCAAGTACAATTCCAGCAGTGGACAACGACGGATATGCATTTGGAGGAATTTGTCGAAAACGTTTCTGAAAAGTCACTAATTAAACATGATTTCATTGCAAAATCTCAGGCAGCTTTCTTGAAGCAGAAAAAGGAAGTCTTAGTCGACGGGGAATTTGTGGTTATCGGAGACTTTTCGGAAAACTTTTCTTTTGTAGTGCAGGAAATGGCCCAAGTCTACCACTGGAATAATGCGCAGGCTACAATCCACCCGTGGGTATGTTACTACAAGAATGGACAAGACCTTCTGCACGATTCATTAACAATCATTTCCGATTTCAACAATCATAATGTTATATCGGTCCAACTTTTCCAGCGAAAACTAATTTCGCACTTGAAATCATTATTTCCCGTGGTGAGAAAAATTTACTATTTCTCTGATGGATGCGCGGCCCAGTACAAGATCTGCAAATCATTTTTGAATTTGTGCTATCACGAACATATATTCAATTGTCAGGCCGATTGGCATTTCTTCGCCACCAGCCATGGGAAAGGCCCATCTGATGGCGTGGGAGGGACAATCAAACACGAGGCTGCTAAGGAAAGTTTGAGGCGTCCATATGAAAATCAGATCACTAGCCTAAAACTTCTGTATGAATTCGTGACGGGGGATTTGAAAAACAACCTAGGAGGATTACGATAACGAAACGCCTGGCAATTAAACCAGGGTTACAACTGGCAAAGACCGTCGCCAGAATGCAGAAATTACATGCCATAGTACCAGTATCTGAGTCAATAGTTTCTGTACGCGAGTACAGCAATGCTAAGGATGGACGGGTTGAGGCTGTGGCTTCAGCCCCATTATTCATCGAATTTCAACTGGCTACGTCACTGCTAAATATGACAGACATTAGTGGCTGGGTTATATTACGGAATTGCATCAAGAAACCAGGGAAGTTAAGATTAACTTTATGGATCCCAGATGAATTGGTGCAACGAGTAGATAAATCGGACATACTGTTATCAGTCAAACCAACATTTCAAGACAATGAAACTATTGTACGTTTGCATGTAATCAAGTACCAGCAAAGCTCACAAATGTCAATCATAATGAAGAACTATTCTCAAATTTTATCATTAATATCAGATGCCTAGTATTACCCATAGACTCGATTGAGGCAAGTCGACACCCATTTAATTATCTTCCACAGTAAAATAACTAATGAGAGACTATTTACTTACCACAACTAACACATACAAAACATCCAATATGATAAATCTGATCCATAGCTGTACATCCATTAGATTCACCTAATACATTCATATTACATTTACCACATACACCTATAATATATAATCACTAAACATATTACATTTACCACATACACATATAATATATAACCATATATACTATTAACTATATATTCTTTTCTATTAGTATCAAAATATGTCCACTCTAATGCATACATGTAGCAGTGGTGGTATCTTGTTTATAAACAGTTCATTAATAGTTAAAATCATGGGTTCCACGTCGGCTGTATATGCCGGTCAGAACCTTGGGCTATAGAAAATGACCGTAACTAGAGCTGACTCAACGGTCATTTTGCATGCCGGAAAGAGAGCCTTTTTTTTCAAACCCAATTTTCAAACAAGGCTACGATCGACCTTCACTATGTAACTATACAACTGTACGGCCAGTACAGAAGAATAATGCACCCGTATATAGAGGCCATATAATCTCGTGATTGGTGTTATAGAGTTGTATACAGTCGTCAACAGATTATAATGAGTGTTGTGTTGATAATTAATGATGAGTGTCTGGTAGTAGAACAATTAAAATTAAATGATATGTGGGAATCTAATCAATGGCGTGCAGCGGTCCATTGTTAATCACGTGTCATAAGAATTTTCTACAACAAAGCTGTAGGCGTTTACCGCTATTACAGTCACGCACGATGTAAACAAAGTTATTATGATCTTTGAAAAAAGACAATTGATATGAAGTACTTCTCATCGAATCCAACCAACTGTCATATCAAATAAAAACAGCATAGAAATTACGCAAATCCTCAAAAACGAACGTGTTGGGAGAAAATTACGGCCTTGTGGGAATTGTAGAAATAAAATCTAGAGATTAGTTAACTTGCTTATCGAAAAATTAAGAAAATTGCGTATTCCAGTTCTATTGTGCAGCAATATTGTTAATTCCACGTGTAGCAAAAATGTCGTGTATATACGGTTACTCTTATACATGACGTGTCGCTAACTGTGAAGTTAGTTATCGGTTGGTCATAGTTATACATTATTAGGATTTACGTCACAATTCTGCGGCCCGTAATCCCGTAAGACATGGTCTAAAACCAATAAATGTGAGATACATGCCGTGGATAATTATATATGTATCTTCATTTCAAAGTTATTGTATTACAACTCAAAATTATCCAGGTCAGTGTGTTTTCTATAGAGCACGTGGTAATTACATGTGAGCTACTGAAATGTTTTTTTCTACAGCCAATTCAGCTATTTCGTTATTTAAGTAGCCAAAACGGAATATTAAATTAATAAATAATTATTATAAGCCTTACTAATATTTCATTTTTAAGTCCAATATATGTTTTTTTGTGTACCCCATGCTGACAAAGTGGTATAGGCACGTGAATTCACAATAAAATCCATGAATAAAAACCATGAAATATGAATTTACTTTGAAAAGTTTTCTCGGGTTATCAAAAATGACCGGCAGTGAAAATTTTGAAGTGGAATCCCTGGTTAAAATTATTGACCTTCTTTTAAGATTGTACATCTTCTCTTAGAATATGTATGTCATTGAACAGTTATTTGTCTATTTGATCTCATTGAAATTAATTTAAACCTTGACTTGAGATAATATATATTTCTAAAACAACAATTTGTGGTTGGATTTCCTTTATATTACCATTTAACTTACTAAACTGGAATGGAATCTGTTTCAGCTTATGTTTTACTTACCATAAAAATCGGGCTCGGCTGATGACTCAATACTCTGCATTAAAAGATTGGTCAAAGCATCCACTTCAGCTTCTTTTTCTTCTTTGGGCGATTCTGGAGCAGTTGTTGTGATGATAGGTATGGGAGGACCGGGCAGTGGACGTTCTTGTCTAAATTCCCCAGATCGTGGTCGTCCAGCCCGATTGGAAGCCATGTTAATGTTCATATAATTACTGGATTGATTGGGTGTGTAAGGTGAATTTCTACCATCTCTACTGAAGGAAGGTTGACTGGGACTATAGTTAGATCGGTCATAATCTGAATTGACGATGTAAGCTGTCTTTGCACGCACCTGCTCATAACCATGGGATGTTGCCGGTGGGGGAGGAGGGGGTGGGGGAGGGAAATCCTGATGGTCTTGGTAAGAGTAACCATGAAATTGTTCAGGAGGAGGAGGAAGCGGATAATCTTCAGTGGCACCAAACTTGACTTTCTTATAACCATCACCTGGAAAATACATTTACAGAACATATTGGTAATTTTAGTTACATATACATGTATGTAAGATGTATGTACAAACTTGGTGATTTGATGATATATTTGGACTAAAAACATACTCAAACTAATTAATTTATCATAATTTTGCTTCAAATCCTTCTCAAAATATTACAATTGCCAAGGAATACCCATACTATAAAAAAATCGATCAAAAGAGGTCATGTTTGTGTCACGTCGTGACTTACCTCTCTCGGTACATGGCAACGGAGGCATAGTCGGAGGAGAATTCATTGCATACACAAGACAATGTTGTCTTTAATCGCTGACTATTTATTACAAATATCGAAGCCTAATTAAATTCTCGGATTACCCACTGCCCAAGTTTTTGTCCGTGGTTTTTAACTCAGAAACTGTTGTACGTCTAACTCTTCATAAAGTTTATCAACATGTACATCAAGCGCTCAATCTCCTCGTGCGACCTTTGACGTCACCGCGTGCAGACACTCCTAATCGTCGGGTTGTCGATTAGGGAAACCCTTACAGTTTTGTCCTGCATGCGCTCCATGAGTGTTTTTCAGGGCATCCAGTATTTTTCTAGGAAAATTGGATATTTCTACCTTCCATATATACCAAAATTGACATACTTTTATTGGAAATAACCACCCGATAAATACTTTTCTGGGAACCTATCATTAAGCAATCTAGTGCATATTAAAACTCTACAGAGATTACCTAACAGATTGGATACATGTACATTGTACATAGGACCTGATCATGTTCAAGTTATCACAAATTGTTTAAAATCAATTGGCAATGAAACATACTGTACATGTACATCCACAGCAGCCAAGTCGTGGGCAAAGGTTGTCGCATATCTATATCTATTCTTGTGCATCAAGAGGAACAACCCACAAAGTAATTATCAGATTTATCTAAATACGATTAGCTTCTAGTTCTACTTCTAGTGGGCTTAATAAATGTTGTTTAAAGATCTAAAACTGGGATTCTCCAAAGATGGAATGAATGACTGAATGAAATTGAGTCATATGGCACCTCAGCTCAAACCTGGCACTATCTCACAAATTTAAGTAGGGGGTGGTGTTATTTTACATATGCTGATGTTAAAATTCGGGGCCCCCCTTCAAAAGTTGTAGTTACCCTACCCATGTATGAACATATTTTTTTTCTTTTTTCTGACCGCCCTAACCCCCTGTACACACGCCCAGAAGATAATGTGGGTTAAACTGAGGGTGATAATTTAGATTTCATTAAAAATCTTCATTATTTTTCCCTGTATAAACCTCATCTTGACTCTATACATGTATAAGGGTTTTCGTGGTCACTGATTTCATTGGTGATGTTAAATTGAAGATTTAAAAATCAAAATTAGCGTAAATCCAAGATGGTGGCAATATTTTCACAAATTTCATACGTGTTGATATTTTTTCAGTTGTTAGCGACCTGTCTTACCATTTACCGTTACATTTTCATATAGTATTTTATTTAACAGTGAATACAGTCTATAATATTAACAATGCTGTCATTATTATATATATATATATATATATATACACACTGTATATATATATATCCTTGACAAAACAATAGACACAACAAGAATTCAACCCGATGACTCATTTTAAATTATACACTGTATACAGTACTATACATAAATATGTATTTTTTGTTAAAGGAATGTGTGTTATGTTTTCCATCTTGTTTAAATAGCTTTCTCAACTCTCCAGTTAATTAATGATGGAGTCCTTCCTAACCACTTCAACTGACACATTATACATGTAATTAGGAGTGTAAAATTACATGACTGTATCAAATAAATTACACACTTCAATCCTTTGGAATGTTATCCTGGATCTGAGAAATCATAAGAAGCAAAGACTAAGGAAGTTTTCTTACTGCACCCATATAATTATAATTTAGCTTGTAGCTAAACTTGACATACATACTCAGTAGGCTTATACAACAGAGATACGAAACATTGTACATTATATCTAAGAATAAGTTTGTACGCTAAATTAATTACATGGTGTACCTGTTCATGTAAATGTAACCGGTACATGTACATAAGGGAAATATTAATCTGTTACATCCTGGTTTTACTGGGTACCAAGTTTGGCTTGGTTCTTTATGCACATGGTTAAGTGAAAAGGGACCAATTATACATATCTATTTGATTCTCTGTTTTCGTATTGAAGCTACTTTGTAACATCTGTTTCAATCAACAAACCAACTGTTTATCATTATTAAATAAATCTTTGATATGGTGTTACATTACTTATATTTATGACATTAACTCTTATTACTTCACACACAATGTTTCAATAATGACAAGTTTTATTGTACTTTTGGAGCATAATGACTTTATTTTAAACACTGAATATCTCTAACCAAAATGGTCAATAAACAATTTCTAAGGAAAGATACATGTATCTGACATACATCATACAGGACACAATTCTATGGATTCTCCTACATCCTATTCAATTGTCTTTCCTGCTTGATAACAAATTACAGAATCCTAGTTAAAACCTGTCCTGTGTTGTTCCAGTTCAATTAATAGTAAATACAATGTACATTATCACTGACTGCCAGTTGAAACAATTTATACATGTACCCGGTACACATTATAATCAAGTGATATTTCAAATAAAAGTACTCAATACCAGACAGTAGAGACAGAAGAAATGATGATAACTGAAACTGTGTTTGGGTGGGAACCTTAGTGAAATAATGAAGTAATTTGTACTCTAACTTTTAACATTTACATTAACATAAGGTCATCAGGTGATAGCTGGCTCTATGCCATCTCTATTTTATCAACTATAATAATATACACTTGTCTTGCTCTACCTTTCACTACTGTTGTTTACAGTAACTTTATCAATGGCATCATGTTACCTATTTGAACACCTATTTACAATATATACCAATCAGGTGGCATCACATGTACTTATCTTTTATAACAATAAATTCTAATGTTGACATGTGTACAATGCTATAAGAGCAATCAAAACTACAGCGGACGTAAAATACAACTAACTAACAACAACAACAACAGATAATCTTCATAAGCCTGGTTGAATCCTCAATGTATAAATGTACATATGCAAATTACACACAGCAAATGTACTTTTTAAAAATAATTGTAAAAAACTCTTCAGTTCATCACACATGTACTATTCGACATACATGTAGCTCTAAAGTGCCACTATAACTTGGTAAAAAGATCTTTCAATCAATTATTCAAATTAGAATTTTATAAATCAGTCAAAATAGCTGGGATATAAGTGATGTTTTATTAAAGATACATTAACATTACGCAAGAGCAAAATCTGCCTATTGCAGGTCTTTTTTCAAGCGGCGTCTACACGATATAACCAATCCATACAACCATCAGATGCAATGGTCGCATCCGACCAACTGTTGTATGGATAGGATCAGTTCTATTCTCATCCAACCAACTGATGCAATAGCCAATCAATTAGCATTCTATTAGACAACGTCATTTGATGTATGACATCATATCTGACTTGGCAACCTGAATTTCTGATTAAAGATGTCTTCTTCGTCGCTTCGAGTACTTTGATGTCTTTTAAAATGGATTATAAACATATCCGCGACCGAATTGGAATATCTAATAACTCTCTATACGAAACATGGACTTTTTGGAACCCGCTGCATGATGCATTAAAACTACACGAAGACAGTGGTGAGAAGTGTCGCCTTACTGCCATTTTATTCAGTTACTAAGCGGGAACAAATGTTGCTTACAACGCCTCAGACTATTGTATCATATAAACAGTCGTCCAATATGTTGCATCCGATGGTTGTATGGATTGTTTGTATCGTGTAAACGCCACTTTAGGCCTGAAATTTTTCAGAAACTATTAATTAGACATTTATTACCACGAAAAGACCTTACGACGGACCGACAGACGGATGGGGGCGACGGCAATATACGTCCACATTTCCATGTGGGTGTATAAAAATGGACAATAGAGACTATGTTTTTTATTGTATCGAATTAAGCAATGATGACCGAGGCTAATTTGATAAATCAATCGCTAATACATGTATCTCGGTTCAGATTGGAGCAATTTGACTTTACATTATCCAGATTTTAACTATAATAGTGAGAACTGACAGCTCTTAATCTGATCTTCCATAAAGTATCTTTAATGTCACATTTACGAATGATTCTCTCAGACTCTATTAGTACATGTAGTTTTCCAAGTGTTCAACATAGCTTGAGAAAATAAAAATGTGTTTTGATTTTAAATACTTTGATCAATTTATAGATTTTACAATCTGATTAAAACACAGATCCTATTTCGTTTCGTTTTTAAAGTTCAAAATTTCGTTTTACTTGTCTTTACTACACTAGGATTTGGAAGAGTTCTTATCATTTAACGTGTTCTGAATAGTGTGAGGTATTAGCCAATGAAACGGTCTGTTACGATGAGCTTTAGGCGTGTTTTGCACAGAACTGTGGGTAATCCACTAGTAACATCAATGCTGATTCGTTAATGAAATGTCTGATGTCATGGGTCAAAAGCCGCTTGTATGACCCCTGACGTGACCTACTGCAACGACCGGTCAGATCTTCATGTAGTGTAGGTCATCGAAAGTATAAAAAAAAGAAATGAAATGTAGATCTGTATTTTAATCAGATTGTAGATTTTATAAACTGCCTAAATGAATGACATAATACCTCTTTATATACAGCACAGTGAAGATGCAGATAATCTAATTAGGTTTACAAAAACCTTTCCATAAAAGTTCAACAGTTTCACACGTTTTTGCAGTTCATTTTAAATCATTGAGGAATGTAAACATGTAGAATGCTGTGTAATTATGATTGTAGTTGGGAACACCTATAAATTATTGTCTGTGTGATATAAAAATTAACTATACATACCTGGTCTGTATGGAGCTGGTGCTGCATTAAACACTTTAGGTTTTGGAGCTACTGTTGGCGGAAATTTCTGTCCATGGTGTTCAGACACATGCATCTGGGAAAAATCCCTTTCTATTCCACGATATGACATGGCCTATTCTGATGTGGAGTAATTACAGGTTGGAATATTCTGAAAAACAAGTCATTAAATCATTAAACATACAGTATGCAAGAGCTAAATCTGACAATTGCAGGTCTTCCTTTAGGCGTGAAATGTTATTTTAATTAGACATTAATTAACTTATCCAGACCATAATCAACTCTCGATGTCATCGATAGCCTTCAATATTTACTGGATTAGGATCCGATTTGCTGCTCAACTTTCAATCATGATTAAATCATGAAATGGATTTTCGAGACTTATGTTTTTTATTGTACCGACTTTAGTAATGATGATCGAGGCTAGACTGAAAATTCAATCGCCAAATTCTCGGTTCAGCAGAGTGCATCAATTTGACTGAAATTTTCAGCAAATTCCCTTTACATTATCTAGTTTTTAACTATTATAGTGAGAACTGCCAGCTCTTTGTCTAACCTCCCATAATGTATCTTTAATATTATTTACAAATATAAATACAAATAATTAATAGCCTTTTAAACTTCTCAAAAGGGAAGTGGTATTAGGTGTTCAAGAAAGACTAAGAGCCCACATGATTTAAAGATCGGTACAGAAAGTAAATCAAGATACTACAGATGGTGCAGTGACGGCAGAACTATTTTAAAGAAGGTTGATACCGGAACCTACATGTAAAACTTTTCATCAGCATAAAATTTGTACAGTATATTTTCTAAGGTAATAAAGTTGGTAATTGTGAAAATTACATGAATTACGGATCGTAACTTCCTCAATTATGGCACCTGATTTTATGAAAAAATTGCGTTTTTAGCTATTACTTCATTACTGTTCATATATCATGATAACCACAACCATTATTTTTCCCAGTGATGGCTTCTCGAGTATTGAATCAACAAAGGCAAGGTTTTAAAATAGAACAGTGTACAGTATACATGTATTCAGTGTATGTATATCACTCTTGCATGTGAAAGATTTGTACAAAGTCGATGGTTTCCATTTATTTTTCTACGTAGTTCCCTTCGAGGTGCATAAACTTTTGCCAATGATCCCAGTCAGGAAGAAATTTTCTTCAGTCACCCTACAAAAGTTGTTTACAGTAGACATGACGTCATCATTACTAGGAAAATGGCGACCGGCTTGTTCCTTTTTCATTTTACAAATCTGGCCAATAAACGGTGCAGACTGCAGATTGTCACAGGATGTCAGGAATCTGACACGTTTCTAATCCATAGTCAAGAGCTTTGGCACCCATCTTGCAAAAACTTTTGTCATTCCTACATGTAACTCGTTGGCAATAATGTGCTCAACCATCTCATGAGAGATGCCCACAACACTGGCAATATGTCGAGTGGTCAATGATAGATCATACATCACCATGCCATGGCATCATGGGTCTTAGATGTGGAGAGCGGGCCATCACATCCTACGTATGACCCATGCATCTTTTCTTACTACATATCTTAGTAGCCTTGTAATCATCTAGTATTTTCACTTGTTGTCTTGGCTTCCCCTTCACGTTGTGTATTTATTTCTTACTGTTTTTTTTCTCAGTTAGTTAAGACGTTTGTCTTACCAGGAATAACAATGCAACAGTTTGTTTTTACATGTTATATATAGCTGCTTACATATGGTACAATGCATAATAAAATAAAGTCATTCTCTCTATGTGTTTGAAATCACCCCTGGTTGAATAAAATCCACTGCACAATTAAATATCCCAACAAAAAAAGGGTTCTCTCTTGAAAAGTCAATGTCTTTGCTTGCATTTTCGACTATGTCCATCACAACATTACACATGTCACATGATGAGATAAACCATCGTAATATGTTTTTTTCTCAGTTAGTTAAGATGTTTGTCTTACCATGAATAACAATGCAACAGTTCGTTTTTACATTTTATATATCATATAGCTGCTTACATACATGCATATTAAAATAAAGTCATTCTCTCAAACCTCATCCAGCCAGACTTGCTGGGCGAGTCTGCTGATAGAAACTGCTGCATCATATGGTCTAGGAACTCAGATGGTAATCTCTCCGGAATCTAATGAAAATCTGTCTTAAAAGCTTGCCATGATTTCTTTTATAGGACCCATGGACATCATGCACAGACTAGGCTATTCATGACCCTGAACCTGTGCAATTACTGATATGATTGGTTACTCAAGCCAAATGATGCAATTAGTAAATTTCCAATCTCGTGTAATCTGGTGATGTGTTGTAGACACATAGAACCAGCTATGTCTTGGTTCTATAACTCTTTTTTATATACCCATCTGTCATTCATTTTGATGTAAGTACATATATGTGAATCTAATAACTTGCCAAAGATATTAATTAATACAATACAATGCCATCATTAATTTCAAGAGCAAAAATTCTAGCAATGTTGCTACAATGCACCTGGGTAATGTTTTCTTGAATGTTTGTTGTTGATGGCCTTCCAGGACGTGGGTCATCGTCATGTATAATGAAGAGTTCTGTGGACCTTCTGATGTATGAAAATTTAACTTTTAACAGATTAGGAATTTTGAAATTATTACTTTCAATCTAGAAATTTACAGTGTGCAATGTACTTGACTTGGTCTCTTTCAGGAGTACATGTAATGTATAATAATTAATACTCAGTATAATGAACAGTACCAAAATCAAGACATACAACCAAACCATGCTACATGTACATGTATATCATCTGGTTCAAAATACATGTATATCTACCGGTACATTTAAGTCAGTTTCTGTTAAATCTGAACTGAAAATCAACATTTGTGGATATAAACTAAAGACCAATAATGTGACTATAGTTTGTAAAGCATTTCATAGTCCAGTGAGCATGTCAATTTATGAATGGAGATACATGTAGAGATATAACCTTTATGGTTATTTAAACATAGTATTGAAGGTAGTAATTTATTGTAGTCTTTTTCTTCAACAACCCCAAAAATTATAGTGAACTAGTAGGCCATGCCTATATTAAATCGCTTATGCAGCTCCTGTCTTGCGATAAATCTGATATGTTTTGGGTTTTTTTACCTATGAAAGGAAGATCTTTAAATTTCACCTTTCCAACTGCTTTTGTTTATCAATTAAATATAAAGTCATTTGAACCAGGCCCGTAGTCAGCGGGGGTCAATGCCCCCCTGAAAAATTGCCAGATAGAACTATAACTAATCCTAATCTCAAGTCAGAGGGGAGGGGTCCAGAAATGAGGTACATTTAGCATACCTTATTTATCTACCACAGTGTTGTCGATTAATTTTTTTTTTTTTTTTGTGTAAGCCAGATAGGAATTCCAAAAGTTATACATATTACAATAAGAAAGTTAAAAAAATAAATAACACTTTTAGCTATCCGAAAGCATTGTTCAAAATCATAATTATTAATTAAATAAATGAAGACGAAATAACAAACCCAAACTCATCTAGTCTAGGCTAGTTAATCACAAGTTAGTGTCTCTAAAGTATCAATCATACGATTCATACTCATAGAGTCCATCCCAGCTATCTTAGTCAGACAATCAAACGCAATGTTTCAGACACATCAGTCCAAATATTGTAAAGATACGCGTATCGTCTCTGATACTTACCACACCTGTACGCTTGAATGGTGTAGCAGACGACCCAATTTTGTTAAGACTCGAAATACTTATCACAATAAATTTGGCCTACATCCCTCCATGTATGGAAGTGACAAGTGCTCTTACGTCAAATCCTGTTTGCTTCCGGAGCTAAGGGGTAATTTTAATTATATTTAAGAACTTGTGTTTGGACAATAGTATTGTTTGTAAATATTTCTGTTGGAATACTGCTTTACATACGTAAATGGTAAACAACTAATAGAAGGTATATGTTTGTATATTTCAGTGTAAACATTATTTGTAAAGTTGTTGATTTGATTTCAGCAATGAATACTCCATTATATTTATATTTTATCCAATGAAAAGGTAGGAGTAAATTTAGGGAGGGCCTTTTAAATAGAACTTCCTGCTGCATTCGAAACAAAAATGAATTTATTCATAATATTGAAAGTTACGCACATTTTAATGTTAATTTTGGTAACACAGCCCTGTCATGGCTTGTTTGAATGGTTATACGGTGAAGACAGTGAAAATGAGTTAAAATCCACACCTGGGCAGGCTGACATGAAATATGAAGTGGTCATAACTGACGACAAATTCCTGGAATTTGCCAAAACTCTGACCGAATTAAAACCACTTGATGCCTGTCATAATATTGTACGTGTTTCCTTAAACTTAAAATCCATCGTACAAGAAATCCTTAAACTTAATTAATTTTTGCCTGCTTTTAGTCATCAGAGATTTACGTGGCTAGCTAGTACTTACTGTCTGAACCGTGGTCAATTTTAAACAGATTTATTTCTTTGATTATGAACAAAATAGCATGCATGGCTTTCATGAGTTAACAGGTTTAAACAGAGGCCGATTGCCAAGGGGTCAAACCTGTTAATGAATGAAGCGTGCTATAAATGACTTGTAACATTGACAACTGCTCATCATGCATATAGTCATTGCACAGAAAACCCACCCCACTTCTCTATTGCCAACCAACAAAAGTGTGCAATAACACTGAACATGTCTAGTTATTGCACGGCTAAGCTCCACCCAATCTACTAGAGGGAAAACAATCTGCTTATTCAACGAAAAGAACAATGGAAGATTTCCTATCCATGTTACAATTGATATTATTAAAAACTTGCCTATGATCTATGTGTTTGAAATCACCCCTGGTTGAATAAAATCCACTGCACAATTAAATATCCCAGTTCTCTCTTGAAAAGTCAATGTCTTTGCTTGCATTTTCGACTATGTCCATCACAACATTACACATGTCACGTGATGAGATAAACCATCGTAATATGTTGAAGGGGGTAAAGGTTGACAAATGTTGACAATCACGTGTGTTGTAATCAAAACAGCACACGACCGTTTTGATTGTTTGAGTTTGGGCAACAAAAATAGCAACTGAAGACAATAACATTAATTTGGAAACAATTGATTGTCAGTCTGCTAAATTTTATTCACAATGAATATATCACCGATTGTACGAATACTCATAAATATAATAATAATATTAATATTGCTTTTCACATCATCATAACACCACAATTTTAAAAATCATGATATTATATATATTTTTATAAACATCCCTGTCAATTATAGGCAACTTTGTGGCTAACATTTATAAATAAACACACTTTATTTCATAATTTTAACTGATCATAATATTTCATAACGCGGGGTCTAATCCCAATGCTCTGTGGTTATTAGTCCATTTTCAAAGTTTTATGATTACCACAAAAACAATGAAAAAATGACACCGCTTCTTAATAATTTCCATATTTAATTTTTAATTCACATTCAGACTGTTCATGTCAAATGTCAATTATATTCCTGATTAAATTACTTTTTTTTGCTTATTCGACAGATGCTGAAATCGAAATATTCTTGATAAGAACAGTTTGGGGTGTCTAAACATCGTTTATCGTCATTATAAAAATGTATTTTTAAAACAAAAAATCACTCGTCAAAAGAGGCATCGCAGATTGCGTGTATTATTAGGTCTTGTGTGTTAATTATGCAGACCGTGGGAAAAACCATTTTCACTGCATCTGTGTAGCATACAGTAACTCATATAGCATGGTACCTTTTACGGTAATAGAATTCAAAGCATTGATTGGCTGAGGCATAATCGCGATCTACGAAATGCCATCAAAAAATTCTATTCTCTGTGGATTTCAAAATATATAGGTATCAGGTAATAACTGAGAGTACAATCATATGGATACATTGCCCTGTGAATTTCAAAACGAAGCCGGGAATTTTGGAAATTAATTGTGTTACCGAGACGCACGATTATAAAATTCTGAACAGTTTTGCACACGTAAAATAATATTTAATCCAAAGAAGAAGACGATAAAACCTCACACACGATAGGAAAAGAGGGGCGGAAGAGTCCCCATAACAGTGCAGGCAAGTTTGGATCTCAGTGATGCATCCGAGGAAAAACAGGAACCAATTCTTGTAAATAAATCATAGTAAAAAATCCCCGGTAACAAACTTGACTTAGCCCTTTATCAACCGGGTATATATAGACAATAGAATTTTTGCGCATGCACATAACGTTGAGGATTATTTAATCCCTATACTGGGAATATAAAAAAATAATAATCTCTATACTGGGATTATAAAAATAATGATTAAAATAGACAAATTTAAGATTATTAATGTACATAAAAACTTGTTTAAAAAATAAATAAAATGGATGTACAAAAATTTTTTAATTATTTTAAAAAGCAAAACAAAAAATATATTTAAACGCCGACTATATATACCCGGTAACGGGCTTATTTTTGTAACCAGTTGATAAAGGACTAACGCCCGAAAGGCGTCCTGGATAAATCCTTTTTATATTCCCACAGTCTTGTCAAGTTTGTTACCAGGGATTTTTTTACTATGATTTAAAATAATATTTGATGAGTAATAGAAAGACATGGAACTATGTGCCAATAATTAAACTGATGTGTGGTATGATTTGTTGATAATAACTTTTGGTATTTATATAAAAAAAAATAAAGTTATATACCTATTCAATGATTCAATTAATGCTTAAGTTCATCAGGAAATATTAAAAATATTCAAGGGTGAGATTCAAGACCCGTAAAACAATGTCGTTCTTTTTGTTCTGCATCTGTGTTTAAAAGAAATAATACCACCCAACTCTCTAACCAAATAATTAATACAAAACGGAAACAAAATAACGGACTACGGACATATTTATGTTTTTTAATCGCTCAAACCCATTAATGTGTCCGAGAGCAATAGCTTATTCATACACAAAATTTGAATTGTCGTAAAAGAGCCAAACACCGTTATGATAGACAAGCCTTGTTTTGACCCCCTAATACGAAATGGTCTATCCCGGTAAGTGACGTAATTAGCTTCCATCTTTGTATTTCTCAATGTCGAAGTTCGTGAGGAGTTCTATTTTACAAGAGAGAACTTTTTTATTCGCTGGGATATTTAGCTGTACAATGGAATTTATTTAAACATACATTATGCAAGAGCTAAATCTGTCTATTGCAGGTCTTTCTTTAGGCCTGAAATGTTATCTAAATTATTAATTAGACATTAATTAACCTATCCAGACCATAATCAACTCTAGATGGCATCGCTAGCCTGCGATCTTTAGTGGATTATGAGCCGATTTACTGCATAACTTTCCTTCTCGATTTAACGATTAAATGGATAATCGAGACTATGCTGTTTATCGTACTGACTTTAGTAATGATGATCGAGGCTAGGGGTAAATTTCAATCGCTCAGTTCTCGGTTCATAATGGATCAATTTGAATGAAATTTTGAGCAAATTGCCTTTACATTATCTAGTTTTTAACTATTATAGTGAGAACTGCCAACTCGTTATTGAATCTCATCTTTAAGTGAGAGTGAGGACACTTTTGGTGTATAGTTTTATCACATCATTACCTTGACTAAGTTCAATAGTGAGCATTTTCTGCTCAGGGTAAGCACAGCGATAAGCAATTTGATTGGTTGATACTTTGGAACACAATAACTCTCCTTCTAATAGCGGTAGAATGTTTAAACTTGGTGTAGGCATTCTTAAGGTGAATACCTTGATGGAGTTTGATGATAAAAATTGTCTGCTTACGGTAAGCAGAGATAAGCAATCTGATTGGTTGATGCTTTTGGGCACGATAACTTTGGTTTTAATTAAGTGAGAGTGATGAAACTAAGTGACTAAGTTCGATGATGAGAATTTTCTGCTTAGGCTAAAGAGCGATAAGCAATTTGATTGGTCAAGACTTTGGAACATAACAACTCTGTTTTTAATTAAACATGCATTATGCAAGAGCTAAATCTGCCTATTTCAGGTCTTTCTTTAGGCCTGAAATGTTATCTAAATTATTAATTAGACATTAATTAACCTATCCAGGCCATAATCAACTCTAGATGGCAGCGCTAGCCTGCGATCTTTAGTGGATTGTAAGCCGATTTACTGCATAACTTTCCTTCTCTATAAAACGATTAAATGGATAATCGAGACTATGCTGTTTATCGTACTGACTTTAGTAATGATGACTGAGGCTTATGGGAATTTCAGTCGCTTAGTTCTCGGTTCATAGTGGATCAGTTTGAATGAAATTTTCACCAAATTGCCTTTACATTATCTAGTTTTTAACTATTATAGTGAGAACTGCCAACTCGTTACCGAATCTCCCATAATGTATCTTTAAGGTAGAATGTTTAAACTTGATGTAGATGTTCATTAGATGAATGTCTTGACTGAGTTCAATGATTAACATTTCGAGCTAAAGTTAAGCAGAGCTAAGAAATTTCATTGGTCAATGCTTTGGGACAAGATAACTTTGATTCTATCTGATAGAGAGTGATGAAACTTCGTGTATAGTTGATAATCAGTTTGATTGCTTGATACTTTTGAAAAAATAAATGTGCTATTAATTAATATGTGTCATCTATTTATTTTGGGATTTTGGCAGGGAACATCAGCCTCACTGTTGGCTTGTTGATTAAATGATTATATTTCATAGATGCATATTGTGCATGCAAGGTTTTTTTGTTTTATTGACATTTCATGGAATGCATTTATCATGGATGAGATAATTCTAATGAAGATGTTTTTATGTTTTTTTCTACTCTTTAAGATAGATGTTTATTTTATTAATGTTATAGGTGGTATATAATTTAAAGAAGAAATGTGGAGAATTATCAGAGGAAGAATTAGGGAAATTGGCTGTTCAACTGTTTAATTGTCAAGCAGAAGCAGAGAATCGACCAACATTTCTCTGTACATCTGATATGGTAAGCATTGTAGGTCGAATATAAGGATGTTAAATTAACCTCAATATTGTGTGTTGCACTTTGAACATATAAATATTGACTACCCTGATTTCTTGAGAAAAATTAAAGAAAAGTGACATTAATTAATGGTACACATCAAAACATTCCAGAGACTGCTGTTCCTTAGATCAACTCAACTGCCAGAGATATGTGAATAGCTTTCAGACCATTTACAAGTTTGTGCATGTGCGATAGCCATAGCTGTGCACATGATAGGGCAGTTATGGATGGGTTAAGTGCTGAAGGGTTTAAGCCCCATGAACAATAGAAAAATATTTAATCCTCTGTGTTTTTATACGCCCACATTTTCATGTGGACGTATTATGCCGTCATCCCTGTCTGTCCGTCCGTCCGTCCACAATTTGGATGTGGACACTCTACAGGTCACAATTTTTATCCGATTTTGACGAATATAGGTCTATCTTACAAAGATCTCTGTTCCTTTCAATATTGGCATGTATCAGACCATAACTTCATAGATAATGGCCCCTGATTATATGAAAAATCACGTTTTTAGCTTGTTGACACGCTAGTGGTCACAATTTTCACCCGATTTTGATGAAACTTAAAATGCATATTTATAACCCAAAGATCTTGGTTCTTTTCGATATTCACGCATATCAGTTTGTAACTTCCTGAATTATGGCCCCTGATTGTACGAAAAATCATGTTTTTAGCTTGTGGTCCCTCTAGAGGTCAAAATTATTATCAGATTTAAAAACCATTTGAATATATCACCTTTACACTGTAATTTTGGTTGAGTTCGAATTTCGTGAAAATCGGACGAAAACTGCTGGACAAAATGGCTGCCCCTCGTACGCAAATAGTGTAAACATCTGGTATATCAAGGTTGTGGACCCTCTAGAGGTCACAGTTTTGATCCAATTTTGAAGAAATCTGAAATACATGTTTATAACCAAAGATCTTGGTTACTTTCGATATTTGAGCATATCGGATCGTAACTTCCTGAATTATGCCCCCTGATTGTACGAAAAATAATGGTTTTAGCTTGTGGTCCCTCTAGAGGTCACAATTATTATCTGACTTAAAAAGAAAGTTTGAATATATCACTGTTACACCGTAATGTTGGTTGAGTTCGAATTTCGTGAAAATCGGGCCAAAACTGCCGAACAAAATGGCTGCCCCTCGTACGCAAATAGTGTAAACATCTGGTATATCAAGGTTGTGGACCCTCTAGAGGTCATAATTTTGATCCGATTTTGGTGAAATTTGAAATACATGTTTATAACCCAAAGATCTTGGATTCTTTTGATATCGGATCGTAACTTCCTGAATTATGGCCCTTCATTGTACAGAAAATCACGTTTTTAGCTTGTTCCTTTAGAGGTCATAATTTTTATCTGATTTAAAAAAAAAAACATGTGGATATATCACCGTTACACACTAAGATCGTGGTTCCTTTTGAAAATCGCGCATATCCGAACGTAACTTCCTGGATTATGACCCCTGATTGTTCGAAAAATCACATTTTTAGCTTGCATATTCTCTAGAGGTCATAATTTTTTTTTTCCGATTTTAAAAACTGTTTAAATATATCACCATTCCACCAAAATGAAGGTTGAATTCGAATTTTGGGAAAATTGAATTGTAACTGCCCAACAAAATGGCCGCTCTATGTACGCAAATTTTGTAAAAGTATGTAATCAGAAGGTTGTTGACCCTCTAGAGGTCACAATTTTTATCCTTTTTTGATGAAACTTAAAACATATCTTTATATACCAACGATCTCAGTCCCTTTTGATATTTGCACATTTCAGACCATAACTTTCTGGATTATTGCCCCTGATTGTACAAAAAATCATGTTTGTTTTCAGCTTGTTCTCTATCCATCTCTTGCAAAATGGGAGCTTCTGCCTGGCAGCCGCTGGTATTTATTTGCAAATGTAGTGATATGAATATGTGTTATTATTGTTATCTTACAGACATTGGCAGCATGTACAAAAGATATGGATGCTACAACATGGAATGGTTATCAGATTGTAGGAAACCGGGCTAGAGCTATGTGTTACGCAACTCAACAACTACAGTTTCGGAAACTAACAGAAAGAGCAGTGAACAATTTAGCAATAACTGCTTACAATCATTTGGAATCCATGAAGGAAATAAAGGTACATGTATATTTCTTTTTAAAAGTTGTCTACGATCTTGATATTAATGTAGATAAACATTTTTCATGCCCGAATATAACCTTATTTACTTAGTTACTAATATATATTTTCAAGAAATTGACTTTCTTACTCTTTCTAGGATGGGCAAGAACAAATTCATAGTTTAGCTACAGATACTGTTCGAAAATTGTTTGAAAGTCAACAAGATTTGTTAACAACACATGAATCTTTGAAGTCTGCACATCAGACGGTATTTACACATGTAGCTGATAATGTAAAACAACTTGTCCATGAAAAATCTCTCATTGCCACAGGAAATAAAGAACTAGCAGAAATGACTGAAAATATCAGAGAAAAGCTAGGTAAGAATATTGAAATTGATACATGCAAAATAATTCAGTGGAACCACACGGTAAAAACCAGAACCTGGCTAAAAAATGTAAATTTCAAGGTAAAGTTTTAACATCACTTGCATGAGTAGATCAGGTTTTAACTACCGGTAATTGAAATAAGCTTATTAAAATATAAAAAAAAAATTGTTTTTTCCAGATACGACAAGTGAGCATCTAAAGAATCAAGAAAAACAACAAAGAGAAAATCATGAAAAGATTCTTCAAGATTTAAGACAAATACAGAAAAAATCACAAGATGCATTGAAAGATTTAAGTAAGATATTGACAAACTTAATTATTTGGGGGTTTTCTGATATACTAGGAGCCATAACTCAATTTTGTATAAACATAAGACCTTAAATATGTAAGTTTATATCACTAAATGGCTAATATCTGCAGCAGAATAAACATTAAAAGAAACTAGAACTGCGAGGCAGTAATGGCAGGTTTCACTGGTGCCACGTTACCCTTGAACTTATGTCACTACTCACTTCCTGTGCCATGTTACCCTTGACTTATGTCACTTCCGGTGATATGTTACCCTTGAACTTATATCACTTACGGTACCAATGGATCCGATAAACAGATTTCCACATAAACATTGCAGACGTGTTATAAAATGTATGCAAAATCAATCAAATCCAGCAATATCAGTTCCATTTATACATTTGTTACCATGTGTTACATATGTTAAAAAAGTGATCCTGACAAAATTTGTTACCGCTAATTTAGCTGACTTTCTAATGTGTAGTAAAAAAGCGAAAAAAAATCTTAAAAAGTGATCCTGACAAAATTGGTTATTTCTCGAAAAGGGAAGATGCTAAAAGCAATTTTTGGACATCTATATGAACGCATTGATTCAATCTATATGTCCATTGGAGTAAAATATCATAATGTGAAACCCTAAAAACTACATGTTTAATTTCAGGTGGAAGTACAAAACAACTGATATCAAATCATGAAGAAATGATGACACAGTATCAAGTTATGTTTAAAAATTTACAGAAGATGAATAACTCTATAAATGGTTTGTTGAAGACAGTATCCGATATGCAGGACACATTAGAGAAAAAACTTGGTTGGGTCTCTAAATTATTAGGAGGAGCAGGTATGAATTAACTTTCAACTTGCAGAAAAATGTTGTATCCTGTATAAATATAAGAAATGTTGTAACGTCATGAGGCCCATTTTATTGGATTCGACAGCACATAATTTTCTTTTAGTTATAGCAGTTGCTTGATTCAGTATAATTTTAACATGCGTTAAAATTTTCTTATGGTTCCATTCTATTGGATTCAACAGTGCACAATATCCGGCTAGTCATAGCAGTCAGTGATTGAATTATAAGGGAGTAAAAAATTATATTCAGTTCCATCAACCCCTATAATGCATTCAAAATAATCACCAGCCGATTGATTGTTTTTCTTTCTTCGGATTAGATGTTAAACTAACATTTTACACCAATATTTTTGACATTGCTAATATCAGAAAAGTTGACCAATGACCATGGGCCATTAAGTGGTCATATTTATATCATTTATACTCTTCAAAAAAAGTAGGGATATTCAGAAACAATACAAAACTGCGGAAATGCACTGCTGTTTTTATTAGAGGTAACTAGTGTGTGTTAATAACAGGCCAATTGCCTACACATGAACATAAACAGTTCATATGGGCGGCTTATCTGACGGCCCCATTTCACTCGCAAAGTGATACACTGTCAAAAGTGAAAATAGACGTTTTTGATTTTTGTCTTAATAATGAGTAATTGCTCCACCAATCCTCAGACATTCAGCAATTCGTCGTGGCATGCTTCTAATCAACCGTCCAATCACGATTTGGGGCAATCTGACCCACCCCTCTTGCAGTGCCACGGCCATTACTTGCAGTGTTGTCGGTTGACGTCGACGAACACGTCTCCCAGTCATGTCCCAGACATGCTCTATAGGGGAAAGGTCAGGAGTCATGGCTGGCCATGGCTTATGGACAATATGGTGATGCTGGAGGTAGTCATTCACGACAGAGCGCGGTGGGCACGGGCATTATTATCTTGAAAAATGAAACGCCGACCTGCACGTTGAGCAAAGGGCAGAACTATCGGTGCCAGGATGTCACGGTAGTACACACCAGTGACCCTTCCTTGAACAATATGCAAGTCTGTTCTGCCAGTCATAGTGATTCCTCCCCACACCATAACAGGCCCAAACCCGAATCTGTCATACTGTCTGACGTTAACGTTAGCATGACGCTCATTTACACGCCTCCAAACGCGAGCCCGCCCATTGGTGAAATCCAGAGTAAATCTGGACTCATCTGAGAACATTACACCCGCCCATCGGCGATTACCCCAATTTCTACGCTGCTTACACCATTGATGCCTCATGTGCTGGTGAGTTAATGGAGACACAACACGCGGTCGTCGCACATGCAAATGGGTTGCATGTAGCCGATTTCTAATCGTTTGGGGTAGAACTCGAAATCCTGTAACTTGGTACAAGTTTACAGAAAGCAGATTGACCGTTTGTCCTCGATTTCACAGGACCTGTGTACGAATGTATTGATCCTGGGCTTGTGTAGTGACTCTAGGACGCCCTGAACGAGGTCTATCATCAACATTGTGTGTTTGTTGGTACCGGGATCACAGACTGTGACACATTAAGTATATTGGCTACTGCTTGCAGTGTAGAACCCATTTGAAGCATGCCAATAGCATGTAGACGTTCATCATGTTGAAGACGTCTCGTTGCGAATTAAACATAACACACTAAAGCAAAGATATGCTAAACAGTAAATCTTATGCAAGAACCGATAGGAAAGCAAACATGGATAGGATAAATAGCACCATACACGTGGGAGGGGTTCATTGTCAAGTGTTGATAGACCAGGAGCCCAGTGGGTTAACCTAGCTGAAAAGTGTACCAATTTTCTCCTATATGATATCAATGCATGTATATCTGGTATTATCAGAATGTAAGTCTGCCGGGTTTCTGGTGGTGGGTGTGGTATTCCACGCCCAAAATGCAATGCCCCCCCAACTAGGGTAGATTAGCTCAAAAGTGTACCACATGAAAATCATACAGCAGTGTACCGTACATCTACAGATATAACCCAAAAATCTCGGTTCCTTTCGATATTCGCGCATATTGTACCGTAACTTCCTGAATTATGGCCCCTGATTGTACGAAAAATCGCGTTTTTAGCTTGTGGACCCTATAGAGGTCATAATTTTTATCTGATTTAAAAAAATGTTTTATTATATCACCGTTACACCCTAAGGACAGCTGAGGTCGAATTTCTAGATAATTGGCTCAAAATTGAAAGACAAAATGGCCGCCGTTCATTTTCAAATAGCATAAAAATATGGTATATAAAGGTCACAATTTTTTATCCGATTTTGTTGAAACTTGAAATTTAAGTTTATTACCCAAAAATCTCAGTTCCTTTCGATATTCGCGCATATCAGACCGTAACTTCCTGAATTATGCCCCTGATTGTACGAAAAATCGCGTTTTTAGCTTGTGGACCCTATAGAGGTCATAATTTTTATCCGATTTGAAAAACCGTATTATTATATCACTGTTACACCCTAAGGATGATTGAATTCGAATTTCGTGAAAATCAACCCAAAATTGACAGACAAAATGGCCGCCGTTCGTTCTCAAATAGCGTAAAAATACGGTTGTGGACCCTATAGACGTCACAATTTTTATCAGATTATGTTGAAACTTGAAATGTAAGTTTATAACACAAAGATCTCAGTTCCTTTCGATATTCGCACATATTGAATTGTAATTTCCTGAATTATGGCCCTTGATAGTAGGAAAAATCACTTTCTTGTTAGCTTGTTCTCTATCCATCTCTCGAAAATGTGGGCGTATCCTGCCTGGCAGCCGCTGGTTTTAGAATTTTAGCACTTCTACAGGGCCCTTATTCACGAAAACTTAAACTAAGATACAATCGAAATTTTAAAAAATACTGCAATTCGATTGGCTGACCAGTAAAATCAGTTTGCATATATCCAATGAAGTTGCAGTATTTCTTAAAATTTCGGTTAGTGGGCAGCCCCCACCTGGTGTAGCCTGCCTAGGGCTAGCAACCCTATGAGAAATTTTGTCCCTCTACACGGAACACCTTACGTGACTCCGCATGTTAATCTCACCAATAAGAATCTAGCAGGTAGTTCTGATGAATTGGCTGCGGGGGGAGGAATTTCGACTAATGTGACATCAAATTTTACCCATACAGGTAACCTACCTAATAATTTAATTGATTCAAATATTAATTGTGAATTTTGTAGTCTGTCTATTGGTGCTTGTAACTATAGACAGTGTAAATTATGTACTGATTACAATGAAGCCCACACATTTGGTAGCTCGGTTACTGGTAGATGCTACCATATTTCTACAGATCAAAATCTTAATTGTAATACGCAAAATATAGTATATTTATTAACCTGCAATTACTGCAGATTACAGTATGTTGGGGAAACTAGTAAATCTTGTAAAACAAGGTTTAATAATCACAGATCAGTAGGAAATTCTGAAAATGCACACAAACTACTATATCAACATTTCAAACAAAATTCATGTAAGGATTTTGGATACAGAGTTCACATAATTCAAAAACTTCCTGGTTCAGGACACCTTAGTAATGGCAAAATTGATCCTGCTGTTACACAAAAAAGAACTCACGCAGAAGAAACTTGGATAATAAAATTACAAACCATTTTCCCTTATGGTCTCAATGATAGATTTAAAAACATCGATTATAGTAACCGTGATGAAAACACTTTGATTACAAGAAATTGTTACAAAAAACTTGATCATAAATTTCAAAATAAAAAACGTTCTATAAAAAAATCGAAATTTCAAAAAGACCCAGAAAGTATTTTGAATGAATTGTATTCTGTATGTCAATGCCATACTTCCGATAAATTGTCCTGTGCAACTTGTGTACTCAATCTGGCCCGACAAATTATACACACTTTGAAAAAATCTACAGCTAAGAAACTTGGTGTCCTCATACAGGATATCATCTATTCTAATCAACTTAATGAATGCTTTCTTCCTCAATATTACGATGTTATAACCGATTTAATAAATAGTAAATTTTCACCTAAGCATTCAATACAGCCTCATAAAGTGCAAAAGAAAAAACCTGACGTGTTATGTAAAATCCTTTTTACAGATAAACATATACAAGACATTGGATTGAATAGAATCTTTAGAGATCGATCAGTAATTAAATCTATACCAGATACTATTCCTAAAATTTCACCTACAGTCGTATACAAATCTTTGTGTCAATATCCAAAATGACAGGCATGTTAATTATAATTTTTGCTTAACAACGGACAAAATATGTATCGCAAATTGTGCTGCGAAACTGGTTGTCGGCAGCCCTGCATATAGGAGAAAATTGGTACACTTTTCAGCTAGGTTGACCCACTGGGCTCCTGGTCTATCAACCCTTCTTTGAAGTGTCAAATTTGACAATGAACCCCTCCTACGTGTATGGCGCTACTTTTTTTGAAGAGTATATTATTAATGCAAACTATGGTCTATAAACATAAAGGTTTATCTATTGTCTTGGAACAAAAAAATTTCAGTCTATGCAAAAAATGTCATTATTTTGACTCAATGTATTGATAAATTACATGCTATATGGACACTATTTCCTTTCTTGCTTCTGTGGAAAAAAAACGAGGAGAACCCAGCAAAACCCCTGTGTTGTCCCATAACCATGTCGACCATTATTATTGCACTCTCCTAATGTATTTTGTAATTTTATTTACAGATGATAAACTACATGTTATTATGTGTTGTATCCATTACATTGTATTTTTCTTACTGATGGTTATATTAGCTTCATTCCTACAACTACCAGTATTATTGCGTACTATATTGATGATACTGATAGCTGTTAATGCTGGATGTGAAATCAACTATAATAAAAGTCTGAGTTTTACTGTATTGTTTGTTATTACATCATCAACAATTATAGGTAGGCCTTGTTCTATTTAATTGTAGCTTTTAAACTTTTCTGTTTAAATGTTGTAGGTAAGTACCAGGGATATGTTCAGGCAGATGATATAGCTACATTTAATGACTAAAGTTAAAAGACATTAGAACAGGAATAAATGTAAAGGAATTTCTGTGTTCGACTAGTTTTAACTACCACAACCCCCATTATTCCACTTAGTGTCCAGTGTATCCAGCAGGACCTAAACCAACTGTGGCTTAATTTCAAAACAGTAGCAATATTGTCATTAATCTATAAAAAAAAACCCAACCACATCCAGTCTTTACATGTAGTTAAAACATGCCATAAGGGGTCGTTATGATGTCATGACGAAAATTGTCCCTTTTTGATGGTTTGTTAGCCATTTCATTTGAGGTTGTAGATGGATGGATAGCATAAATTCCGGCAATTGCTGCAATAGAAATGCCGACGACGATTTATGGTCGTTCTAGACCTATATTATCGCCAAAAAAAAGTCCCAGTCCGAAATATGTGCCACAATGGGTCAAATTGGCCAAAATTCAAAATGGCCGCCTGTTTTGGCTGGTAAATTCCAATTCCCACCCAATTATCATTTATATGATCGAGTTTGGTATCAAAATATATGTTTTTGGGGTAACTGAATCCATTTCCATACATACATATGTGTTACCGCCGAGTCAATATTGGGAGTTTTTCAAGATGGCCGACAGTTTTGGCAGGAAAGTTCGAAATTTACTTAAAGATAAGATAAAGAGATGGCAGTTCTCGCTATAATAGTTTAAAACTAGATAGTGTAAAGGTAATTTGCTGAAAATTTCAGTCAAATTGATCCACTATGAGCCGAGAAAGAAGCGGGTGAAATTTTTGCATAGTCTTGGTCATCATTACTAAAATCATTAATATAAACAGCATAGTCTCGATTATCCACTTTTTTGGATTTAATTATCACTGGCCGTTAGCGGCATATAGGAATCTAATCCAGCCAACATTGAAGGCTAGCCTTGACATCGAGAATTTATTATGGTCTGGATAAGTTAATTAATGTCTAATTGATTATTTAGATAACATTTCAGGCCTAAAGAAACACTTGTAATAAGCAGATTTTGCTCTTGCATAATGCATGTTTAAGGATCAGGTTTGGTGTCAAAATAGTTGAATCCATTTTTGTACATATTTTAGTGATTAAGTGATTCCCTGTGTCAGTATAGGAGAAATTCCAATTAGGGATTTGGATTACAGATTAGGGAATGGAGGTTAATGATACTCCTACCTTAAACTCTAAAGCTAATACAATGACATTCATTGAGTTTCAACTAAATTTTATTTTGTCACCCGGCTCACTGTGGTAGCGGTGTATGGGTATGTCATTTGGGGACACTCCCAGGTCACTGCGGAAGCTGATCATGCCTATTGAAGCACGTTGCTAATTTAATTCACAAACTGATTCAAATGTTGAGACACGATGGAACAGTATCGCCTGTTTGTCACATATGCTGTGAACCATTTGATAATGCTCTGCCCAACATTATTTCGGAAATAATGGTTATTGGGAGCATCAATAAGGCGGCTAAGCAGAGAAATTATGGTCGTGATTTCAAGCTCGGTGAAAATACTATGTGGAATGTCGCAACTTTTACTATTGCACAATGTTGTAACGCTGTTGAAGTGGAGGATCCTGTGTCAAGGTCTAGACGGTCCGAGGTGCCAAAATTAATTTTTGCGCACTGTTGTCTTTTACATGGTCTGTAAGAAAGACTAGCAGATGGTCCATTGCAACAGATATAACCGGTGACCACTGCTACAACGCCTACTTTTTGGACATGCCAAGATCGGACATTTGACACATGGACATTAATCTAGTGACATCTGGTGTCCCTAAATAGATGACACTCATTAATTTCTTGCACATCTAACATATTTATAAAGCATCTAGCATTGAAATTGTTCTTCACTCTGTGTAACCTAAGCAAAAAATCTCATTGTAGAGGCGTGCTCTCATAAATGCATAAACTAAAGAAACTGGAAATGGTTGATAACGCTCGAATCCGATGAGATTTCCTACCAGGGTATAGTTGAGTGAGCGGGTGTGGCTATATGCCCCCCCCCCCCTTCGAAAATGTGCTGTCGAATTTCGACAAAGTTACCTTAAATACTCAAGGAAATGCCCACTCTAAAGAAAACATTGTGACCCCTTTTGCTGCTGCCCTTTCCTTGTTCCAACCACATCCAGAGATACTAAAAACCAATCACACTCAATGTACGTACAGAAATTGTCCTTTTTTTATGATTTCCATGGATGACTTCCAGAATAGATTTCACAGCCGGAATAATATTTCCATAATATTCAGAATCAATTAATTTATCTTAGTTTTATTTATTTATCTAAATGAATACAGGAAAATTGCAACATGGGCGACGGGAACATGTTTTCCGGTTAGCACGCTCAAGGCCAATACGCTAACCGCACCCATGAACTCTAGTAACCAGTAACTTGATCATCTTCTCGTTCTTGGGGTTGTCAGTCTACTTTCAATTCTACCCCCTACCCCTCCAGGGGGGTTGGATGGCCGAATGATCAGCACGTGCGCGCTGTATCAAAATATCTGTCATTGAGTCAACTGGCGTAGTTTCGAATCCCCGGTTGTACGTGACAAGGAGTAGGGTCACCTGTCCAACCTCGTGGGTTTTCTCTGGGTCCTCCAGTTTCCTCCCACTGCTTAAGACCCCTACGTGCAAGCGAATTATTGAAATAAAATTAAACCATATGTTAGTCCCGAAATGACCTAGTTTGTATGAAGTGGGCATTAAACCCCATTTCTCTCTCTCCCCTACCCCTCCACTCATTAGGAACAGAATCGAATGAAACTTGGTAGGTACCCTTTGTAAGGAATGCCAGTCTCTGTTGATACTTGTTTTTCTTTACTCACAGGTCGTTTAGTTCTTGATTGCAGCTAACTATGTTCACGTTCATATCTTTAGGACTTAATCATAATCCCTTAAACAAGTGTCAGTGTATGGCATGTCATGGCTCACATAGACACAAAATCGATTCTACCATATGCCACAGAACTCAAATTTTCCCGATCCTGCCCCCTCTCCTAAAGTGCCCTAACTTTGGTCTGCCTACTCCCATTTGGAGGCCCCTAGCACGTCCTTGGCTCATTGTTGAACTTAGTCATGACTTTACACCAAGTTTTATTATACGTCCTAAATTTTCTGCAATTGAAATTGTTATCTCCGCTCATTATTGAGCTTAGGTCAGAGATCTTACTCGGCTCATTATTGTCGGCCTCCAATACTCATTATCTTTCCGCCATTTTCGGAATGGCGATAGGCAGTTCATTATCAAGTAGTTCACTGCGTATCGGGATCCATCTGTGCCACATTATTTGAATCATTTTGTGAAATAAATTCACTGTGTGCTTCAACATGTTTGGTCATCTGTCAATGTTGGTGATCGAAATCGGACATAGTTAGCTGAGAGAGACCCCTTTCATCAATGAACAATGGTCGGCCAGAGAGGCTAAATGAAATTTAGTTGATACTTGATGAATGCAATAGTATTAGATCTGAGGCAGACTCGACCTTTCTTAATCCCCAAATCTCCAATGGGATTTCCACATATTTTGACCCAGGGGAACCAGTTAATTACCAAAATGAGAAAATGAGTCGAAAATGGAATCAGCTGCCTCCAAAATGTATATTTTGACACCAAATGTGGTCATTTTGTAAAATTTGAATTTCCCAGTATTGACTCTGCGGTATAATTATTCACCAAAATTTGTATGGAAATGGATTCAGCTACCCCGAAAGGGTACATTTTGATACCAAGCTTGATCATATGATAACTGGATACAAATATACATTTTCCAGTCAAAACCAGCGACCATTTTGAATTTTGTCAGATTTGACCCATTTTGGCACAGATTTCGAACTGGGACTTTTTTGGGTGATAATATACTCTAGACCGACCATAAATCATGGTCGGCATTTCTATTGCAGCAATTGTCTGCACTTTTGCTATCCATCCATCTACAACTTTAAATGAAATGGCTAACAAACTATCAGAAAGGAAAATTTTTCGTCGTGACGTCATAACGACCCCTTATAACGCCACTTACACCTAAGTCTTCTCAAACAACAGCTTTGATAGAATATGAGTAGAAAAAAAAAGATTTTTGTCCAATGGTGGCCATTTTGTTTGACGTCATACATGTATTTAGACCCTTTGCGGTAGCCCAATTTCAGACAACTTTTGATATGTTGTTCTCTGGACCAAATACTATAAGGGTTATTCTGCAATTTGACTCTACTATATCCACTAAATATCACAGGCTAACAATCGCATCAAGAGTTGATTATGGTCTAAATAAGTTAATTAATGTCTAATGAATAATTTAGATAACATTTCAGACCTGAAGAAAGACCTACAAAAGGCAGATTTAGCTCTTGCATAATGTATGTTTGATAAGCGACATTATCGATAGATAAACTATAGACATTATTAGATTGCTGCTTTTACATTTTAATTTATTTTCAGCTCACTGGACTATAGTTTGGATAAGATGGCGGGCTAGTAAAGTCTATGGAACTAACAAGTTGACCTATACATCAGGCCAATCATTTAACTCAAGAGAAATAAGAGAATTAACAAGTGTCTTAGGAAGATTACAGCAATCTTGTATGTATCATTCATTATTTTATAAAATATATTTTCAGATATAATATAGTATCAGTGGTTCTCAAGTCAAACATTGAGGGATGTGAATTTCATACACCCACATTTTATGTCGAACTTATTGTCATTACCCCTATATTGAAACCTACAGTATGTAAGTTGGCACATAATCTTAGAGTTATTGGCATTGCCCATATCAATGCAACGTTTTAAATCCTCTCTATTGGTCATATTTTTAAATATCGATGATTTTAAAAACTTGTGTTCAGTTGGTGAAAGGATAAAGTGTATCGACTATCGATTATTTTTAAACTCTGTATCATTATCGCTCCTTTGACATACATCACAATATCCTGATATGATACCTTGTTTGTGGACACTCTGCAGGTCACAATTCTTATCCGATTTTGACGAAACTCGAAACATAGGTTTATCTCCAAAAGATCTTGGTTGCCTTTCATATTGGCATATGTATCGGTTCGAAACTTCATGAATTATGGCCCCTGGTTGTATGCAAAATCACGTTTTTAGCTTGTGGACACTCTAGAGGTCACAATTTTCATCTGATTTTGATGAAACTTGAAATGCATGTTTATAACCCAAAGATCTTGGTTTGTTTCGATATTTGCGCATATCGGATCATAACTTCCTGAATTATGGCCCCTGATTGTTTTGTACGAAAAATCGCATTTTTAGCTTGTGGTCCCTCTAGAGGTCACAATTATTATCCGATTTAAAAAAACGTTTGAATATATCACTGTTACACCATAATGATGGTGAGTTTGAAATTTCGTGAAAATCAGATCAAAACTGCTGGACTAAATCACCATCCCTGGTACGCTAATAGTGTAAAAATATGGTATATCAAGGTTGTGAACTCTCTAGAGGTCAATTTTAATCTGAGGGGCGGTTGGATGGCCGAATGGTTAGTACGTGCGCGCTGTATCATAAGGCCTGTCATTGAGTCAATTGGCGTGGTTTCGAATCCTGGTTGTACGTGACAAGGAGTAGGGTCGCCTGTCCAACCTTGTGGGTTTTCTCTGGGTCCTCCAGTTTCCTCCCACTGCTAAAGACCCCTACGTGCAAGCGAATTATTGAAATAAAATTAAACCATGTGTTAGTCCCGAAATAACCTAGTTTGTGTTGAGTGGACGTTAAACCTCATTTCTCTCTCTCTCTCACAATTTTAATCCGATTTTGATGAAACTTGAAATACATGTTTATAACCCAAAGATCTTGGTTCATTTTGATATTCGCGCATATCAGATCGTAACTTCCTGAATTATGACCTTTGATTGTATGAAAAATCGTGTTTTAAGCTTGTCGTCCCTCTAGAGGTCACAATTATTATCTGATTTAAAAAACTGTTAGAAGAATATATATCACATATCACCGTTACACCTTGGTTGAGATCGAATTTCATCAAAATCGGACCAAAACTGCCTGACAATAACTCAACTTCTAATTGAGCTAGACCGTTCAAACTTGGTGTAGGTGTTTATTAGGTCAATGCCTTGATGGCGTTCGAAGATGATCATTTTCTGCTTAGGGTAAGCAGAGATAAGCAATTTTATTGGTTGATGCTTTGGGGCACGATAACTTTAGTTCTGATTAAGTGAGAGTGATGAAATTTGGTGTATTGTTTTATTGCATCAGTACCTTGACTAAGTTTGATAATGAGCATTTTCTGCTCAGGGTAAGCAGAGTGATAAGCAATTCCATTGGTCGAGACTTAGGAACACAATAACTCCATTCTAATTGAGCCAGAATGTTCACACTTGGCATAGGTGTTTATTAGGTGAATGTCTTGATGGAGTTCGAAGATGAGGATTTTCTGCTTAGGGTAAGCAGAGATAAGCAATTTGATTGGTTGATCCTTTGGGACACGATAACTTTAGTTCTAATTAATTAATTATTAAGTGAGAGTGAGGTAACTTGGTATATAGTTTTATCACATCAATAACTTGACTAAGTTCGATAATGAGCATCTTCTGCTCAGAGTAAGCAGAGCGATAAGCAATTTGATTGGTCGAGACTTTGAAACACAATAACTCTACTTCTAATTGAGGTAGAATGTTCAAACTTGGTGTAGGCGTTCATTAGGTGAATGCCTTGATGGAGTTCAATGATAAACATTGTCTGCTTACAGAAAGCAGAGATAAGCAATCTGATTTGTTGATTCTTTGGGGCACGATAATTTTAGTATAGAATCATTATATCCTTACCTTGACAAAGTTCGATGATGAGAATTTTCTGCTTAGGCTAAGGAGCGATAAGCAATTTGATTGGTCAAGTCTTTGGAACTCAATTTTAACTGTGGAAGAATGTTTAAACTTGATGTAGATGTTCATTAGGTGAATGTCATGACTGAGTTCAATGATTAACATTTCGAGCTAAAGCTAAGCAGAGATAAGCAATCTGATTCGTTGATGCTTTGGGACAAGATAACTTTGATTCTATCTGGTTGAGAATGATAAAACTTAGTGTATAGTTGATAATTAGTTTGATTGTTTGATACTTTTGAAAAAAATAAATGTGCTATTCTATTTATTTTGGGATTTCGGCGGAGGACATCAGCCTCACTGTTGGCTTGTTTAGCTTGTGGATTCTCTAGAGGTCACAATTTTTATCCAATTTTAAAAAACGTTTAAATATATCACCATTCCACCAAAATGGAGGTTGAATTCGAATTTTGGGAAAATCGAAACGAAACTGCCTGACAAAATGGTCGCTCTTTGTACGCAAATTGTGTTAAAGTATGTAATACGAAGGTTACAATTTTTATCCAATTTTGATGACACTTGAAATACATCTTTATATCTCTAAGATCTCATCCCTTTTGATATTTGAGCATTTCAGACCATAACTTTCTGGATTATTACCCTGATTGTAAAAAAAAACACTTTTGTTTTTAGCTTGTTCTCTATCCATCTCTTGCAAAATGTGGGCGTATCCTGCCTGGCAACTGCTAGTCATCTCTATGTTTATGCCCCTAACTTTACAATGGTTACTACAAAAAAGGCATTGATGGCCTTTGATATTTATGATCTTATTTAAGTGCCAGAAAATACAAGTCTTGTAGTTAAAGGAGCTAAATTGCTAATATTTGGTGTCAGGGTATGACGTAAATGTAGTGTTAGTAATGTATGTGTGATAACTGAAGCTCTTGATGGTATCACAACCTGTTGATGGTAGTTGCACGAGGTTTGAATAAAATGTCTTGACTGAGAAGATCTGTTTGTTATACAAGAATAATATGAACCCCAACAGCCCTAAAACAATATAACATTTGGGACCTAGAAATTGACACAAATGGCTCGCAACGCATATAATAATATAATGTGAATGTATATAAACTAATTTACATTCAATCGTTTCCGTTTTTACTCTAATTTCAAATCAGTTATGTTCAGCGAAATACGCCAGAAGTCTCAATCAAATGGCAATCTGTAGCGTCTGGCTATTCCAGTATAAACTGATAGTATTTATTGCACATGCTCTCCAGATAAGAATATGACGTCACCATTTGACATAACTTGTGGAATATGTCTAGCCTCATTCTTCGAGCCCCTTGTTACAAATGGGCTGAAATGCATTATGGTACACGATTATTGTACCGGTGGTAAAATGTTCATTTTGTCTTAAATATTGGATATCAGAAGCCCATCTTTTCCCGGTAGGATCACAATATCAATGTTGATTTATAATTGACAAATAATTCACGTTTTCAATAATAGTATATATAATAGTGAGTTTGAGACTTAGCTACTTAAATGTATTAAAATTTACTATTTCTTGAATATTTCAGTAAATGATAGTTTAGATATCGATACTAGTAATCGACACTGTAATGGTAATTCAACATCTATACCGTTTGATGATAGAAATCATCTTTCTAATATAACACCATCACCAGTTCGTCATACATCTATTACACCATCACCATCACCTGTCAACAGATTTCATCATACATCAGTTGATCCAATACCAGAAGCTGATGAAAACCAAAGTCATGTAACTACCTTTCTCTTTACTCTGATTTTCTTTTGAAATTATGTTTCTGGTGTAGGTCAGTCCCATCCAGTGCCAGATTTAGATGAAGAGAGGCCCTTGGTTATAATTATTCCAATTATGAGGCCTCTCTCAATCCTTTACCCTCACAACTAGAGGAAGATGAAAAAGTGTGGTTTAAAACAAATTTTGAGAAAATTTGAGGATGATGATGAATGTTTAAGACTACATACAGTGATTGGAAGAAAAACAGGGTTAAAAATATTATACACCTTGACAGGTTGCTCCCTAGATCTTGAGGACCTAGGCTTCACTAGTTCAGCCTGCCATTTCGGCACTGGTGGTTCAATTATATAGGGTCAACTATAAATAGTTTCCGACAGTCTTTAGTAATTTTGCCATTGATGTTCATGTATAATAATACACATAATAATTCATGTTTTATTGTATGATAAATATAATCATTGTAGATTTCTATGTAAGTTTATCCGAGTTCCAATTTATTCACACATAGATTTCTATGTAGTTTTATCTGATTTAATTAGTAAAAAATCTGTGAGTAGGCGAACAGCCCTTCCAGATTTCTCTCAGCTACTAGTTTCGTGCTTATTCGAACTCTTCAGGCTTAAATAAGGATGTGCGGTGGCCCTCTATATATAGTGTCGGTGGGAACCAGAGCACATGTGACGTCACAGATGGACCGGAGTCGATCTTTGGCGCCGGAGTCGATTATTCCGAAAAGTGTGCAAAGATATTCCGCTAAGACTCAAGGCTCCTAACCCTTTTGAACTTTAAGTTTAAAGTTTTCTAAACTAACGAGGGCTTAAAAATAACTCTATTAGGTTATGGGCGTGTATGCACTAATTTTTATACGCCCACATTGAAATGTGGTCGTAGATTGTTGTCACCCCCGTCCTTCGGTCCGGCGTCTACAATTGCTTGTGTACGCTCTAAAGGCTAAAGTTAATATCCGATTGACTTTAAATTTATACACAGTGTTTAAGGTCATGAGACGAAGAAGCGTATTGATTTTCAGCAATTTCCGATAATTACTGCCAGAGTTATGGCCCTTGATCACTTCAAAAAATCTTGTGGACGCTCTAAAGGCTAAAGTTAATATCCGATTGACTTTAAATTTATACACAGTGTTTAAGATCATGAGACGAAGAAGCCTATTGATTTTCAGCGATTTCCGATAATTACTAACAGAGTTATGGCCCTTGATCACTTCAAAAAGTCTTGTGGACGCTCTAGAGGTCAAAGTTAATATCTGATTGACTTTAGATTTATACACAGTGTTTAAGGTCATGAGACAAAGAAGCCTATTGATTTTCAGCGATTTCCAATAATTACTGCCAGAGTTATGGTCCTTGATCACTTTGAAAAATCTTGTGGACATTCTAGAGGCTAAAGTTAATATCCGATTGAGTTTAAATTTATACACAGTGTTTGAGGCCACGAGGTGAAGAATCATATTGATTTTCAACGCTTTTGGATAATTACTGCCAGAGTTATGGCCCTTGATCACTTTGAAAAATCTTGTGACGCTCTAGCGGCTAAAGTTATCATCCGATTGACTTCAGATTGATACACAGAGTTTAAGGTCTTGAGACGAACAAGTATATTGATTTTCAATGAATCTTTATGACTTGAACAGCTAAATCCTTGATGTTAAAAGTTTCGTATACTAAACGTTAGCATGGGGCAGAACTTTATAAAAACCAAACGAATTCTAATGATTTTCTGATAATTACTTAATGAGTTGTTACTCTTAATCAGATTTTAATGTTTTATAAATGTTTCATTACCGAAAAAAGTAAAAATATGGAAAACTCTTGTTGACTGCCCGGACGATATAGCTGCTGTGGGCGTATGTTTCGTTGCCAGGCAACCTATCTTTTTATTAGTTATCGCCGTTGGGGTACCACGGCTAAATTAATTGGGAACTCGTCTTGAGTTAGGCTGAGAATTATGCTACTGTTTCGCATATTTTGAAAAGTGGCTCTAGGAAAGTCTTTCTTGAATTCAACAAGGAGCTCACGAGGTTATACCCAGTCTTCTTTACTGATGTTTGATTCTGCCAAATCATCGCGATTCAATGTGCAAAAAACTGGCCAGGCCTCTAGTTCGAGACAAGGATCAACTCGTTCACAAAAGGCCTCCCAGTTACTCATGGTTGGGAATGGTATAGGACAAGGCGATCTGTCATATTTTACATTGTCCGTAATAGTAGCATCCTTGTTTTTGATGCTATTATTTGAACAACTTTCCTCACATTGAGGACAGCGTTGTCCAAGATATCGACTTGGTGTTTAGTTTTCTGGTGACGGGTAAGATCGTCCAACCATTTGTAATTTCGGTTGGGTATGAAAGCTACGGTAGTGCCGCTTCAAGTTGTATGAGCGTGTGAATATCTCCCTGCAAATTCCACAGATGTGCTTCATTTTCGATGGCATTAACGATTAGATGTAGTCCTGAGGGGTCCCCCACTTTATTGTTTACTGATTTAATATAATTTATTCACATGTAGATTTCTATCTAAGTTTGCCTGATCTATAATTTATTCATATGTATTTTATTTTATAGAATTTATCCCAGGTTAGAAGATTATTAATAAATCAGATGGGTGATGGACCTGGAAGAACAACATCTCGTTCTTCTACACCATTATCATCACGTAACAGTTCAAGGTAAATCTTATATTGAAAGATATCTTCCCTTAACCATAATTGGGTCATCTGTTTGGCCTATAAAACTGAGGTTTTTATTATCTTAAGGCATGATATATCTAGTGACCAGGGAAAATAAAATTATGTTTTCCAATCACAATAAATTTAATAAGTTATTTATTATAGTCAGCCACTGATTTGGGATTTGACAATCTGTGTGTTTTGTTATGCCTAGCTATTTGCACTCTTGATCATCAACTTCTTGTCATTCATAATAACTCTTTCATCAAAATTTGTCTTTTATAAAATGAGCTTGTTTTGAGGTACTCTGCTAATGTTTATCTGCCGAATCTATAAAATTGTCAGAAATGACAGAATATACTTACAGATTCCTAGGCAGTTTTAAAACGATATGTAGGGGGGAGATTTGTGTTGATGGAATGTTAGATAGAAGTTTTGAAGGATTATCCATTAATTATATATTTTATATATTACAGATCAACAACACCATTGTTAGGTATAAAATGTAAAGGTGTAACAAGAGCTGGTTCTGCCTGTAGAATGCCAGCTACATCAGGATTTGATTATTGTTATAGACATAGATAAATTGTACTGAATATATACTGGTTAATTCTGTTTTATTAGCTTTCAGTGTATGACAAAATGTTTTTCAGTCAAACTAGATTGAGATAAAATTATTTGTACAATATGTAATGTGTAAATTAAATGATGTAATTTTAATGTATTTCGTCTGCCTGTAGAGCAGCATGATTACATATCATTACTTGGTGTCTGAACACAGAACATACAGTTATGTTCTTAGCTCACTTGAGACTACATGTGAGGTTAAATGCATCGTAAAGAATTTGTGTGAACAGCACAATCAAGTATTTTTGGTTTTTATATGCCCACATTTTCATGTGAACGTATATTGTCGTCGCCCCTTTCCGTTTGGACGTCTGGACGTCCGTCCACAATTGTTTGTAGACATTCTACAGGTCACAATTTTTATCCGATTTCAACGAAACTTGAAATATAGGTTTATCTCCCTAAGATCTCGGTTCCTTTTGATATTGGCATGTATCGGACCGTAACTTCATGGATTATGGCCCCTGATTTGTTGAAATTTGAAATGTAAGTTTATAACCCAAAGATCTTGGTTCCTTTCGATATTTGCACATATCTGACCGTAACTTCCTGAATTATGGCCCCTGATTATACGAAAAATCACGTTTTTTAGCTTGTGGACCCCATAGAGGTCACAATTCTATTCCAATTTAAAAAAATGAAGGTCGAGGTCCTAATTTTTATTCAATTTTGATGAAACTTAAAGCATATCTTTATATTCCAAAAATCTCAGTCCCTTTTGATATTTGCGCATATCAGACCATAACTTTCTGGATTATGACCCCTGATTGTACAAAAAATCGTTTTTGTTTTTAGCTTGGTCTCTATCCATCTCTTGCAAAATGTAGACGTATCCTGCCTGGCAGCCGCTGGTTGTTGTAAAATGAAAATTTTTACACAGAACAGACATTCAGTTGATGCTTAGGGTTGTATGTAATGTACATGATAATAATAATAATAATTTATTTATAGAGCGCCTATAATCCAATACTTAGATTGCTCTATGGCGCTATTACATTATTGTAAAGGTATAAAATATAAAACATCTCAATAATAAGAACATTGCACAATTAGAATAAAATATGGTATACAATAATAAAAAAGTAAACTCTGAAAAAGCTTAAGCATTTAGCAATTAAAATGGCTTTTAAAAAGGTGGGTCTTTAACTTTTTCTTAAAAACAGGCAGGGAAGGGGAATCTTTAATTTCAGAAGGTAACTTATTCCATAGTTTAAAAGCAGCAAAACTATAAGAACACAATCCCTAAAACTGTCGAATATTGAATAATTTTCTATGCAACATTGTGATTTATGATTAATGGTTTTGTTTGTTATGATTCTATTTTTAATGCAATTATTAAAGGGTCATTATGTAAGATTTCAAAAATATATAATCCAAAAATAATATATTGAAAATGTCATTCAAATTACTTTATTTTGAGCGAAGTTATCAATGGTTGTAGTTTTGACAAGATGTGTGTATTGATCGTAACCACCATACTGCTCGTAGGAGTCATAGCCTTGCTTCTCCATTTTTAAATTAAATCATTAAATGGACAAACTGTTAAAATCGGAGCCATTTGATGGCATCTAAATGTAGAATTGATTATGGTCTTGTCATGTTTATAAATATCTAATTAATAATTTATAAAACATTTAAGGCCCAAAGAAAGACCTGCAGTAGACAGATTTAGCTCCTATATAATGCCTGTTTAATAATTTCTTATATTACTGTAAATATTTGTTTGTAAATAATTTTAATACATTAAGATTATGTTTTGTAATACATGTATGTTGAGTTGGATGGAGAAAATATCAAGGTATTGTTTTATAAACCAAGTAATTGTGCCATGATCACTTGATATGAATGATGTGATTGAAAGGTATTGTTGATGAATGAAAATAGTTGGGAGTGATATTTCTTACCTATAATTTAAAATGGTGTATTATGTAAGTAGATATGAAGATATCTATATATATAACGTAGAATTTGTTGAAGTTTGTTGAATACTGTTCATTCTCTCACACCAAATTTAAACAAGCCATTGCTAAGCAAGAATCGTCCACATTTTGAAAGAGATGGATAGAGAACAAGCTAAAAAAAAAAAAAAGCGATTTTCGCTTCCGATATCTAAAGAAATCCAGATCTTTGGGATATAAACATATACATATTTCATCAAAATCAGATAAAAAATATGACCTCTAGAGGGTCCACAACCTTGGTGTTACATACTCTTATACTATTTGCGTAGGGATGTAATTGCACGAAATTCAACCGGAACTGTTATATATTTGAACCGTTTTTAAAATCGCATAAAAAATTGTGACCACAAGTTGTTGGCATATATAAAGTTATTGCCATGCATAATACGCTTACATTTTGCAATAGATAGAGCTCATCCTCTTATTGTCACTATGTGTAACATCGAATTAGAAACAAATCTTTTAAAAAGTGTAGCCTTGGAAAAGGCGGTAACTCCGGAATGTCAGTCACGGAATGCTCAATATCGGTATTGTTTGTCCTCTCATGACCCCCAGTGCTACACGCACGGTTTTCGGAAAATCGGGCATAACTCCTGAATGGAAGGTCCGATGCACACCAAAATCAGAATATATTAAGTATCTGAATCTGACAAAAATTGTGGCCGCTATAGGGTCCACAACATTGGTATTTATTACATGCTTAATTGTCACTGTTTGCGCCAGGGGCTATTTTGAAAATAAGTTTAGGTCCGATACGTGCCAAAATCGAACTCACCCAAGATCTTTGGGACATAAACATACATTTTAAGTTTCACCAAAATCGGATACAAATTATGACCTCTAGAGGACCTTACAAGCTAAAGACGCGATTTTTTATGCCAAAATTGAACTAGATCTTTGGGATATAAACATTTAAGTTTCATCAGAGGTTCTCTCAAAAAAAAAAAAAAAAAAAAAAAAATGTGATCGGACATCTGGACGGACAGGTGAGACGAAATAATGAATATGTGAGCAGTATGAATAATAAGTGCATTAGAAATGGTTTTGGAAAAGGGAACATAACTCCGAAAAGCTGAAAATCGAGTGTTCATGTAGTCCCGTGACGAAATTTGCACAAAAAAATCCATGTAAAACTGTAGACCCTATCGGGTTCACAAGTTTTTCAGAAAATAGATTGTTCCACGCCAAACAGATCCGTTAAAAATTGTAGACTCTGTCCTCTATCGCGTTCACAGGCCAATTATTTGCAGTCGGACCGATAGACCGACGAACAGGGGCGCGTCGAATTACCTAATAACTACCCAATAAGACTTTGGAACCATAAAGTAACAATCTAGTTTTGGGTTTTTTTTAAAAAAAAAAAAAAAAAAGCGTTTGTTTTGTGCGAAAATCGGAGTTTCTTGCTCACTCGCGAAAAGGGACAAAACTTGTAGTATACGATTTGTGTTGATAAGAACATGTATGCTTTCATTCTATTTTGGAGCAGATTATCGACCGACAATCGTATCAAAGCAGCTCCTAGAAATTATAATCTCACCCTGGGTGTTATTGGGTAATTCGACGTTACGGACGGACATGGTGACATGAAATAAGATGACGTTTGGGTATTGTGACGCGAACTTATTGTTGGTAAAGGACCCGTCGGCTCACGTCTTTGAAGGCAGTCCAGATAATTTGTTCCCGAAAATGGCCAATGTCTTTACCAGGAGGAATAAATGTCCAAAATCTGTATATTTAACCGATTTTAGTGGCTATGAAACTAAAAAACGAGGTAATTTACCACGTATACAATCAGCTACACGTGTGGGTAATCCTCATCCAGAGGGATTAAGATATCAGGCTTTGAACAGTGACGAGGTAAGATCTGTAGTTATAATATACACTTTATAAGATAGCAATCCATGTTTGTATTATGTAATTATCGAACTGATAAATAACTTAAACATACATTATGCAAGAGCTAAATCTGCCTATTGCAAGTCTTTTTTTAGGCTTCAGATGTTATAGAAATTATAAATTAGACCTTTATTTACACAAGCTCAAAATCAACTCTGTAGACCCACGGATGGTTTGGATACAGATTGTATTTAAACAGTCGTCCATTGATTTAAAATTTAAAAAATAAATGGCGGACCATGCTAACGTTTACTGTTAGTCGCTGATGGAAACGACAGTCGACATTGTCGCAGAGCATTTAATATTGGCAGCGATGCCCTTCCGTATCCCACTGGTGAAAAAAAACCTACGCGCAAACGGATTATGGAAATAAAATTAAACCGTTAGTCCCGAAATGAGTCGAGTGGCCGTTAAACCCCACACTATCCTGTCTCTCGGTACCAAAAAGAAATTAGACGTGAACTATCCAAAAAAGGATCTCCAGAAAACGGACTGTGACACTATCCTAGTCACGAACCTCCAGAAAACGACCCGTAACACTATCCTTCGGCGATCGAGTAACTCTGGAACACTTTGTTTTTATAACTATGTTTATATATCTTTATAACCTTTACAGTATAAATACATTATAATAGTATTATAATAATATTATATTTAACCTAGAACTGCGACGCAGTAATGACGGGTTTCACCGGTGCCACGTTACCCTTGAACTTATGTTCAAACAGATTTCCACATTAGCATTGCACGCGTGTTATAAAATGGACGCAGAATCAACCAAATCCAGCAATATCAATTCCATTTATACATTTGTTACCATGACAAAAATTGTTACTAATTTACCGCTAACTTTCTAATGGGAAATTAAAATGCGAAAAAAATCTTAAAAAGTGACCCTGACAAAATTAGTTATTTCACAGTAACGGAAGAAGTTAGAAGCAATTTTGTGTTATCTATAGCATCGTATTAAATCATTCTTTATGTTGGATGCAATTAAATATCAAAATTGTAAATGAATATTGAATAACATTCATTTGAAGAATATATTTATTTGAAGGCTAAAAATACAGTTTTTGTCAAAATGTTGTCATTTCCAGTAAAAATAAATTTTTGAAATTGTTTCTATGAAATCACAAATGGCATTAGGCATCAAATGGTGAAACTTTTATAAAAAATCAAAGATTAATGAACAATTTCATGGACCAAAAACCATTAAAAGTGACTTGCACAAAATCGTCTATTGTCCGCAACTGAACAAGTTAGAAACCATTTTGTGATATCTATATGATCGTATGGGTTCATTCTATTTGTTGAATGGAATTAAATATGATACTTTTAAACACATAACAAAATGGGCTCATTTGAAAAAAATATCTGTTTTGAAGGTTACCAATACAGTTTTGGACAAAATGGCGTCACTTCCAGTGTCAATTTTAAATTCTGCTCAAATTGATATGTTGCACATTTGCTTTATGCATCAAATGGTATTATTTTAATGAAAATCCTATAATAATTGACTCTTTTACAGACAAAATAACGTGACTCTTTTACAGACAAAATAACGTGACTCTTTTACAGACAAAATAACGCGATTCTTTTACAGACAAAATAACGTGAAAAGTGACTCATGCAAAATTGCCCATTTCTTGGCAACTGCTCATATTACAAACTAATCTCGGCATAGATTGTCTTCATAAATATTCTAAAATATGAAAAGCCTGAAATGGTTGTAAATTGGTTAATTTTACACCATTTTTCACCTTTAAATCGAAATGGCGCAAACACAAAACCAAAATTTAAAAAAATTGAGTTCTACATTTTTTGCGCCTGTCATAGGGGCATTCTTTTTGATCTATCAGATTTGTAAAATTAATATCTGCTTCCGTCGGGAAACTTTATCGATAACAAAGAAGTTAAGAATTTGCACCTTGAAAAATTTGAACTTTGTTTTATACATATCGGGCAATAAAAAATTAACCTAGAACCCATAAACTGAAATTAAAAAGGCAAAAATTTTTTAAAAAATGATCCTGACAAAATTGGTTATTTCTCGACAAGGGAAGATGCTACGAGCCATTTGTTGACATCTTTATGATCGTATTGATTCTACCTATATGTCCAAATATCATAATTTGATACGAATAATGAATACCACTCACTTCAAAAAAATATTTGTTTTGAAGGCTAAAAATACAGTTTTTACCAAAATGACATTACTTCCGGTGAGAATGAAAATGTTAAATTAGTATTATGAAATCAAAAATGGCATAATGCATCACATGGTGAAAATTTTATGAAAATCGAATAATAATTGACACTATTATGGACCAAAAACCCATTTTGTGGTATCTGTATGGTCGTATGGGTTCATTCGATTTGTTGATTGGAATTAAATATCATACTTTTAAACAAACAACATATACGACTACAACTCATTTGAATAAAATATCTGTTTTGAAGGCTAAAAATTCAGTTTTTGCCCAAATGACGTCACTTCCGGTGACAGTGAAAGTGTTAAAATGGTTTGACTTAGTCAAACGTGGCATTAAACATCAAATAGTGAAAGAAAATTGAAAATTGAATAATAATTGATTCTTTTAACTTTTACAGGCAAAATAACGTGAAATGTGACTCATGCAAAACTGCCTATTTCTCGGCAACTGCTGATATTACAAACTATTTTTTTACATACATTCTCTTTGTATGGGTTATTGCAACGAGGTTATGAAAGTTACTAAGAAATATTTTGAAATATGAAGACGGTGGATGGGTTGTAAATAGTTCATTTTTACACCTTTTTTCGCCTTTTAATCGAAATGGCCCGAAAACGAAATTAAAAAAACTGAGCCCGATTTTTTCTGCGCCTTTACAGGGCACACCCTTTCAGTTATATATCAGATTTGAAAAAAATGATATTTGCTTTCAAAAAGTGGTACTGGACTGTCAAAATCTGTCAAAATTGTAGCTTTTGCTGAATTTACGTCACTTCCGGTGCCGACAGGAAACTTTATCGGTAACAAAAAAAAAACAACAAAAAAAAATATGGGCGAAGTGTTTGTTTTACTGAATCCAGTGATAAAACGTTTAATCTACCAACAAGTTAAAGATTTGGATATTTTGATCCAGTATTGTTATTATGCTTTGATCAAAATATGCAAAAGATCACCATAAACTTTATGTTGTTATATATTCTTTTCATGTCTCCAGAAAGTTAGCATATGGAATCCGAACTTCTACAAATATGCACAGAGATTAACCGCCATGCTGGAACATACAGGTTTTAAGCAATATTTTTTTCTGTTTACGACAACGATTTTTTTTTTTTTAGATGCAGCTTTCAATTTCTATTAGTTTTTTTAAACAAAGTATATTTTTATTCTTAAATAATTCATAACAATTCATCTCTCTTTTATTATGTAGATCTAGTAAATGATATGTAATTTAAATTATCTTTGTTAATGCTTTATATTTTCAATTCGCAGGAAAGGTGAATTTTACTTGTGGAAAATTTAAACTAGCGCCAAAAATATTAGGTTTGTATTTTAATTTGAGGGCTAGTGTATTTTCTAATTGAAAGTCGAATTTATTGTTATCTATTAATGAAAGGGTATACTATACACTGTTAACCCTAGGTAACCATACAGTGTCTAATAGCTGCTCGCATTTTGTTTTCTTTTCTTCTTGTGGACAATTTGTGTAAGACCACAACTTGATGACGCTCGCTGTTGTAAACCCTACATTCAGAGCGATTTATTAGTTTTAATTTATAGATTGCATAACTGTCATACTTGATAACGTTGAATGAATACTCTTCGAAACGTCGCCCAAATAAATAAGTAGCTTTTTTCCCGTAAGTATGTGTTTTTGTGTATTATATATATATGTTAGTTTTATCATGATGCTGGGAATTTTAGTATGGAAGACCAAACAGCTCTAAATTCAGTGTTCTTAATTCTTAGTTCTTAATTCATAGTCATTAATTCTTATTTCTTCATTTTTTGTCGTATTTCGACATTTGTACACTAAAATTAACATTTGTATCTTAAAATCAACATTTGTTTTACAAATCAGGCATTTGTCAAATCAAATTTGTACACAAAATGTATTTTTGTTTAATTTAATTTTATTTTAATATAAAGATAAAATTTATTTTAGTAAACCAAAAAAATAATCTGCCTTTAAATTTCATCATAGACATACAACGAAAAACAAATCTCGAACAACAAATTTCTAAATACAAATCTTGCAAAACATTTCTCCAAAAACATTTCTTCTATAACATTTGTCCAAAAAACATTTCTTCAATAACATTTCTCCCAAAACATTTCTCGAAATTCATCGGACCGGAACATTATGACGACATGAGCGGAAATCAACCCGGCATACAATAAGTCACCATGCAACACAGGAGAATCGAGCAAACATATATACAATAAGAAAAATCGCTCGATGACCCCGAATTAAATGAAATCATGTGCGTGTTATGTCTCTCTCTCTATATATATATATATTGGTTAATCTGATCTAGCATTAAATAAATAAATTGAAAGTAGTCTATTTTCCGAAATTAGTTTTATCTGATAGCGATATATTTCTTTGGATAAACGAAAGAGGGCTTTATCTCTTCTAAATCATGTAATCATGCATGTGTCAGTAAAATAGCTAATGCTTGTATATTCAAAGAGCGATAGACAAATTTTTTCCGGTGTAGCATTATACGATAAGTGGAATTGCGTAGTAAGACGCGTATTTTGACTATTACATACCCCCTCCCCTTACTGAATAGAGTTCAGACGATCCAAATTATACCTGCATTAACAAGGTACGTAAATATGAATATGTCAGAGAATATTTTACAATTTTGAAAATGTATTCGAACTTTTTTAATGGTATGCATCCCGATATCTTGTAGTTTGTGTTATGGCCGATATTTTGACGTTAAATCTCCCTCCTCCCCTCCTCATTTAATACATGTTAGTGCCATTTCAAATTTCTTCTTTTTTTCAAGGTATGTAACACAAATGTCCAAGAAAATAATTGACATTTTGTAGCAAACAATAAATAAACTTTCCAGCTGTATATGAATAGATATCGAGAATTTCTTATCAAGACTTTAAATATCCCTCCCCTCCCCTCACTTAATAAAGTTTATTACCGTGGAACTTTGATCTATTTTCAAGGTATGTAATATAAATGTGCCAGAAAATAACTTGAAAAATTGTACGCTATTAAACTCTATTAATTGATTGGGAGGGGGTGAGTGGGGTCTTAAATGTCAAAATACATGTCATACTACGACATTCCAGATATCACACAGAATACCACTGTAAAGAAGTTTCATTTACCCTTTCAGAAGTGTAAATTATATTCTGGCACATTTAAATTTTCATAGCTTGAAAAAGGTATTACAGTTGGGTGACGCTAATTACTATTAAGTTATTGGGGGTTGGGGGGCAGTTGGGTCATGTTAAATACTATTAAGTTAGTGTGTGTGTGTGGGGGGTGGGGGTATTTAAAAGTTAAAATACGGGTTATCGTGTATTGCATGAGAAAGTATTTATTTCTTTATCCCTCTTTCAATATATTACGTATTCCCTGGCACATTCATGATTACGTGATTTAGAAGTAGTCCAATTTCTGAAAATAGACTACATGTAATTTATTTTTTTTCTCGACGGCCCGGCCCGATTAGCCATACTACGCACGTGGTTTCACTAGAGTTGCGGTCATCGAGCGATTTTTCTTATTGCTCGATTCTCCTTTATTGTATGGTGACTTATTATATGCAAGGTTGATTTCCGCTCATGTCGTCATAGTATTTCGGTTCGATGGATTTCGAGAAATGTTTTGGGAGAAATGTTATTGAAGAAATGTTTTTTGGAGAAACGTTTTGCAAGATTTGTATTTGGGGATTTGTATTTAGAAACTTGTTGTTCCAGATTTGTTTTTCGATGTATTTCTCTGGTGAAAATAAATTTTATCTTTATATTGAAATACAATTAAAATACATTTTACAAATCTGATATGAAAAATGTTTTGTAAAACAAATATTGCTTTTAAGATACAAATGTTAATTTTAGTGTACAAATGAAAAAATAAGAATTAAGGACTATGAATTAAGAAATAAGGTCGAAGAACACCGAATAAAGAGCTGTTTGGTCTTCCATATATTTGTTATATCTTGTAATGACGCTGTAGCGTATATTATTATATATTTCATCTTGTCGTGGCGATGTGTATGTTTTGTTTTGTCATGACGCTGTGTAAGCTTATATATTTTTTTTATCTTATCACGAGGTTGTGTATTTTATCTCGTCGTGACGTTGTGTGTGTATGTTTTCAAGGGAAGCCGCCAGACATTCAATATACAGAAAATACAATATCTAGAGTTAGTTTTCGTGATCCAGCAAGATTCAAGGGGTTAAACTTTAAACTGAATACTACAAGATATGGTTATACACCTACACAAGTCATTGCTAAAGGAATAGGTAGGTACTCATTTTTGTTATTATGTACCTCAAAAGATAGATTATTGATATAATAGATTTTATTAATATTTGCCGACATGATCCCAAGAACTTCGTTTTTGTTCTGCAGCAGCATCCACATGGGCCATTTTCTATTTCCATTCAATACATATCACCCTCAATCTGATTAAAATACAGATCTATATTTCGTTTCGGTTTTTTTTTATACTTTTGATGACCTACACTACATAAAGTTCTGACAAGTTGTAGCGGTAGGTCGCGTCAGAGGTCATCACGTGACCAATCCATCGAAGCTGGGCTTTCAGTATCATGGCCTCAATGCTGGTCATCTTAGCTCTGTCGCAGTCCTTGAATCTTTTGCGTGGTCTTCCTTGGTCCCGCTTTCCCGAAGTCAGTTCGCCATTCATAAACTGCTTTGGCAGCCTGTGGCCAGCCATCCGGATCACGTGACCAACCCATCGAAGCTGGGCTTTCAGTATCATGGCCTCAATGCTGGTCATCTTAGCTCTGTCCAGGACCTCGGGGTTTGTGATCCGATCTTGTCAGTGGATATTCATAATTGACCGCAGGCTTCTCATATGGAACTTCTTCAACTGCTTCAAATGCATTTTGTACACAGCCCATGTCTCGCATTCATATAGGAGGCCGGTGAGGACGACGGCTCTGTACACCTTGAGCTTTGTGGAGAGCTAGATGTTGTGCTGATTCAGGACACGGGTTCGGAGACGATTAAGAGCTTGACTGGCCTTGCAGATCTTAACGTTGATCTCTTTATCCAGGCTGCCGTCGTTGCTGATGGTACTGCCGAGGTATCTGAAGTCATCCACTGTCTTTAGCTGGGTGCCCTCAATGGAGATAGAAGGGGGAGGGGCGGTTGAAGCAGGGGCGGGCAGAAATAGTACCTCTGTCTTGCCGAGGCTGATGGTGAGTCCGAAAAGGCGGGAGGCTTCTGCAAACTTATCTGCGATAAGCTGTGGGTCAGACTCTTTGTGTGCCATGAGAGCACAGTCATCAGCAAAAAGTACTTCTAGGTTGATCTTCTCCACAACCTTGGTTCTGGAATTCAGTCGGCGGAGGTCGAACAGTGAACCATCAAGTCTGTAACGTAGGTATACCCCAAGGTCCAAGTCCCTGATAGCGTGGTTCAGGACGCAGGTGAAAAAGAGGTTGAAAAGGACCGGGGCCAGAACGCAATCCTGTTTGACGCCGTGGCTGATATTGAAAGGCTGGGATACTTCTCAACCCGAGAAAACCTGTCCAGTCATGTTGTCATGGAACTGGCGTAGAAGGTTGACGAACTTGTGTGGGCATCCCAATTTGGATAGGATGATCCAAAGGGCCTCTTTGTTCACTGTGTCAAAAGCCTTGGTGAGGTCAACAAAGACAGCATACAAGTCCATGTTTTGCTCTAGGCATTTCTCCTGCACTTGCCGGACGGTGAAGATCATGTCCACAGTGCTGCGGTTTGGGCGAAATTCACATTGTGTTTCTGGCAGGTTTCCTTCGGATATGTTTTCGACTAGTCGTTTGAGGAGTATCCGAGCAAATATTTTCCCAGCAATACAAAGGAGGGAGATCCCCCGATAATTGCCGCAGTCAGTCTTGCTATCCTTGTTCTTAAATAGGGAGACGACAGTAGCATCCCTAAAATCTTTGGACAGTTCTTCTTCTTCCCATATGCTGGTGAGGAGAGTATGGAAAGTCGCAAGGGCCACAGGGCCGGCAGATTTGAACAACTCCGCTGGGATTCCGTCCATTCCGGATGCTTTGCCTGGGCTGGTCTGCCTTATCGCCTTGAAGACTTCATCCATTGTGGACGATGGCCTTTTGTGGGATTAGGTCAAGAGCGAGGGGGTCTACACTGGAGGGCCTGTTGAGCAGGTTGCTGAAGTGCTCTCTCCACCGTTCATTGATGCTACTCTTCTCCTTCAGTAGAGATGAGCTGTCTGCTGACAGGAGTGGGGTAGTACACGGCTTGGAAGGTCCATAGACTTCTTTGATGGCACTGAAAAGCATCTTGGAATTCTGCGTGTCGGCGTATTTCTGGACCTCGTCTGCTTTCCTCTCCCACCATTTGCCCCGCATCTTGCGCAGCGCAAAATGGGCCTGTAGATGCTTGAAGCGATCATGCCTAGAGGTGGAGGAGGGGTCGTTTTGCCACTCAACAAATACTTTCTGCTTGTCTTCCAAGAGTTTCTCGTCGAACCAGTCCTGATGACTTCGTTTCCTGGGGCCGATGGTGGCTATTGCTGACTCCGTCACCAGTGTTCTGAACTGCTCCCATCTTTGAGTCGGGCCGCCAGTCAGGGGTCCATGGGCAGTCATTCGGCCGTCCAGGTCTTCTGCAAATTCACTGCGTTGCTGATGTTGTTCAAGTTTGGCGACGTTGAACGCTGGTCTGGGCACTTTCGGCGTCTTGCGGAGAGTTGGGGCGATATGCAGACATAGGATGGCCCTGACTAGGCGATGCTCCGTCCAACACTCCGCTCCTCGCATGGCCCTGGTGATCCTGATGTCGCGGATGTCTTTTTGTCGGCAGATGGCGAAGTCGAACAGGTGCCACTGCTTGGACCTTTGGTGTATCCACACTGTCTTGTATTTGTCGGCCTTCCGGAACAGGGTGTTTGTAATAGTGAGGCGTTGTTCAGCACAAAAGCTTAAAAGCATCAAGCCATTGGAATTCAGCTTTCCAATTCCGTGGGGTCCCAGCACGCCATTCCAATTTCTGCAGTCTGCTCCAACTCTGGCGTTGAAATTGCACAGCAAGATGAGATTGTCATTAGAGGGGGTGTCCTTTACGAGTGCACTAAGCTCCTCGTAAAAAGCTTCCTTCACTTCATCGCTGCTGTTGAGGGTTGGAGCGTACGCACTGATGAGGGTGATATGCCTGGTACGGTTCAAGGGGAAGCGGAGTTTCATCAGCCGTTCGTTCACTGAAGTTGGTAGATCAGGAAGTTGTTTGAGGAGCGATTTCTTGATGGCCAATCCTACTCCATGGATTCTCTCTTCATTTTTGGCCTTGCCTTTCAAAAAGAAAGTGTAGCCACTTTTCAGTTCATCCACAGATCCTTCCTCGGCTAGTCTCGTCTCGCTGAGGGCAGCTATGACAATGCAGTAACGTGCCAGGTCCCTTGCGATGAGAGCTGTTCTCCTCTCAGGCCTTGAGCCTCAACGAAGTCCCCTTGTGAGCGTCAAAGTAGCGAGTCCGGGGACCTCCCCAAGAAAATTTTGAAAAAGTTACTGTCGGAAATGCTGTCTGACAGTATTCTGGCACCGATTATCGAGAGAAATAGAGCCGATCTGATACCGCCTGTTGTCCGATCACTAGTCTATCCGACCCCAGAGAGGAAAGTGTCAAATGAACGGACTTGCGGACCTCAAAGAAGCTCCCGAAAATTTCGAAAGTAGACTGCCCGAAATGCAATATGTCAGTATTTCAGGCACTGGTCGTCGAAATAAATAGAGATTACCAGATACTGCCTGCCGCCAAATCACTAGTTTATCCGACCAGAGAGGAAAATGTCAAACGGGCGGAGTGAGTGAATCAAGGTGAATGAATATTTTCGCCACAATATTTTGTGTAATAGACTACCGGAAATGCAGCCTGGCAGTATATCAGATACTGATAGTCGAGATAAATAGAGTTGACCAGATACTGTTCGTCGCCAAATCACCAGCTTATCCGAACAGAGAGGGAGGTGTCAAACGAACGGAGTGAGTGTATCAAGTGAATGCATATTCTCGTAAAAAACATTTCTCAAGTGATTCACGTGTTATTGTTTATAGTATGTTTACAGCAGGATGGGCTTGGTAAGAAATCACTCAGCGGGCTCTACAACATGTAAGTCTATGACTGAGTGGGTATGTGGGATTTAATCACTGTAGATGGTATTGATTACCGAAACGTATTACAAATACTTTTTTTTTTATTTTCTAAAATTATTGGGGGGGGGGGGGGGGCAAACAGTGGGCAGACCAGATTTGGGGGGGGGGGGGCGCCGCCACTGCCTTGAAGAGACCTCTCTGTCCATCAGTGCGCGCACATTCCACGCACCAACTATCAATTTCCTTTTTTGGGTTTCGACCGCTTGAAGGGTAGAACTGCCAGCCGCGGTATGCTGGCCAGTTGCAAGGGACAAGTAATTCTTTGGGACACCTTTTCCAGTCCCCTCCCTCATATGAGGGTGAGCAGTGCTGTCCTAAAGAGGCTGCTCGATCACCTGAGGGAACGCCGAGCTCCACTGTTGTCCCTGGGTCAGGAGGAGAACGACTATTGCCACCAGGCCGCCAACGTGCAGGGTTCAAACTACAACTTCAATGGGAACCTCCACCTGTTGCTTCGCTCGCCGCCGCCGCCGGACTTTGTGTAAGGGTATGGGGACTAACACACACGAAGAAAACCTGTGCGGGAGAGTGTTTAAAGTGGGAAAGTCAATGCACAGGGGCAATCCCACTCTCTCGACCTCAGAAGCCAGGATCTGGTGGTACGGAGGAACCGTCACGGCCAGGGACTTCCTCGGCTGCAGTGGATGACCACGGCGTCTGTAGTGCCATGCTTTAGCGCTCCACGACGCTTGCTGTCACCGCCTTCATGACCGTTGGGATTGAAAATGATCTCATCCGCTCACTCCGCCGGCTACAGTCTTCACATGCTTGGGTAGGCATTCCCGAACTCGCCGAGGGTTTGAGACCCGATGGCTACCCTCACCTGGTTTAGCCCGCCTGTCGAAGCGATATTCCGGGGTGTGGCCGCTGCTTGGAGCCACAGGTGAGAGCTGGGCGCCAGGTGGGGACCAAAGCGGACGAGCCATCCGAGGGTGCGACATGTTCCCCCGTCAGAGGTACTACCCTTCCCTGACACCCCATCCAGAACACGTCAATGATAACAACTCTTCCAGATCCTAGTGTAGTAAAGACAAGTAAAACGAAATTTTGAACTATAAAAAACGAAACGAAATAGGATCTGTGTTTTAATCAGATTGTATCACCTTTGGATACAGTTAACTGGCTATCGTAGACCTACCGAGGATTCGCATGCATAGACTGGCTCGAATCATAAAACGAATTAAATAAAGTGTGCAGTACGGTACATTCACATTATTTATTTTTGTTTCAGTGCCTGATTTAACGCCACCGGCATATAGAATACCTTAATGAACATAACATACCAACTGATACCGTATTGCAGGTCAATGATGACAATAAATTTGAAATTTCCTTGGTAGTTGAACATTTTCTTTCCTTTATGTTTTATACATTTTGTATCATTTTAAAAATACCTTGTGATTTGATGGACTAAAACATATTCAAACTATTTAAGCTATCAAAAGTTTGTTTCAAATCCCCCTCAAAACACTTTAATCGTAAGAAAACTACACTTACAGAAAATGTGATGGCCCCCATCCTACTAGAATGTACTATAGAAACTACACTGGTAATGTAAAGGAACTTTTGCTAAGGGTATACTTCGACTGACAGATCATTTGGTGCCGTTATTTCCTACAGGATCCCGTCATTATTGTGAGAAACTATCACAGCTGTTGAATTATACAAAAAGTATTGAGTTAATTTATGGAATTTGCACAATTTTTTTTACGATGAACTGGAAAAGTCTATTCATAGTATCAGAACCCGTAGTTCAAGTGTCTAACCAAATATCTCCCAAGTCAACCTAATACTCATTATCTAATCTGGACAGATACTTAACTACACAACAGTAGAAACCCAATGTTTTTTTATGATTCTCAACGGATTGGACAGTTTTCCAACAATGGTTTGTAACTAAACATTAAATACAGAAACTTTTGCTAAAACAACACAACTAAATGATACCAAAGTTGTAGTGTGTGTGGTAGTATTTAATTAGTATTGGGTAAATCGTCCTGTTTGAAATAATTACCCTAATTAGGTTATGTAAGATTTATATAAAGAGCTAACCATTCTTGCTATAATAGTTCAAAAATAGATAATGCAAAATGAATATATTAAAAATTTCATTCAAATTACTCTATTGCAAGCGAAGATATTAGCCTTAGAAGGTTTGACAAGATGTGGGCATTAATTGTAACCACTGTACTGGTTGTTCGAAGCTAAGACTCGCTTCTCCATTTTTAAATTAAATCAAAATATGACCGAACCGTTCTAATCTACTTAATATCGGAGATATTGATGGCATCGAGAGTTGATTATAGTCTTGTCATGTTAATAAATGTCTAATTAATAGTTTTTATAAAATTTCAGGCCTTAAGAAAGACCTGCAATAGGAAGATTTAGCTCTTGCATGATGTATATTTAAGTTGGAAAGAATCTTTAATGGAAATTAAACAGAAAACAAAAACAATTTATTTTGAAGAAATATCAATTTATATAACAATTGTATAAAGTACAAAACAAATGATTTGATAGCAAGGTATTAGGCTTGGTACCCATTACAGACCGTAGACATACACATTACAGAACTCAATACGGAAGTAAGCTAAATAAATAAGAAAAAGATAACACTGGCATTAATAAACAGATGGATTGTTGAATAAGTTCTCTAGCAGTGTTACAAACAGACAGTGAAAAAGTGAAGCAACATCAACAGAATACAAACTCATGCAGTTTCAGTGGAGTCCCATGCACAAGGAACCTAGCCGAACCAGGTACTGAGTCAAACTGTGGCACAGGTTTTAATATTTTCATATTTACAATGCACCAATAATGTACACTATTAGTTGAAACTAAAATTACATACAAGTATACACAACTCTTTAATTAAATGTAAATTGTCTTTAAGTTAGTTAATCAGGCTTAACATCCGCTTCCACCAAGGAAGACAAATGTTTTTTCTAACTGGTCAGTCAAGCTTGACAGGCAAATCCGATGTAGGACAGAAATGGTAAGATGAAAACAGAAATTCACAGCCCCCCTAAGTGTGCCTTTTTACTGTCTGATGGAGTAACTTGTCTTTGACAATCTGAATAAATAGTATACAAGCAATTAATGTGTATCCATCATTCGCTGACTTGTGATGAAGTATTGTCCAAGTGTAAGCTGTGCAATTTCTCTGTTAGATAATTAATTCCTTTATGAAACATTCTTTTATTTTGTCGATCTAACACAACAATTGTAAATTGTGTGATCTTCTGGATTATTTGGTATTTATTTCATGTCATATGAACTATTGTCTGGTAGTCCTGATTTTTTATATTTATTTTACAAGTGTTCATATAGTCTACATTTAGACGACTACCATGAACAGATTGTATTAAACTCTGTGTATTATTAACTATATTATACAATGAACGCTTCCATAAATTATTGTCCAGTTTAAGGATATTCCTGAAAACAAAAAAAAAACAGAAAAATTTATTTAAAGATGCAGCAAATAATTTATAATTTATCACAAATAACATAACAGTGATCGATTTTTATTAACTTTGCATCTTGGAGATAATGAAGAAGACAACTTTTTGAAGTAAATTAGTGAGGAATTAACTAATTACTTTGAACAGTTCAGATTTTCACGGTCTGTTTAACTGAATAGCATAGTGTAGTCAAATAGAATCGAACTGCTATCAGCTCATTACACTTCAAACAATAAACATTGGGGACATGATTTTGTAGCAATAGGAAAATTAGTGGAATATAAGCTGTATGTTAGAATAAGGGTAAAAATTATTTAGGTCCTGGCTTTGAACCTACCTGTACATAAATTTGAGTACTAAATCAACTTGTTCTAAATTTTGATCTAATATGAGTTGACTTATATAGGCAGTTATAACATCTACATCTTCTTCTTGTGGTTCTGTTTAAATATAAATAAAATGAAATGGGATTTAACGTCCTACTTTTCTGCACCAACTGGGCTAATGAAGACCAGCTTAAGCCATACAGTCACAGTGTGATATTACAGTGAAATTTTGCCTGGACAAAATGAAAACCTCAAATTTTAAGTCTCTAAATGGTATATTCTTTTAATGACTTCAAGAAAATTTTTATCATCATAAAATGAAACATACTGGGACGCAATGAAAACGTAGCACTTTTATAAATGAAAGATTGTAAATCTTTTTTGAGAATTACAATTTAATCTTGCAATTCTGAATTGAACATGAGAATCGCAAAAACAAACCACTGGTCAATTCTCTAAACAAAAAGAAGATAGCCATGGTCTTGAAAACTGCATGGTAAGAAAACAGAATCTACTAGTACAGGAGTTAACAAATATACATATTTTATTGGTGAAATGAAATGGGGTTTAACGTCCTACTGTTCTGCTCCGAACTGGGCTAATGAAGACAGGCATACGCCATACAGTGTGCTATGGGGGAAATTTTGCCTAGACAGCGGCACTAGGCCTACTCTTATATCGAATTCCAACTGTCAAGGGATCTTTTACATGCACGCCAATGTGTACACGGGACCTTGTTTTTTCGTCCCATCCAAACGACTAGACAGCTGTCCTTATCAGGCCCTCCCTCCTGCATTACTGACAAGGGGGAAACCACGCCGGAAAATCTGGATGAACTTTCTTGGCCAATACAGGTAACGAACACCCGACCTCCTGGCTAGTGAGCCAGCGTCTTACCCCTTAGCCACCGTGGTCCCCCTATTTTATTGGTAGGGATATCTATATAGAGTGGCATGTCATCCTCTCCTCCCAGATATTTGAATGGAATATATCCCTTGTTATACATACCTTGACATGTATATAACCATTCTTTAAGTAAAGATCTGACTTGTGATATTGTTACAGCACCACACAAACTAACACTATCATCAACAGTATCTATATCATTATGTTTATCTGGTTCCAGTGTAGGTATAATATCATCTTCTATACTTATAACATCATCATCATACTCTCTTATTTTATTCTGAAAATATAAATAAATAGCATTTTCATTTGTAATGACAGAAATAATTCCACAAAAATATTTGTACTGAGCCAAAGACTACCACTATGTAGTTTGAAATAGCCCAGTGAAGTACTTGGACCAGCTTATCTACACTTCATAATCATATGGATGAAAGCAGTAGCCATACACAGAGTTTACTTTCAGATTCCAAATTTCACTAAACAGTGTTGCAGAAATACTCATATCAGTTATGGGGCAACAACTACACATAAAATTGATGAGTGACTTAGACTTGCAGCAAGATTCCTCCATGGGACTAGCCGCACAATGCCAGCATTGTCTAGTGACAGGCACAGGCACAGTAAATCAGAGAAATGTGGGATTATAAATATGGTAAAATTAGTCTATCAAATATGTACTATATCTTAATTATCAAGCTTGTTTTTACTGAAGCAGAAACAAGTCTGCCATTGTGTGTTATCCCGTCTGGTGTATAGGTACATCTGTTCAAATATATTTTGTCAAGTTTACCACTCTTTTTAACTACAAACAGTTTCTATAGTTACACCAATGACTGATCTCAAAAAACATTTAGATTCAAGATGTTTCTAAGCATTGATACTTACTATTTCAGGTTTATTGAGGGATTTAGATTTTTCATAAGAAAACAACAACTTCTTGGGGCTAAGTTTTCTTTTCTTGCCAGGTCGACCTTTAGGAACTTTAAATAATGGACTAGTTTTTCTAGTTTTTCCTGGTGAACAATGTTTAGTAGGAGACTGTAGATGAGTGACGACTGTCTGATGGTTAGGTTGTTGTTTGTAAGCAAATTGAAGTTCTTCTTGTAATTCTCTAGGTAAAGCATTCAGACAATCTAAATCAATCTGAAATCAACAACCATTTATATTTTAGGTACTTGTGCAGTTAACTCAAATGCTTATTTCCTCTGAAAGGCCTGCATTAATAGTAGCATAATCAAAGGCACATTGTTCTTATCTTGGTTTACCATTGTATTTAATAATTAGAAAATTTGATTAAAATTAACTTTAATTTCCTGGTAATTTGAGTAATACTAGAGTCAATGTAGACTGGTCTCCAGTCCATTAATAATATTAACTGATTGTGTTTTATCTTTTTCAATCAGTTTTTTGTCTTTTATTCATAGACTAGATTGGAGTAATAGAAAACAAATCCTGGTCAGAGTTTTAGACAGCTGATTGACATCCCATGCATGAACAGCTTGTCAATTATGTGAAGCTTAATCATGTCACATAATATTGTGGAAAGAGACAATTTCTTTAGCAACCACTTGCAATTAACAATGGGGGCTGGCCTATTGTTCTTCTTGTTGGCACAGCTACAAAATATCTTGTTATTCTGCTCTACTTGCTATTAGCTAACACAATTTATGACACAAAAAGTGTCATCTAACTATAATTATTTAGTAATATAAATGAAGAAAGTTAATGTTTACTTGTGAAGGTGATGGTAACGCAACTATAGGACTATCATCTTCAGGTGATCTACTTGTTATTATAGACAGGTCAGAGGTCATACTGCCTGGCCAATGAGAACAACCAGCTTCCTGACTGTTGTGTATTATGATGTCGGTGTCACATTTAGTCTTACGAGAGTTCATCTCTTTTTCTATCTGTTCTCGAATATCTGATGGTAATTCACTTAAAACATCAGGATCAACCTAATATAAAAAACAATGTGACTAACCTAAACTAAATTATTTGGTATTTTTCTCTATTATAATTATATTGGTACTAATGCAAAATCCAGACTTGCTTATGTTTGAGAAAAGGTCATTTATCTGACAAATAAATAACAACTGTGAAAAAAGCCATTGAACTTTGCAGAAGGGAATTGTAATCAATTTAAGATGGTTGAGTAAACTACCCATGCATGTACATCTCAAACTGACAAAAGTTCAAATGGCTTTTGCTCACAGAACTTGTACTGCTATCAGACATGTCAACTGCAAGCACACAATGTAGTTTCGTCATGGAAGAGTACAGCTAGAAAGAGTTCCGTTTCAAAAATGCATTCGTCTCCACTAATTCTCAACTGATACTGTTCAAATACATTTTATAATTTATTAGAACTATATCAAATGATTGAACTCAATCAACAGTTTGATGTCCCTTTAAGATTCATTCTATATCGTCTTATATGTTAGATAATAAACCAGCGGCTGCCAGGCAGGATACGCCCACATTTTCGAGGGGCCATAATTCAGGAAGTTGTGATCCGATATGTGCAAATATCGAAAGGAACCAAGATATTTGAGTTATAAACATGCATTTCAAGTTTCATCAAAATCGGATTAAAATTGTGACCTCTAAAGGGTCCACAACCTTGATATACCATAGTTTTACACTCTTCGCGTACAAGCGGCGGCCGTTTTGTTCAGCAATTTTGGTCTGATGTTCACGAAATTCGAACTCAACCTTCATTACATTGTAACGGTGATATAATCAAACGTTTTTTTAAATCGGGTAATAATTGTGACCTCTAGAGGGACCACAAGCTAATAAAAGCGATTTTTCGTACAGTCAGGGGCCATAATTCAGGAAGTTACAATCTGATATGCGTAAATATCGAAAGGAACCAAGATCTTTAGGTTATAACCATGCATTTCAAGGTTCATCAAAATCGAATTAAAATTGTGACCTCTACAGGGTCCACAACCTTGATATACCATATTCTACACTATTCGTGTACAAGCGGCGGCCATTTTGTCTGGCAATTTTGGTCCGATAAATAAACGTTTTTTAAATCGAATAAAAATTGTGACCTCTGGAGAGACCACAAGCCAACAACGTGATTTTTCGTACAATCAGGGGCCATAATTCAGGAAGTTACGATTCGATATGCGCGAATATTGAAAGGAACCAAGATCTTTGGGTTATAAACATGCATTTCACGTTTCATCAAAATCAGATCAAAACTGTCATCTCTAGAGTGACCACAAGCTAAAAATGCAATTTTTCGTAGAATCAGGGGCCATAATCCATGAAGTTACGGTCCGATACATGCCAATATCGAAAGGTACCGAGATCTTAGGGAGATAAAGCTATATTTCAAGTTTCATTGAAATCGGATCAAAATTGTGACTTGAGAGTGTCCACAAAAAAATTGGGGACGGACGGATGGACAAACAGGGGTGACGACAATATACCAGGGGTGTCGACAATATACGTCCACATGAAAATGTAGGCGTATAAAAAGGGTATTATTCTTTTACTGTGAGTCAGTTTGATAACAATTCAATACTAAATTAATAATAATATATATAACCTGTGATGGTGAAAGGAAATAATCCATTGGTGAATCATGTTTAATACTGGTAGTTGTAGATACAGGTGACTTGTCGTCTGGTGTATTAAAACTAGGTAATGTAGGTAAAGGTGGTAAAAAACCCTTTGCTGTTTTACGTCTGTAATAGACAAAATAGAACAACTGCACAACAAAACATAGGACAAATGACATAGGAAAAAAATATAGTTTCAAAGTTATCAAATCAGGAATAACTTACCTAACTGAATTTGATCTGACTGATTAAATTAATTATCCCCATTAAATGATCATGTAATCTTGTAATCGAGATCAAGTTCACTCAGGCTTTAAACAGAAATAAAGATCACATTTCAACCTTTACTTTTGTTATACTGAAAGAAGTAAAATTAGTCTTCTAGCAATATTAATAGTCAGTTAAATACAGTCTCTATAAATTTTTAGTCGGACACAATGAATAATAGGTACCATTATTAAATTACCTAGCTAATTCATCAACCAATGTATAACCACTCATTAATGTTACTCTATGTTTACTAACTATGGGCTGTGAAGATATATTTCTCTCATTTCGTTCTTCATCATCAACATGAAAATCTTTATAAGTGTTAATATCTATTGAAGATGGACTCTTCACTTTAGTAACTTTTGTATCCTTCCTTGCATTTATATTATTTTTAAGCTGGTTTGAACCAGATTGTGGTTTATCTATAACAGTTGATTCAACTGAGTGTTGCTTTATTGTTTCAGTGTTTGTCTTAGCAACAGTAAAGTTCAGAATACTTTGATTGCCTTTTGTGTTTTTATTATGTGTGGTTCCAGCTTCCATCTCAAGCCTCTGCATCTGTATTCCCATCTATATCAATACACAAATAAATACACACAATATGAAATCATTGAAAACTGCATATGCTGAACATGTGAGTCCAAAGTTTATCATGATATTTTTAATGGGATTAGTCTGCCAATTAAAGCAGTTTGTAATTTTCACATTACTTCCATGCATTTTTAAAAAGAGCAATGGGTACAAAATAGAGTTATAAAATGTTTAGTGCAAATACTCTCCATAAAAACAAGCGAATAAAGTGCTAAATATCACATGAAAAAGATCAAGATACATTTCATGGTTTTCTTTTCTTCACCTCTAAAATATACAACATATTAACTGAGAAAATAAACAACTGGTTAAGTCAATGTGTTTTTTAAAGATATTACATACCCAGCAATTTGAACAAGCCAGTGAGGCTGATGTCCCCCGCCGAAATCCCAAAATAAATAGATGACACATATTAATTAATCGAAGATTTATTTTTTCAAAAATATCAAGCAATCAAACAGATTATCAACTATACACTAAGTTTCATCACTCTCTATCAGATAGAATCAAAGTAATTGTGTCCCAATCAAATTACTTAGCTCTGCATAACTTTAGCTCGAAATGTTAATCATTGAACTCAGTCAAGACATTCACCTAATGAACATCTACATCAAGTTTAAACATTCTATATACTTCAATTATTAAAAGCAGAGTTATTATGTTCCAAAGTCTTGACCAATCAAATTGCTTATCGCTACTTAGCCTACTGTCTGAACCATGGTAAATTTTAAACAGATTTCTTCCGTTGGGAACAAATTACTGAATAATTGTTATTAAAAACTTGCCTATGTGTTTGAAATCACCTCTGGTTGAATTGCACAATTAAATATCCCAATAAAAAAAAAGTTCTCTCTTGAAAAGTCAATGTTTTTGCTTGTATTTTCAACTGTGTCCATCACAACATTACACATGTCACGTGATGAGCTAAACCATCATAATATGTTGAAGGGGGTAAAGGTTGACAAATTTTAACAATCATGTGTGTTGTAATGAAAACAGCGCATGACCTTTTCGATTGTTGGCAACAAAAATAGCAACTGAAGACAATAGCATTAATTTGATTGTCAGTCTACTAAATTTTATACTCAGATAAAGGCCCATCTAGATGATAACTGTTTGTATGAACCATTTCAAAGTGCTTATAATCAATTTCACAGTACTGGAACAGCTTTAACCCGGGTTTCAAATGATATTTTAATGGAAATTGATAATAGAAAATGTACATTTTTAATTTTTTATTAGATTTATCTGCTGCTTTCGACACGGTGGACCCATCCATTCTTCTACGTAGACTTCAATTTAAATTTGGTATTTGTGGCTCTGCATAAAATCTTTTAGAAAGCTATCTTGTGGGTAAAAAACAGTGTATTTTAGTTAATTGTAAATCGTCTGTAGTACTATAGGACTTCTTTTTGTTGTGTTTACTTTCTGGTGATCTTTAACAAGACTACAGCATAAAATAGTTTCACAACTTTATTTCTAAGTTGTAATAGCTTTGCAGGTTCCTCGTTCTCAATGATAATGGCTGCTAGGAATTTCTGGGTGAGCTCTGATTAAACTCGCTTGTTCACCCTAATTTATACCCCTTAATTTCTGCAGGTCTAAGATAACCATGATGTTAATTTCCATCCCATATAAGGAATAAAACTCTTTATTTCCCACCATAGAGATAGGAGACATTACCTATTTTGGTCTACCAATCATGGGGTCAATAAACAGCCAGAATTTGATAGATATTTTGACAATGATTATGATTTAACCAAAATATCACTGTTTTTTATGAAAACTATATATTCACGTTCATTAAGTACGTGTGATTTAACTCTATAGACAGAGTAAAGTAACAATTTTGCAATGAACCAAAATTATCTCAAGGACCAAAGTGTTACACGTCGTCTGAATCTGTTTTATCATCTGGGGTTCCCCAAGGTTCTGTTCTTGGTCCGATTTTATTTACCCTCTATACGTCACCATTAGGTGATATTGTCAGAAAATATGGTCTCAGCTTTCATTTGTATGCCGATGATACTCAATTATATATTTCATTTAGACCTAATTGTCTATCTTCTTTCAATTTATCAAAATTGCAACTTAAGAACTGTATTAGTGAAATTAGAAAATGGATGTCAAAGAACTTTCAAAAATTGAATGATGACAAAACCGAATATTTGTTATTAGGCTCAAGGCATCAAGTAAGTAAATTTGCACATGATAACCCCCCTATCGTAATTGGTAATTGTGATATATTTTCATCTTATTCTGCTCGTAATATTGGCGCAATCTTTAATAGTTTTATACTTATGGGAGCTCAAGTAAATAATATTTGTAAATTGTGCTATTTTAATATCAGAAATACAGGTAAAATACGTAAATGTGTAACTGTAGAGGCCATTAAGTCACTTGTTAATTCTCTGGTCACTTCTCGATAAGATAACTTTAATTCACTTTTAGTTGGTTTACCTTTAAAGCTTATAGATAAATTACAAAAAGTACAGAATACTGCAGCTACTAGACTTATTACTTTTACTAAGAAATGTGACCACATAACTCCTGTTTTATATAATTTACACTGGTTACCTGTTAAATATCGATTTTAAGATTTTATTACCTACTTTTAAATGTTAAAATAATTTAGCTCCTGTTTACCTTTCAGATCTTTTAGAACTTTATTCACCTGGCCGAACATTACGTACATCGGATAAACTACTTTTAAAGCCCAAAACTGTTCAATTAGTCTCTTATGGTCGGCGCTCTTTTAGTTATCAAGCACCTGTTTTATGGAATAATCTACCATTTAGTTTAAGATGTTGCACATCTCTATATTCTTTTAAAAAACAACTTAAAACACATTTATTTAATCAGGCTTTTAACTGACTCTGTATACAATCGTTAAAAACATGTCCATAATCTTGTTGTTTATTTATGATTACATTGTCACTTTGTAAAGTGCCTCTGAACATGTTATATGAAAGGACGCACTATAAATATAATAATAATAATAATAATAATATATCACCGATTATACAAATACTAGTAAATATAATGTTGCTTTTCACATCATCATCACCCCATAATTGTAAATATCCTGTATATTATATTTTTATAAATTATATTACATCCCTGTCAATTATAGGCAACTTTGTCGCTAACATTTATAAATAAACACACTTTATTTCATAATTTTAATTGATAACGGTGTCTAATTCCAATGCTCTGTGGTTATTAGTCCGTTTTTCAACGTTTTATGATTACCACAAAAAATATGAGAAAAGGGCCACCGCTTTTCAATAATTTCCATATTTAATTCATTTTCCGACGTTCAGTAATATTCTTGATTAAATTACTTTTTTTTGTTTATTCAACAGATACTGAAATTGAAACAGTCTTGATAAGAACAGTTCGGAATGTCTAAACATTGTTTATCGTCTTTATAAAAATGTATTTAAAACCAAAAAAGAGGCATCGCAGATTGCGTTATTATTGGGTCTTGTGTTAATTATGCAGTTTCGCGCTAAATTTAACCATTTTCACTACATATGTGTAGCATACAATAACTCACATGTCATGGTACCTTTTACGGTACTAGAATTCAAAGCGTTGATTGGCTGAGGCATGATCGCGACCTACGTAATGCCATCAGAAAATTCCATTCTCCATGGATTTCAAAATGGAGTTGTACTTGTGATTATTATATAGTTAATAACTGAGTGTACAATCAAATGGATTCATTGTCCTGTAAATTTTAAAACAAAGCCGGGATTTTCGGAAATTAATCGTTACCGAGACGCACGATTATAAAATTCCGAACAGTTTTTGCACAACGGAAATAATATCCGAAGAGAAATAGAAAGACATGGAACTATCTGCCAATAATTAAACCGATGTGCGGTATGATTTGTTGATAATAATTTTTTGTAGTTATATACCTATTCAATGGCCTTGGCTATTAATTTTGCCGAGGCAAATGTAAAATACATCAGCATTTACGGATTTACCTCGGCTACAGCAGATTGCCAAGGTTAATTGACAGGACTGCTTTAGTTCATCAGGAAATATTAAAGATATTCAAGGGTGAGATTCAAGGCCCGTAAAACAAATGTCGTTCTTTTTGTTCAGGACCGTGTTCAAAAGAAATAATCCCACCCAACTCTCTAACCAAATAACTAATACAAGATGGAAACAAAATAATGGACTACGGGCGTATTTATGTTTGTAATCGCCCAAACTCATTACTGGGTCCGAGAGAAATAGTTTATTCATACATAAAATTTGAATTGTCGTAAAAGAAGCAAAACACTGTTACGATACAAGCCTAGCATCGACCCCCTTATATGAAATGATCTATCCCTATAAGTGATGTAATTAGCTTCCATTTTTGTATTTATCGATGTCAAGTTTGTGATGAGTTCAATTTTACAGGAGAGAGCTTTTTTATTCGCTGGGATATTTAGTTGTACAATGGATTTTATTTAACCGGAGGTAATTTCAAACACACAATAAGTTAAGTAGTTTGTTCATAATCGAAGAAATCCGTTTAACATTTACGACGGTTCAGACAGTAAGCAGAAAATTCTCATCATCGAACTTAATCACGGTAATGATATAATGAATCTATACTCGGAGTTTCATCCCTCTCACTTAATTAAAACCAAAGCTATATCTGCTTACCGTATGCAGACAATGTTTATCATCGAACTCCATCAAGGCATTCACCCAATGAACGCCTACACCAAGTTTGAACATTCTACCTCAATTAGAAGGAGAGTTATTGTGTTCCAAAGTCTCGACCAATCAAATTGCTTATCTCTGCTTACCCTAAGCAGAAAATTCTCATCTTCAAACTCCATCATGGCATTCACCTAATAACACTGTAACCCAGGTATCATTTAATCTTGTGTATCTAGCACTAATTTCTTTCACATTCGTTTAATATCGAATCTTTGTTTAAAAATTTGTAAAAACTTTTTAAAATCACCATAAATCGTTCAATTTGTACTTGTGTCCAGTTTAAAGCTGACCATTCAATTTTGATAATGAGTGTCCAATTTACAAGTGTTTAATTTCACAATCATTGTTAAAAAATAAACAACCCAATTGATTAATGATGTATAATGATTAATTTTTGAACAGTGATCAGGAAATTAAATACTTGTAAATTGGACACTCATTATCAAAATTAATCAGTCAGCTTTAAACTGGACACATGTACAAATTAAAAGATTTATGGTAATTTTAAACAGTTTTTATGAATTTTTGAACAGTGATCAGGAAATTAAATACTTGTAAATTGGACACTCATTATCAAAATTAATCAGTCAGCTTTAAACTGGACACATGTACAAATTAAAAGATTTATGGTAATTTTAAAAAGTTTTTATGAATTTTTAAACAAAGATTGGATATTAAACGACTGTGAAAGAAATTAGTGCTAGATACACAAGATTAAACGATACCTGGGTTACAGTGTAAACACCTATACCAAGTGTGAACATTCTAGCTCAACTAGAATGGAGTTATTGTTTTCCTAAGTCTCGACCAATCAAATTGCTTATCGCTCTGCTTACCCTGAGCAGAAAATGCTCATTATCGAACTTAGTCAAGGTATTGATGTAATAAAACTATACACCAAATTTCATCACTCTCATTAACTCAAGTTATCGTGCCCCAAAGCATCAACCAATAAAATTGCTTATCTCTGCTTACCCTAAGCAGAAAATGATCATCTACGAACTCCATCAGGGCATTGACCTAATAAACACCTACACCAAGTTTGAACATTTTAGCTCAATTAGAAGGAGAGTTATTGTGTCCCAAAAAGTGTGACGGACAGACGGATGGATTGACGAACCCAGGGACAAATATTTTTTACTATTGATAACTTACCCCTCTAAGATCTTGTATATTGATTTTCATAGCATGAAGCATACTAATACATTCCTTACTTATACATGTGGCATCATCTGTTGCTAATGGTACAGTTATAGATTTAGATACATTATTACATATACCATGTCCTGTAATAAATAATTATACTAAAGATAATGGTACAGTTACAGATTTAGATATTTTATTACATTATACCATGGCTGGTATAATAATCAAAGACAATAAACAGTTATAATTTAAAGCTTTGATTTTACATATCAACATATGAAATTTTGTATACTATTTTATCAAATCTGTACGATTTTTGTAGAAATTAATGTCACAGGGTATTTGACATCACATATTTCCTAACTTGTTCTTTTCCTATTTATGCTATTGAGTTACAATGTAGCTTAATTAGAAATCTACTTACCCATAAATTTAGCTGCTTCTTTAGGAGCATCACCTTTTCTCACTTTAACTTTCAATGTTATAACTTTTCCTTTTAATTTTACTTTCACCAGTCGATTATGAACTTCTTCAGATAAATCACATATGAATTTAACACATTCATGTTCCTAAAATAAAAGAAAAATCTATCAATTGATATGATGTGTAAAATGATTCAATCATGGTATATAGCTTGAATAGCTTATTTCTTAGTTACCTTTAAATATCCAACTTATAGTCCAGTTTAATTTATATTCAAGAAAAAAGAAAATTCAGGATAAAATCCAAATTTAATTATTTATTTTCAAATTCAAATCTAATTAGAATAGCTTAAAATATGTAGTTAAAAGAGAATAAATAAACAAAAGCCATTCCATAAAATGTTTTACACTTTTTTGGACATGTATTTTTTCTGTTTTATTTGTAACAGAAGCCATATTAAACCATTTTTTAAATTGTGTACAGAACTTCAGGGTTGATGTGTACGAAGGCCCATTAGTGTCAAACCCCAAAAAATATTAATCTGTTTGAAGAGTTAGTATCTCGTTTGAACGAATTTGTTTCTCATTTGAACGAATTAGTATCTTGTTTGAACGAAGCGGTATTTCGTTGGAACGAATTGGTATCTCGTTTGAACGAATTAATTATCTCGTTTGAACGAATTAATCATCTCATTTGCACGAATTAATTACCTCATTTAAATGAGTTAGTATCTCGTTTAAACAAGTTAGTATCTTGTTTGAATGAGTTAGTATCTTGTTTGAACGAATTAATTATCGCATTTGGATAACATTTAAGGCCTAAAGAAAGACCAGCAATAGCCAGATTTAGCTCTTTCATAATGCCTGTTTAAGCATATACATGTCATAAAACAATGACTTCACTACGATGTTGTGGCTTATTCAGTCTAACATTAAACATATTCGGCCTTTAAAACGTGGATAACTTCCAACATATTCTATACTAATTCTCCTTCTCATAAATGTTGTTCCTTCTACTGATGGTAACGCTAGAAATAGTAAAGAACTTATGTATTAAATGACATTATCTTTACTTAAAACACCTGTTAAGATCACAATTTCTGCATGTCCCTTCCACGCTTCTGTACAATCGAAATCTTAATTTGTTCAAACGAGATAATTAATTCGTTCAAACGAGAAACTAACTCGTTCAAACGAGAAACTAACTCGTTTAAACAAGATAATTAATTTGTTCAAACTGGATACTAATTTGTTCAAACAAGATAATTAATTCGTTCAAACAAGATACCAACTCGCTCAAACGAGATAGTAATTCGTTCCAACGAGATAATTAATTTGTTTAAATGAGATAATTAATTCGTTCAAATGAGATAATTAGTTCAAACGAGATAATTAATTCGTTCAAAACAGATACAACTCGTTCAAACAAGATAATTAATTCGTTCAAACAAGATAATTACTTCGTTCAAACAAGATAATTAATTCTTTCAAACGAGATAATTAATTCGTTCAAACGAGATACCATATTTTTTTTTTTGTTTGGCACTAATGGGCCTTCGAAGATGTGTGAAAGAGCTAGGGCAAGATATTATTGATTTATGACACATGATTTGGATGAAAGTAACTTCAAACTCTGACTCTAATTCCAAATTTAAAACTACACTTCAGGGTTTTTTTTATCCATCCTTATCCAGTGTATCCCCACACCAGTCATAGTTAATCTATAACGAATACAAACAAGCAACAGGTATATCATGTTGAATTGTTCAAAAACAGATTTTCTAAAGAAACAGTTTATACCTTTTGAAAACGTATACCATAATTTATTTCAGCAGAAACTGATTTTCTCTCTTTTTCCATTTTGATTGGTCGTTCATCTTGACCTCTGCATGATTTGTATAATGATTGACCTGTTTTAGGGCCAAATTCTTTCTGTAAAGTGGCTAATGATATATTCTGTAGATCACCACAGGTTGTTACGTTCAAGTTCGATAACTTTCTGTTGATTGACCAACCAACACCTTCAAACAAACATAAACTGCATTAGATTCTTTCGTACAAGGCCCCTAGATCATGTGTGAATCACTAATTAACAAGGACTAAAATCTGAGCTGGAATTTTAACTATCGACCACTGAAAAAACTGCATCCCTAAACATACATTATGCAAAAGCTAAATCTGCCTATTACAAGTCTTTATTTCGGCTTCAGATGTTATAGAAATTATTAATTAGACCTTTATTTACACAACAAACTCAAAATCAACTCTGTAGACCTACGGATGGCTTGGATACAGTTTGGATTTAAACAGTCGTCCATTTAAAATTAAATCAATAAATGGCGGACCAAGCTAACGTTTACCGTTAATTGCTGATGTCACTACAGGAAACTGGTGACGAAAGGCCTGCCAAGCAAGGCTACCATAGTCATTGAGCATGTTACTTGATAATCGAGAATATGTGGGTGGAGTTATCGTCTGTCAAAGAAACGATGACCAATTTTTTAGACGGTGCAGACACAATTGAAGCTTATTTTTAGTCCAAACTTCCAACAGTGACAATTCCATTCAGAACAAAGTAATTTGACTGAAATTTTCAACATTTTCTTTTTTTATTATCTATTTTTGAATTATTATAGCAAAAATGGACAACTCTTTATAAAACTCTAACTAATGTATCTTTAAAATATTGTGGATATTTCTATTGATAATCACTGTTAAATCCTAATATCCTAAAAGAAATTGATACAAAGTTCCTAAACTGAAATTGGTAACACAATTTGTTGGATTCAATCTGATTAAAATACAGATCTATATTTCATTTCTTTTTTCTTATACTTTCGATGGCCTACACTACAGCCTTATATATAGAGAGTCTGGCCAACCCGGGTCCTGATAATGATTGGCTAATGATAGTCACGTGACATGTGGACGCCATTATGTTACCCACCTAAAAAGAATCTTCTGTATAGTAGCCTATAATTTGGTGTGTTTTTAAATGACATAAATGGTATGTTATGTGGCCATAAAATGCCACGCAAGAAGAGGGCATGGGATTCATATGCACAGGTTCCCAAAAATGCAGAAAGGCGTCGATTGTGGGAAGTGAAAGTAAAAAGTAGGCTAGTGGATGGAAGCCTGGTAAAAATTCCTTCTTGTGTGATGTTGGTAGCCTGTCATTCATGTTTTTTTTTAACGATTGCAAGTGACCGTAGATTGTTATTGTAGTTGGAAGAAATTCCGAACCTAATGACATATTCACGTTATTGGTTATTATTTTTTGATGAATGAATTTTCGAGATTTGTTATTTACTTGACATTTTAGGCCCAAATATAGGCCTAGTCTAAGTAGTAGATGTTTTTTTCTATTTGAATTTCGTCTGTATGGCATAAAGTGTTGCGGTTTTGGTTAATTTGTATAGGTATGTTTATTTTCGAAAATTGTCACGTAGAATCTTTAGATCAAAACATCGTCACTTGATTCAATAACAGACCTTATGATCTAAAGCGCATGTGTTAGATCACTCGACCACCCAACTTCCTGTCTCCACGGAAACACACAAATGATTAAATCCGAAATATTTCTAATTAGCAAAAGCCACAACTACTATAAAATAGGTTGATGTGTTTAAAAATAACAAAGTTTCATCATTACGATATCTTGTGATATGCTCCGGAAACGAAATTGGGATGGACAAAGCCTGTTTTAATATCTCTCCCTTACTTCCTTTGGCGCGGGATAATAACATACAATAAAAATTAAATAAAAAATAACTTTCTCATTTCAGAGGTAGTCATTATTCGATAGGCCTACTTTCGATTTAACCTATAGTCAAACGATATAATTATTGGATTAATGCAGTATTTTTAATGTTAAAAAAAATTAAAAAATAAAAATTATGAAGATCTGACCAGTTGTACTGGGAGGTCATGTCAGGCATCATATGAGCGGCTTTGTAACCAATGATATCAGACATTGATTGATCAGTCGGTGTTGACATTTCTAGTGGTTTACCCACAGTTCAGTGCACAGCACGCCTGTTATATAACAACTCTTCCAGATCCTAGTGTTTTGAAGACAAGCAAAGCAAAATTTTGAACTATAAAAACGAAATGAAATTGGATCTGTGTTTTAATCAGATTGTGTTGGACTTATTTTTTGTAACATTACACTATGACATTCAAATTATTCATTCTTATCAATACATATACAGTCAATTTTGCTTTTGTTCATAAAAATAGATTTACAATTGAGTCTTTGACTATTGATAGTAAACTTGAGTAGTTGACAAACCTAACAAACTGGGTTGAGTTATTATGAGTTATCTTGTAAAAAATGACATGTCTGCCAACAATACACACACTGTGATCATATAATCAATTTTCTTACTGCAAGAGATATTAACTGATATTAGATACTTACCAGGTATATCTCTAGCAGCCTGTGACTTAATAAACTCTATAACATCATAATTTTGTAGATAAAACTGTCCATTCGGTTTAGCTTTACGTGTAGCAAACTTAGCTAATAGTATGTTAGAGGCTATAAGAAAGATGAACAGATTTTATGTACTTTATGTAAAGAGAAAATTGAATGCTGTATACTCAAGGGGGAGCCACCATGGCTCAGTGAAAAGGCGCTGGCTCACTAACCAGGAGGTCGATCTCAGTGTTGGTCAAGAAAGTTCATCAAGATTTTCCAGAGTGGTTTCCCCTTGTCAGTGGTGCAGGATCTAGAGTAGTCTTTCAGATGAGACGAAAAGTCACGTAAAAGAACCTTGATAGTTGGTTGTGATGGTGCGATAATCGGTTTCAACATGGGTAATTGGCCGATAAGTGGCCTATCAGGAAACATCAGTATCGCCCGATACACGGCCATTTTGCCGATACTGAAGTTGCCGATATTTGTTGAAAACGACTCAGTAAATACCTTTAAAATATTACCCGAGCTGTGAAAAAATAATTTTTTTGCTTGACACACGGTAAATCTAAATAGCCACGCCCATGGCGGTTGCCGTGCTTGTTGCTATTTAGACGTTCTGGTAATACAAGACTCTCATAGGGGCTGTAAAAACGAAAGAATAAACAGTACAAAATCTCTGCTGGTTCCCGTTATCTAATTTGCCATGCATATGGCAACCTAAATAAAAGTCTTATTTCGTTTGCGGTTCGCATTGCTATTTAGACGTACCGGTAATGCGTGCTGATCACAAACTAGATCAATACCTAATTAGGCTATTGAATTATTTATTTAAATTGTTTCTAATAAGTAATAACAAATTTAGTAACTATGAAATAAACAATGGTCCTCACAATAGCTATATGTCTATCACGATTCATGATAATAAAACTAAAGAAGATGTCAACAATGGTTCATCATTGCATACTGTGCTGGTATGAAGCGTCGCAAGTTTAACGTTTGGCCTTACTTTGATCACTGTCGCTTATCGTGAAATAGTTCCAAATCTTACTATTCATTTTATCTAGTTCACTGCTGGTTATCTGCACACAATCAAACTGGTGTTAAAATAGTACCATGTGTTTCCCGACTAATAATGACAAATATCGACATAGATTATGATGCCATTCGAGAAATTTTAATGTGTAGTAGTTTTATATCCACCACTATCGGTAATTGTGTCTGTATTGGACGATATATTTTGCTGTCAATATCTGATATTGGTGCCATATCGGACCATCACTAATAGTTGGAATTCAATTGTTGTTTGGGCAAAATTTCCCAGTTGGATATTAAACCCTATTTCATTCAGTCATCCTCAAGGTTCCATAGTTTCACCCATTTTTGGTGTCAGTTACTTCAAGCTCTGTCTAAAAGTATATTATCTACATCAAAATATCTTACCTAGTCCTGCTGAAGCACAGCATCCAGTTTTGTTATAAATTTCTTGTCTTAAGACAGTGGCAAACTCTAATGGTGTGGCTCCAGTATCTGCTAACAAATCTGTACAATCAACTAACATTTCATCACAACTTACAGCTTCTATATCATGTGTGTAGCTTGAAATATAAAAACATTTCATCACAAATTACGGCTTATATATCATGCACATTGAAAATTTGTCATTCAGACATTTATTACAGATGTGAAAATATGTAGGTGATTGTTATAGTCCGGTGGCTGAAGGGGGGAATCGCCACCCGAGCTGTGAATTTATGAGACCAAATTTTTCTAGACCATTTTTTTGTGTAGATTCCGATGAGGGGGCGTTTTCGAGTTATGGGGCGTCCAATGTCTACAATTGAGGGAACATGTGATTATGTTGACATAAATGATGACCATGTTATGTATTAATAAAACATAAATTTCTAGGACTGCCCATCTCTAAATTAGTGTTTATGATGCCCCTGGACAACTGTTTTGATTTGTGGCGAGGTGGGGTGGGTGGTTGCAGGTTTGCGTGTGTGTGGGGGGGCGGTAAAATTGGCGGGAAATGTGCTCACATTGATTTAAATAATGATTTTCTTAGAGCTTGATGAAACATCTCTAAATATGTTTATAAGATTCCCATTGTGTGGGGTTGGGCGCCGGGGTGGGTGCCCGAAGGGGGCGGGGCAACATGTGTTTTTCTGCACAGAAATCATTTGGTTCAAAATTGACCTATTAAGTTTAAAAGTGGTTTCTCGTTAGCCTTTTCGTTCAGTACCTATTTCATCATTCAATATATTAAATCATAATGGTACTTTTCAAGAGATCTGGAAATGTACATAAAAAAATACAGTAAATTAGAGACATGTTTAGATATTAGTTTATTCCTAGTCTTCATCAAAAGATTGAAAATCAGGGGTCATTCATAATATGAGCGGGATAGATATCTTCTGGATGGCTAATCAACAGCTCACATATATCCATTGGATATGCTTCAGATACCCATTCAAATTGTAAATCTTCATTCCAGCCTTCAACCACGGACTATTATATACAGCAAAATCTTTAGCTCAACTTCAGTCACCTTAAGGAACTAGTATATATAAAGGACATATGAGTCTCATTGAATTCCATATATTCTTTATTAAATTCAATGGTACAAGATAACAAAGAGTTTTACATATTGACATGGTTAAATTTAATATGCAGATAGACTCCCATTATGGCTAATATAAATGACTTAAGCCTCTTTTATCTCTATAATATTTTTGTGAGCTGCTTCAGGTTGGAGATAACAGGATTCATCTGTATTATTCATAGTCTATAAGAGAAATATTATTGTATACCTGGCTACTGTGTCATATAATTGTTTAGAAATTTGTTGATATTTCTGAAAGTTATAGGGAATGGTGTTTAGTTCAGGACACAATTGCTTAGCTGGACCCATAAACATCCCATTTTTCACACCAGCCTGAAAAATAAGACACATTAAAATTATCTATCAAATTCTCAGTGAATAGAAGATTAAGTGACTAATAAGGACAAAAATTTGATGACCATTAGCAAGCTCAACTAAATCAACAAAAAAAACCCATTAAGTCCCAAACTGCAAGAGTTCCTTTTATTAAAAAAAAATCTTTGACCTTAAAATAACTCCAAAAATATCTTAAAAGTATATATAACTGGTGAATTAAAGCAAAGCTGAAGAAAATTGTATCTAATTGTTACAAAAACCAGTGGCTGCCAGGCAGGATACGCCCACATTTTCGAGAGATAGAGAACAAGCTAAAAAGAAAGTGATTTTTCCTACAATCAAGGGCCATAATTCAAAAAATTACAATTCGATATGCGCAAATATCGAAAGGAACCGAGATCTTTGGGTTATAAACTAATATTTCAAGTTTCAACAAAATCGCATAAAAATTGTGACCTCTATAGGGTCCACAACTTAGATATACCATATTTTTACGCTATTTGAGAACGAACGGCAGCCATTTTGTCTGTCAATTTTGGTCCGATTTACACAAAATTCGAACTCAGCCATCCTTAGGGTGTAACGGTGATATACTAATACGTTTTTTTAAATCGGATAAAAATTATGACCTCTATAGGGTCCACAAGCTAAAAACGCAATTTTTCGTACGATCAGGGGCCATAATTCAGGAAGTTACGGTCTGATATCTTTGGGTTATAAACTTATATTTCAAGATTCAACAAAATCGGATTAAAATTGTGACCTTTATAGGGTCCACAACCTTGATATACCATATTTTTACGCTATTCGAGAAGGAAGGGCAGCCATTTTGTATGTCAGTTTTAGGTTGATTTTCACGAATAAAAATTAAACTGAAGCCCAATATACCTTTCTAGCTTCATAGCTACACGATGCTATTTCAGCAAATGATTGAAATTTGTCAAATTTCCTTAAATCTGGTGGAACATCATTATCCTCATCTTTAACTGTGTCTGATGTAGTATTTGTTCCTCCAAGATCTGCTCGTTTTGAACGATAGTATTTCATTTCATAATCTGGATCAGATCCTTGGGTTGGTGCTGTTCGACCTTTATTCCTTGAATGGGTTACAGCTACTGGTTTACCTGTTACAGAGGTAATAAAATAAAACAAACATCCTACCCAACAAAACATACAATACACTGGACATGATTACAGCCATAAAATCATAAATATCAAAGTTAAACAACAAAAAGCAAGAAATTAGGAACTGAACATATGCAGCGTTTAATAACAATACTTGTCAATAGCCCAATAGCTTAAAAGTGCATCCCTTTCCAAAATGTGACAGTGTTTTAAATAAGGCAAATAAATCTCCAGAAAATACCTAGCTCCTATAAAAACCTGAACATTTACACAATTTCCAGTAACACCTACATGTACATACATATATAATAATTCATGTTACACATCATTGATTCAAGGTGGGTTGTGTGGCCTAGTGGTCTTTTTCTGAGTAATCCTGTTTCTTCCCAGTTTTTAAAATCAAGATAAGCTTACCATGTTAGAACCAAAATGACCTAGTTTGTGTTTATTGAAAATTAAACCCCATTTATCTGTCTCTCCCCTTGATGCAAAAAAATGTTGTAAATTTTACCTCTTAAATCAGGTCTTTCTAAAAGACCAACAGACACAAAGTAACAATCCATATCTACATGCATGATAATTCTTTCAGGTTTACCCTTTACAGACTGTAAATTATCTAGTTCTTCTGTTCTCTCAACACATTCTACATGAAACTGTCTTAATTTCTCACGACCTGGAAAATGATCTGTGTTTTCTGTTTGTAATTTATTCACATAAGCTTTATATTCTGCTCCCCATGTTGACAGATGATGTAGACGTGAATTACCATAGAATTCTGACAAGAAATTAGCATCACCTGCTTTAGCCATTTTATTTGGAGAAACACTGGGCTTTAACGATGAACTGACATTTGGTTTTATATTATCTGCTTCACCCTTGTGTCCACTAGAGTTAAAAGAATTGTCTGTTAAATCAGCACTGAAACTAACAGATTTATTTTTATTTAAAGAACCAAGTCTGTTAGATAACTTTTTATGGTTTGTGCTGCCATCTTGCTCAATAGTACAGATAAGTGTTTCTTCTGTTTCTATAGCAAGACATTGTTCCGAATTTTTTTGAATGGCTACAGGAACCAAAGATTCATCGTCATCATCATCAAAATATTGTCCTAAAATAGAATCATCATCCGTATGTTCAGAATCAATTTCCTCTTTATTATCAGTGCCATCTTCAAAATTGCGATACTGATTGACTGTAGTCTTTGGTGATTTATCTATGTTAATGTTTGTATCTTGTGGTTGATATTCACGTTGATTTGGTGATTTGAGAAGTGTGGTTGATATTGTTTTCGTGTCTGCAGCGAATCCTCCCATACCAGTTTGTATTCGTGTCTGGGAAGTATATAGTTGATATGGTATGTAGGATAATATTTTACCTTCAGCAACACTGAAAATTGTTGTAAATTGGAATCAATTAAAACATTCAATCTGAAACTTCCCAAATTCATTCCATCCCATATTGTCTCCACGTCAACTAAAACGATCATAGCCTGGACATAATAGGGTTAAATGCCTACAGTGAAATTATCATGTGTATTACATTGGTTGAAAGGAAAAAATTAGAATGCATTAATTGATGGATTGTGACAAGGTTTCTCAGAAGACACTGCAAGAACTGTATACAGAAAAAACATGGATTTTCCAGTCTGGTTTCCCCCTTGCCAGTCATGTAGGTCGGAGGGCCTGGCAAGGAACAGTGTGTCGTTATATGGATGGTACAGAAAACTGAGGTCTTGTGTACAATAAAAGAAGCCTTGGCAGTAGGAATTCAGACAAGTGTAGGCAGAGTTCCCCATACTTCATGGTGCAGAAAATTCGGATGTTAACCCATTTCAGTTTGTGAACTAAACAAACTTCATATACAAATAGTCAGTTAAAATATATACAATGGCTGCTATTTTTTCCAGATTTGTTGGAGGAGACTCTTTGGCTGGAATGATTGGGACTATCACACACTATAATACAATTATAGAACAGATTCATTTCAAACTTAGATCTAGTAAAGGTAACCAGTCCAAAATAGTCAGGTGGGAAGCTAGCAGGCTTAACCCTTTAAGCGTCAGACATTTCATATGAAACATTAATCAGGCCATTTTGCAGGTCATGACCTAAAAGTAAGAATGACAAAAAATGTTAAATATTTTATACCACAGCTGAATAATAGAGGAATTCAAGATCTTTCCCAAAATATATACATTTTTATCATGTATTCTTAAATTTAAAGAGTAACCGGATATATTCGTAACTATATGCTTTTCCTAGTCAAAACCCCAAAACAATCTGACGGTTAAAGGGTTAACGCAATTTCAGTTTATTTGAATTCCAATACTAAATGGATATAACTTAGTTAATACTGCATGATTGTTTATTAAGTGATGGTAAATGGAGAAATTGAGATAAGGCTGTCACGCAAATTAATATGGTGGTATAATTGTCAATATATTTTTTTTATTATGTGGCACCCTACCATATTGTAATTATAAGGTCCTATTATTGTATTACAGGATCAGATTTTATGTGTCAACTACAACCAAACTGAAATTTGTATTACCATGTATGCTATTACCACCTTAAATTTCTGTTAAAAAAAACCTCTTCAATTCAATGGAGGAGAGTAAAGTAATTCCTACCTATCCGTAATCCATTCTGGTTTAATTATTTTCATGTGTTTAAGTTCCTTGGTTTTACTGCTAGCTATGCTGGTAGCTATTATATGTGTAACTTGTGTTTTGTATAAATAATGTTGATAAACTCCTCCATGTTGTATTATAAGTCTTCTTAATTCATCAGATGATGGCTCTGAAATACAAAATATATAAGCTTGAGAAAAACTTTGTAGAACTCATTTGCTTTCTTGTAATAAATAAGAAATATATATTTGTTAATTAAAGACAAAATGTTCCAGACATAATTTCTTTTTGACTTTTCCTGAAGAGAAATCCCTCTCTAGCCATTGCTGCACTTGGAGCAAAAAGTTGGGTTTTTGACAGAGTGTGTCTATTTTCATCCTCCAATCAAATCTCTTCCCTTTTCCATTGTTGGAAGTAGTAGTTGGAGTCTATTCATTGTATTGAGACAACCGATACATACATAGCATGACAGTTCGTCTCTTTGATCTGGGGTCTTCCCTACAACTTCGGACAGTTGATTAAATGTATTAAAAGATGGAGAAAATATTGTTTGTCTGCTGGATGATCTAACAGATAATATAAAAGATTGTACGTTTGCAGTCATTCGGATAGCCTCATTTTTCATACAATTAGTTTTTCTGCAACTCTCTGGTCAATCGCCACTCACAAAGAATTTTAGTGATCTACAAGAAGTAAAATGAAAAGTACATTTCTCTAAATGCAGGTCAATGGTAGTATTTATGCTAATTAGGTGAGTCTAAAGTCTGTTATAAATTTGAGAGTATGATGGTGAATATACGTGGTGAAAGAGATAGGTGACCTGTACAACCTATATAAAGAAATGAAATTTTAAAATCTTACTTGTATATCCATTGACATAAATGGATACACCTTTAAATATATTAGATGAAATACCATCTTTAACATACTGCTCTTGTAACTTTTGTTGTTTGGCTTTCATGTAACCACCCTACAAAACAATCAATAAAAACTAACAGTACCTGAATAATCACAAAAACTGTTTTATAAGTGAACATTTTATCCATAAAATCCATACGTACACTATCTATTTTTGAAACAGAACAATGTGTTTATTTTGTCTTCATTGTGTTTTTGTGTTAACATCAACTCAAATTAAAAGTGGTTGGAAAAAGTATACACCCACTTTTAATTTAATTAATAACACAATGTCAAAGCTCATCAGCAGAAACAGTTGTGTGTCTGACAAATAAATATCAACAAAGAAATAAAGAAGACAGGAAACATAAAAAGCATTGCACTTTTGTAAACTTGCCGTCTGTGTGTATATGATCATTTATATATACCTAAAAAGGCTATTAATAATAGTATTATTTAAAATTTGTATGATTAACATATTAACAGGTCAAACTCATCATGGTTTCAAAAAATCAGCATTCAAATAAATTCATCAGAAATTTAACATCAGATTAAAATGCAACAAAAAAGAAAATTGATGGTATTGTTTTCTTCAAATGATTTATGACACAAAGAAAAAACTGTGACATTAGATCATGTTCCCAAGGTTGTAACTAAATTACTATTTTCATATTGGGCAGATTATAGCTATATAAATACACTTCTCTTACCCATCCGTCCCAACCATCTCCTTTATTTTTATCATTATTTCTTCTATTTTCACGTCCCCGAGCCATTTCCTGCAGGAGAAAAAGAAGCTACAATCAATTGTAATCATCCGAATCCTATCCAAAATAACGTCATTACAAAATAAAAATCGTATCAAAAATTCCCACATTGTGTCACAGTTCTCAAGAATATATAACTTTTCTCAATTCTGCTGTCTCTTTTTGAAGCCCCTTCCTATGTATATCATCCAGCTTTTCTCACTGGAAAAAAGAGATTTTTGGAAAGGCAGGTTGCTAGGCAACGAAACAACCCACCCACAACTGCTATGTCATCCAAGTGGACTATCAAGGTTAGTCACATATTTATTTACAAGACATTAAGGTAGGTTGCCAGGCAACGAAACATACGCCCACAGCAGCTAAATCGTCCGGGCAGTCAACAAGAGTTGTCGCATATTTTTACTTTTTTCGGTAATGAAACATTTATAATATACTAAAATCTGATTAAGAGCAACAACTCATAAAGTAATTATCAGAAAACCATTAGAATTTGTTTGGTTTTTATAAAGTTCTGCCCAATGCTAACGTTTTGTATACAAAACTTTTAATATCATGGATTTAGCTGCTCAAGTCATAAAAATTCATTGAAAATCAATATACTTGTTCGTCTCAAGATCTTAAACTCTGTCTATCAATCTGAAGTCAAGGGCCATAACTTTGGCAGCATTATCAGAAATCATTGAAAATAGATTCTTCGTCTCATGACCTTAGCCTCTGGGGCATCCACGAGATTTTTTGAAGTGATCAAGGGCCATAACTCTGGCAGTAATTATCGGAAATCGTTGAAAATCAATAGGTTTCTTCGTCTCATGACTTTAAAAACTGTGTATAAATCTAAAGTCAATCAGATATTAACTTTGGCCTCTAGAGAGCGTCCACAAGATTTTTCAAAGTGATCAAGGGCCATAACTCTGGCAGTAATTATCCGAAATCGCTGAAAATCAATAGGATTCTTCGTCTCATGACCTTAAACACTTTGTATAAATTTAAAGTCAATCAATCGGATATTAACTTTGGTCTTTAGACGGACGGACGGAGACGACAACAATATACGACCACATTTCAATGTGGGCGTATAAAAACTAACAATCCCAGAAATAATTAAAATTATAAATTTTGAGTCAATCGGATAATAATAATATAGCCTCTAGAGCGACCGCAAGTGTTTTCAAATTGATCAAGGGCCATAAATCTGACAGTTATAATTAGAAACCTTTGAAATTTAATAGCCTTCTTTGTCTAAGGAAAGCATTTTTTTCCATCCACCGCAACCAGGTGGTGTGCGCATGATTCAAATTTATGTGTTTTACTGGATCACGTGTTCAAAATATTGTGTATTACGTCACATACCATGTGCCAAAGCGGGATTACGTTGTGAGTAAAGCTCATTGATGAACTAATTCGCTCGAAAGTAGTCGTTTTTATTATATTTTGGTAAAAGAAAATATCGAGAATTATCACTGATATATTATTAGTGTGTATTTGGGATTGTATAGAACGCAATTGTTATTTTTAACGGAGGAATAATAACAATGGAGGGTGGTGTCGTATGGTCAGAATCAAACGATGTTAATTTCGATGTTTTTGGAACTAGCATATATAGACTATAGACTGTTAATTATTGTCGAATCCTTGTTGCGATGCCTTGTTTTGAAATTTAATACCCATAAACTTTTTCAAGGGCACTTTGAAAATACCAGTGCCACGCTCTAGTTTGGATAAGGCCTTTCTTACGCCTAATTCAAAGTTATCACAATGATTTATGTTTCCCCCCCCCAAGGGAAATACAATTGGCTCCTAAATCTTCTCACAGTGTGCTTATCTCATATACGTGAGCCTTTAATTTTTTTTTTGTCTCGATGTGTTTTCATCATGATTTATGTTCTGTTATTTAAAGTAGGCTGTATATTTGGAAAAAGAAATAATTAAAGATATGAAAATTGAATTTCAAACAAATGGGCCTATCAATAAACAGATTTGGGAATATTGGTTTATCTTTTTAAAAATAATCTTAACCCTAAACCTATATAAGAGTGAATACTTTGCATACATTATATGTAACATAATGGTTCTGTGTGACATGTATTGTATTGTAGGCCTTTACTGCCTTAAGGCTTTAGGACTTCTAACACCAAGTTTTTCATAGTGTTTTGTAACTCCTATTTCATTTCAAAGATCTATCTATTGTATGACTTTTAGTTTTTTTAATAAATAAATAATCCACGAAATTAAATTTGAATTTTAAAATGAGTTTTATAATAAAATTTTTCAGTGAATGTATACGAATGAACTTTTTGCACATATCAGAACTGAGGGTTTCCAGAATATATTTAAAGATAGGATCCCAGAAAAGTATTTATCGGGTGGTTATTTCCAATAAAAGTTTTGCAATTTTGGTATATATGGAAAGTAGGATATCCAATCTTACTAGAAAAATACTGGATCCCCTGAAAAACACTCATGGAGCGTATACAGGACAAAAGTGTAAGGGTTCCCCTAATCGACAGCCCAACGATTAGGAATACCAGCATGCGTGACGTCGAAGGATGCACGCGAAGATTGAGTGCTTGGTGTACATGTTGATAAACTTTATGAAGAGTTAGAGACATACATGTACAAAACTTTCTGATTTAAAAATCACGGAAAAAGACGCGGGCAGTGGATAATTCGAGAATTTAATTAGGATTCGATATTTGTAATAATAGTCAGCGATTAAAGACAACATCGTCTTGTGTATACAATGAATCTCTAGCCCCCCCGTTGCTATAGGTACTGAGAGAGGTGAGTCACGTGATAAAAAACAGGACCTCTTTTGATCGATTTTTATAGCAGGGTATTCCTTGGCAATTACAATGTTTTGAGAAGGATTTGAAGCAAAATTATAATAAATTAATTAGTTTGAATATGTTTTTAGTCCAAATACATGTATATCATCAAATCACCCAGTTTGTACGCGGGAATGTATCTTTAAATTGAATGTCGACATAAATATGTATTTTCCAGTAGACTTTTAAAGGCCTACTAATGCAAAGAACCTGTTAATTAAACAGGCATTATTCAAGGGCTAAACCTGCCTATTGCGATTTTTCGAACAATCAGGGGGATTACTTGGCTAAGTGGGTAAGACGCTGGCTAGCTAGCCTGGAGGTCGGGTGTTCGATCCCTGCATTGGCCGAGAAAGTTCATCCAGATTTTCCGGCGTGGTTCCCCCTTGTCAGTGATGCAGGATGGAGGGCCTGACAAGGACAGCTGTCTAGTCCTTCGGATGAGACGAAAAACCAAGGTCCCGTGTATATATGGGAATGCACGTAAAAGATCCCCTGGCAGTTGGAATTAGATATAAGAGTAGGCGATACTGCCGCTGCCCGGGCAAAATTTCCCTCATAGCACACTGTATGGCATATGCCCGTCTTCATTAGCACAGTATAGGAGCAGAACAGTAGGACGTTAAACCCCATTTCATTTCATTTCGAACAATCAGGGGCCATAATCCAGGAAGTTAAGTTCAGGTATCCGCGATTATCAAAAAGAATCAAGATCTTAGTGTGTAATGGGGATATATTCACACGTCTTTTTTTTAAATCGGATAAAAATTATGTCCTCTACAGGGACCACAAACTAAAAACGTGATTTTTTGTTCAATCAAGGACCATAATTCAGGAAGTTACGATCCGATATGCGCGAATATCGAAAGGAACCAATATCTTTGGGTTATAAACATGTATTTCAAGTTTCATCGAAATCGGATAAAATTGTGACCTCTAGAGGGTCCACAACCTTGATTTACCAAATGTTTACACTATTTGCGTACGAGGGGCACCCATTTTGTCCGGCAGTTTTGGCCCGATTTTCACGAAATTCGAACTCATCCATCATTACGGTGTAGCAGCGATATATACGAACGTTTTTTTAAATCGAATAATAAATGTGACTTCTCAGGACCACAAGCTAAAAACGTGATTTTTCGTACAATCAGAGGCCATAATTCAGGATATTGAAAGGAACCGAGATCTTTGGCTTATAAACTTGCATTTCAAGTTTCATCAAAATTGGATCAAAACTGTGGCCTCTAGAGGGTCCACACCTTTGATTTACCAGATGTTTACACTATTTGATTACGAGGGGCAGCCATTTTGTCCGACAGTTTTGGTCCAATTTTCATGAAATTCAATCTCAGACAAAATTACAGTGTAACGGTGATATATTCGAACGTTTTTTTTTAAATCGGATAATAATTGTGACCTCTAGAGAGACCACAAGCTAAAAACGTGATTTTTCGTACAATCAGGAACCATAATTCAAGAAGTTACGATTCGATATGTACGAAAATAGAAAGTAACCAAGATATTTGGGTTATAAACATGCATTTCAAGTTTCATCAAAATCAGATGAACATTGTCACCTCCAGAGGCTCCACAACCCTGATACACAATATTTTGACGCTATATGCGAACAAGGGGCGGCCATTTAGTCCGTCAGTTTCGGTCCGATTTTTACGAAATTCGAGTTCAACCATCCTTAGGGTGTAAATTGGATAAAAATTGTGACCTCTATGGGGTTCACAAATTAAAAACGCGATTTTTCGTACAATCATGGGCCATATTTCAGGAAGTTATGGTCCGATACGCGCGAATATCGACAGGAACCGAGATCTGTGGGTTATAAACATGCATTTTAAGTTTTATCAAAATCAGATAAAAATTGTGACCTATACAGTGTTCACAAGCTAAAAATGTGATTTTTAGTACAATCAGCGGCCAAAATACATGCCAATATTGAAAGGAACCGAGATCTTAGAGTAATAAACCTATATTTTACAAGTTTCATTGAAATCAGATAAAAATTGTGACCTGTAGAGTGTTCACAAACATTTGTGGACGGACGGACGGGGGCGACGACAATATACTTCCACATGAAAATGTGGGCGTATAAAAATGGGAAAGCGAGGCCAAAGCTCGATTATACCAGCAATGCACATATCTTGTCAAAACTACAAACACTGATAACTTAAAATAAAGTAATTCGAATAAAATTTTCAATATCTTCATTTTGCATTATCTATTTTTGAACTACATAATGTATCTTTAAAGTCTGATACTTTAGGCCAGTAAAGGCAAAACAAAGTTACTGTAGGGGTGGGATGAGGGCTTGGGTTTCGGGGTCTTTTTTAACATATGAACTATGGAGATAAATTGTCATAACATTTAGAAATGTAATACAAATGAAATGGGGTTTAACGTCCTACTGTTCTGCTCCGACTGAGCTAATAAAGATGGGTATATGCCATATAGTGTGCAATGAGGGAAATTTTGCCCGGGCAGCGGCACTATGACCTACTCTCGTATCGAATTCCAATTGCGGCATGTTCTTTCACATGCACGCATCCGGGACCTCGGTATTTTGTAAGCCCCCCCCCCCCACTGCACCAATTACAAGGGTTCGGAATATCCCGACGCACTTTATCGGCCAATGCAGGGATCAAGATATGTAATAGAGGTGTTTTGGGTGTAGGTCGGTCTGTTTGGGGGGAAGGGGTCATCTAATTTATTATTTTGTCGGGTTTTCTCCAGGATCTGAATGTATTTTTACACCTTTCCTAATACTAGAAAGGCATGATTTTATCATTGAGATTACACAAGCATTATATTTGCAATAGATATATTTAATGCACCAGCTAAATAAAATGAATCTTTGAATTTCTTGAATAAGAAATGTCTGTCTTATTGCACTTGTAAAATATAAATAGGTCTATGATTTAGAATAACATACCGTTCCCTGTTTTATTATAGGCCTCTGGCTTACTAATACTTACACTGGTTTTTCATGAGGAATTAGAAATTGGATATGATTTTTTTTTTGTGTAGATTCTCCACAATAATTAATATGGATCAGCTTGATTATATAATTACCACAAGTGCTATTGAATCACATTTTCCATTCCATAACCTATAGTCAGGTAAAAATACAGTTTAACCCCCCAAAAATTGCAACATCTGATTCTGACATGGTGAAGTGAAGTCGACATGCACAATGGCAGAGATTAATTTTATTATTTACTAGTGAACTAATGTACTGATTGTGACAAACTCTTGCAAGACATTTGGTATGCATATATTGAATTCAATTATATAAGTTAATAATCTCAAATCATTAAAGTATATGCTATTTCAATCATTATTTAAATAACAAGGGACAGGTAGTAAAACACCGTTCACCTGAGTTGTACTCAATGATCATTAAGACGTTTCGGTGGCCATCTTTGACGCCATCTTGAAAAAAAAAAAACACTTATCAGGAGGTCCAACTTTGGTAAACTTTTAGTATGTTATAAAGTACACTAAATCCTACCAGAATCAGTTAAGAAACCTTTGTTGCAATTTTTGGGGGGTTGAGGGGGTATTTTCCATATATTGACCTGGCTACTAAGGGAAAACTATTCCTTCTTTGGTGCGGTGTGATATGAATTTAATCACACCTTTTTCCGTCTCCCACTCATTTCAGAAAATGAACAGAACGCCTTCCGTACCTTCCCTAGCTTTCTTTCTCATATTGACGCAAAATTTTATTTTCTCAGAAGCTTAAAAAATATTTTATTCTGTAATTAATTAATTCTATAGAGTACATCTGCTTGAATGTTTGAAATTATAAGTTAAATATTAAAATTATGAAATAGTTCTGAAAATTAATTTTTAAAATTGTGAAATAGTTTTGAAAATTAATTTTTAAAATTAGAAAATCAAGTTTAAAATTCAAATTACAAATGGCCCCCCCCCCCCAAAAAAAAAGAAAAAAAAGAAGAAAAACAACAAGAAACAGTTCGTACTTAATGGGTTTTGATAATTATTTCAAATTCAATCATTTAAAAATCTAAAACTATGAATTTACCCACAAAAATACTTGACAGCAAATATTTAAAAATCTAAAACTATGAATTTACCCACAAAAAAAATAATTAATAGCAAGTAAGTCAGAAAAAGAGTGACGTATGAGGGGTTCTGACGTCAAATAGTGGGTGATGTCATCAATTTCTGACAACAGTATAGCGCATGCGCATAACACCTGGCTCCAGTGGATGGGAAAAAATGCTTACCTTTGTCTCATGAACTGACTGTGAATAAATGTCAAGTACTGTATAAGGATTGGCCAAAGACCGTGATGGATATCAAAAGAATACTAATGCCGGTACTAATAACTATATAGTCAATAGTGCCCCAAAATCTCAACCAATCAAATTGTTAATCTCTACTTAGTCTTAAAGGAGCTAAGTCGCTAATATTTGAGATCTAGAAATTGACACAAATGGGTTGCAAGTTGCAACACATATAATAATGTAATATGAATGTATATAAACTGATCTACATTAATCAGTTGTATTCAGCGAAATACGCCAGAAGTCTTGAGCGAATGGCAATCTCTAGCATCTTGTTATTCCATTCTACACTGATAGTATTTATTGCGCATGCTCTCCAGATAAGAATATGACGTCACCATTTGACATCACTTGTGGAATATGCCTAGCCTTGTTTTTCGAGTCCCTTGTTACAAATGACGCTGAAAAACATTATGGTACACGATTAGTGTACCAATGGTAAAATGTTTATTTTGTCTTGAATACTGGATATCAGAAACCCATATTTTCCCAGTAAGATCACAACATCAATGTTGATTTAAATTGACAATTAATTCGTGTTTTCAATGTTGAAGAATTTGGATAATATTGTTAGAGACTTAGCTACTTTAAGTGGAAAATGTTCATTCACTAATCAACATTACACCAGGTCTGTGTATAATTTAATAATAATGCTAGATCGACGGCATAATTACTTTATTTAAAAGAAATAATGTGTAACGTTAAAGTCTGGTAAGAACTGCAAAGTATGCATACATACATGCATCTTTCTTATTTGTAATTTTGTGGGCCCACGTTTTAGTCTTTCTTTCACTTGAGGCCTACTTTTACTTTCAGATTATTTTTTTTTAGTATCAATCCAATGAAAACATGATTTAAATATTCCATGCTGTGATAATAGAAGTACGACAAACAGAAAATATATTAGTCATCATAGTCTATGTCAAGCAAAATTCACGAATTCAAGACCGTAAAATTCAAAATATACCCCTACACGCACGCACACCACTTAATATCAGCCAAGGGGAATAACTCTAATCAATAAAGTACGAGTTACGCCCCCTTTGCTCTCGGTTGTCAAACGGCCCACCACGATCGAAGTTTATTATCTATAAAAGGGAAATCCAAAATGGACCACTATTCTTCTATTCTCAATGACTTCAATATTGCACCCAGACCTTGTCTTGGGCTATATAAAACAGTTTTTAAAACAAAAAAGCATTCCTTAGATTCTATTCCTTTTCTCAGAAAGAGCCCAACATGTCTTATCTATATCATGGACCTTCTTATATTAGTTATAAGTTATAATGCAATGCAAGGTTCATGCCAGTAGATGGTGGTTGACTACCTGGAGTTTTTAATAAACATGTCTTTATACATGATTACCCCCCTCTCGCATTAATGTCACGATTATGAATAAATGAAATTAAATGGGGTTTAACCTCCTACTTTTCTTCTCCAACTGGGATAAGACAGACATACGATAGGCCTAGACTACGCCATACAGTGTGCAATGAATTACAACTGTCATGGGTTCTTTTACGTGTAAACTCCATTTTTCGCCCCGTCCGAACGACTTGACACTGTCCCGCCCTTCACCATTGACAAGGCGAAACCACGCTGAAAAATTCAGGTGAATTTTCTTTGCAAGCACCCAGATCGTAGGCCTTCTCTCTGGAAGCTAGCCCCTGGTTAGTGAACCAGCGTCTCACTCCCCGAGCCATCGTGGCTACATCATGATTATGAACCAAAACCTAGGAAGGCTAGCCTCTAACCTCGAGCTCCCTCAGCCAGTAAAAGAGAGAAACAGCAAGGAGAACGAGTTATAGATAAATGGATCTAAAATCACCATTAATTCCCGGGAATGAGGTTCGATCACATGTTGCCGAGAAAGTTATTCGTTTTTTTTCTTCAGCGTGGTATCCCTCTCATCCATATTCCCTAGACCTTGTAAAAATACAGATTTCTGAAAAAAATCTATAGGCAACTAAATAAAATTATCTAGACCTTAATTTGTAACAAATGTTCGCTTGGACAGAAACCGGTTACATGGAAACGGCCACATTACACTTGCATTAGACCTACATATTATCGCCGAAGAAAACGTGCGCTGAAATACCAAACAAGTTTAAACTAGTTCTCAAAAACGACCTACTCCGTCCTAGAAAATCGTAAAACTGGTTATGGTCTATAATACGATCATAGTTCGTGCATAAATAGTCCTCAATACGTATGTACCAAGCTCGCCCGTGATCGTGACCCCGTGACCTTGCACTGAGTGACCCCTGCGCCCTAACGATTCCCTCAACTTTTTACCTATGCTTTTACGGGACATGCCCAAGACCTTCGGCCTGCAAGAAATCAAGAAAGGTTATTTCCCTCACCACTTCAACAGACCGGAGAATGAAGATTACGTGGGCGCCTATCCTCCAGACACCGATTACGATCCAGATGGCATGAGTGTATCGGAACGAGAGAAATTTCACAAGTGGTACGAGCAGCACAGTCACGACATCTTTGATTTTCGCCAAGAGATTCTCGCCTACTGTCGAAGCGATGTAAATGTCTTACGCCGGTGTGTTTCGCGAGATATTCCTCATGGACACGGGAATCGATCCCTTTGAGAAAAGCCTGACCTTGTCTTCCGTCTGCAGTCGGGTGCTACGCACGCACTACCCGAAGAAAGACGCCCTCGTCGTCATTCCTCGAGCCCTGATGCAAGAACCGAAACCGGATAAAGACTGGCATCGCTTCCAGCCTCGACAACAGCCCAACAAAGCACTTCGATGGTTGGAATGGGAACAACACCGACAGACCATGACAGCTTTTGGAAACCAGACCCCTCTACCAAACATTCGACACGTCCGTAACGGCAGTGAATGCAGAGTCGGACCTTACAGTTTGGATGGTATAGACACGACCACGGGCACAGTGTACGAATTTCACGGGTGTGCCTTTCACGATTGTCCCAAATGTTTTCCGGGACCCGTCCAAGACGTCCAACATAAACATCCCTACGATCCATCTTGCAGTATGAGAGACTTGTACCAGAAGACCCAGGAACGTCACCGTCGACTCCAGGAGCAGTACGGTATGCAGACCATCCGCGTCATGTGGAAGTGTCAGATGGAAGAAGAACGACGAAATGATCCCGAGATGGACGAATTTCTGAGAGGATTGGAAGATCAGCAATGGCCCGACCCCGAACCGCTAATGCCCCGCGACGCTTTCTTAATTCCCTTGCCGGACGAGAAAATACCCGAACAAAAAGAAGAAGAAGGGACAGCTGGCGTGGTCTCGCAGGCACCCATCCTGGAGTCGGTCCCCCGAGTCTTTCAACATCGAGCTCGCCTTTTGTTGAAACACCTAAAGGAAAAAACACCTTGGTCGTGGAACGAGAATTTGGAATTGGTTCGAAATGGCGTACCCGGCACCAATGCCATCGACATCGTGAACGATTTGGTTCGTCGGCGAAAGAATACTCAGGCTCCACTGGGATGGTTTGGCGTGATGCAAAGTTTGAAAGTCACGAACGTACCGCGCGAAGCCATCGGCAATCAAGAACGATGGAACGTGTTGTCCACGCCACCCGCACGGATTCCCGTTCCACCGCGACGCCCGAGAAAGAAAAAAATCTCAAGTACGGATACCCCTACTACGAGTACACCTACCCGGCCGCTTTCGGTGGAGCCCTTGGTCTCCACAAAGCTACCAGTGTGCCCTTGGTCAAAGTCAAGGCAAAGCTGAAACAACAAAGACCGTACACCTTGCACAAACCACTGAAAAAGAAATTCTCTCGGTCCTCAACGGTGGTGGCCGGCATCAGCCATCAGTGGCAAGCCAACGTGAGCGATGTGTCGCCTTGGCCCAATAAAATGAGGGATACCGGTATTTGCTGTGCGTCATCGACGTGTTTTCCAAGTACGCTTGGGTGTTGCCCCTCAAAAACAAGACGGGAGATAGTTTGGGGTGGACGCCTTTCGTCGAATCTTTCAAAGTCGACAACCCCAGTGGCTTCAAACGGGCAAAGGCACCGAATTCCTCAATCGAAAATTGCAAGCTTACCTAAAAAAGAAACCAGTGCCAGTGTAGTGGAACGATTTCAACGGACATTGAAAGAGCGCATGTGGCGATACTTCACTCATCGACAAACCCAACGGTACATCGACGTGCTAGACGAATTGGTTCGGGCTTACAACGCCAGACGACATCGGACCATCGGCATGGCGCCCAAAGACGTTCGTCCGGAACCCAAATGGGTGTTGACAACACCCCCACGCCCCCTCACAAAGAAAAAGAGAACAATGGACATCGGTACGGCCGTACGGTTGGCTTTACTGCAAGACGAAACCACGTCCACATCCGCGACATCCCACAATTTTGGTCACTCTTGGGAAAACGTGTGCCACACGCGGAAATCGTCTTTTTCTGTCAAGTGATTTTAATGTACGTCGTGGCGGGTGTTCCCTTGTCCCAATTGGCTTTCAAACCCGAAGAATCGCAGACCACGTTGTGGACGGCCTTGCTCTCCAGTACCCTGGGTTACCTGTTACCTGTTACCTTTTCCTTTCCGACCTTTTCCGACCTTGAAAACCAAACATAATGAACAACGACCGACCCTTTTACCTCACGCTCCCTAGTGACAGTTCCATGCCGTGGTATCCCGACAACAAAGTCTCCACGTATCACACACACCTGGATCCGCCACTTCTCGTCGATCATCGGGAATAGGAAGTGGGTCTGTCTATGGTCACATTACCTGACCACTGAAACAACAATACGATCGGCTTACGCATTCATTCTTCGTCGCCCTCGACCGAAATAAAATAAGTAAAGCTATGCCGGGAACACCACAGCATCGATCTCTCGTATTGTTTCAATGGTGTAAGGGGCGAAGAGGCCAAGGGATCGATCGAAATGGAAACACACATCAAGAGTGACGACTACGAATCGCTCAGACATATCCTGGATGTCCTGAGCACTAAACTGGATGATTTGTGGAATCTGGTTCCCATCTACAATCATTTGGCCAATCAACCCGTCCGCTTGGATCCCAACAACAAGGAAATGACCGACTACGAGAAGAAACAGCAAAGCGATTACGAAGGTCGAGAGATAATGCGCCAAGGGGCCGTACAAAGAAATTCCTTCGTTGCTTTCAAGAAAGACAACACCAACGATCGACGCCGTCAGTGGTCAAGAAAAATGGAAGAAAGTCGTTCAGGACACGCCCCCCCCCTTTCCCCCTCTCTCTCTCTCTCTCTCTCATAGGCGTACGGGCTCGATGACAGTTAGGGGGGCAGGAACCCGAAATGCCCGAAAAAATTTCGGGTTTACAGAAAGCGGCGCGGTCTTCCTCGAGAGGCGCAGGATCGGAGCTTACCTTGTGTGGACCCCGCCCCCCCCCCCCCAAGAAAATTTTGGAATATTTGACGGCTGCAAACATGTTTTTCTGCTATTTCAGCCCGTGACAAAGCAACTTCAAAGCGGTCTAATATAGGCTAATTAATATGGCTGGCTCAAATTCCAATCAAAAGATCAATCGTTTACCGTTGGGAGAAAATTTTTAAAATTTAACTGCCGCAAACACGTTTTCCGGCTATTCCAGCCTGTGAATACAGCAACTTCAATTTGGTCCAATTTAGCCTGCCTGGCTGACCCGATTTCCAAACAACCAATCAATCGTCGCGGGGTATGGGGGCCTCACCCTCCCGGAGAAATTTTTGAAAATTTAACCACCGCAAATGCGTTTTCTGCTATTCTTACCCGTGTAAGCAACTCCAAAAGTATCCAATGGTTTTGTAACCGAAATCCCATTCTGAATTCCAACCATCCAATCAGACTGTTGCAGCTGCATTCACAAATAATAATCGATGCCCGAAAAATGTCGCACAAAGTAGAGTGGCTTCAGACAAAATGTTTTAATCCATAGTCAACTCAGTACAAATTCGTGGTATTCAATTAAAATAAAAGTAAAATTT